GCTGCAATATTCTACATTTCCATGAAATTTGCATTTACATAAATTCTACCTTTTTACATAATTGAATTTATCTTTCTTAATAGAAAAATATGTACAATATATATATGAAGAACATTCCCTAGTTTACATATTTTTAGTTCAACCATTTATAAAATGGTCTATGATTAATGTTTCATCAGTTTATGTACATTTTAATTGGAAGTATGAAGTGGGGTATTTTGTCTGTATTATAGTCATTAGTGTACTTATCTGAAAAATGGGTGCATCAGTTTGGCCTATGGTGTTGAATAATAACATGAACCTACGTGAAAATGTTGTGTCCATGATAAGCGGTGTGTATCTATTGGCCAGTAACATTTCTTGTTGACAAGTGATCTCTATTGCCCAGTACAGGATGCCTATTGTTAAATGGTTACTGTATATTGGTCAGGGATGCGCAGCTATTGCCTTGCAGTGTATCAATGTATAATGACAACTGACCTACCAGCCAGAGATATCATTGTTAGCCAGTAGGATATGCCTTTTGTCAATTCAATTTGTCTCTTACCCAATAATAGGGGCAACTGGTGTGTTTATTGGCAAGACATGTGTTCATTAGCCAAAAATTATTTCTGTTGTTCAAAACTTTCATCAATTGTTTTGTTTTTCTGACGCATCTGAAATATGAAGTATTAAGCAGTTACATACATGATTGTGAATGCTCAAGTTACATTTCACACAAATCATTTAGTGCAGAGAATTTGTATATAGTGTAAAGTGCAATTGTCAATTTAAATTTTATCATCATGTATGCATGCAATGTTTAGTTTATTGTTTGTTTATATAATATGGATGGGAATTGTTGATATACATGTATATGAATAAGTATTTTTATGAAAAATTGTGTAAACTCGTGGCCCTAGTTTAAAAATGGCCAATACTCAATGTGACCCAAACTTTATAATTCTGAACTGGAAATAATGACCTTTTCTAGCAATGGATCTTAGATTAGTGATATAAGGCCAACTTGTAGCTCTTGTTTTCATAGATGTTTGCTTTTACTCTTGGAAAGTTGTTATTGTCTTCACACAGGAAGGTGATTATAGGATAAATCATGGCTGCTTTGTGTATTGACCGAGTATTGACTAATATTTTAGATATTTGGTATACATACTTCTGACATGATTCTCTACTATTTACTCTGGTCAAGATTAATACAACAAAACAGATTTTTCTACATGACCTCATACAGCCTTTATTTACCAACTTTACCAAAATATCTGATTTGTAGGTACTTTGTATGGAAAACCCGGTTGGGGTCACTTGGTTGTAGTCCTAGGATCTAGGTATTTTAGCCAAAAAGAAATTTTCCAATTTATATTTTGTAGAGGCTACATTTATTTACCAGCATCCTAGATTTGTTAAATGGTATTTCATCTCGACCTGTACATTAGTCTGAGGTCTCTTTTCTGTTGAATGTATATTTCTTAATATTGACATATAAAGTTTTATTTTTAAATTATTAATTGCAGTTTTGACCTAATTGCATAATAAAATGGTCAACACAACATGTACATAAAATCTCCTGGTCATATTGAACTGTTAAAATCTATAAATAATTAAATCTGTCATTTTTTGGACTACTAGTATATAGCGTTTTCTGTGCTGAAATATGTTTTTTGAGTTGTGAAGTTCAGGCCATATTGACATCTCTTTTATCAGAATTTGATTTTTATATTTAATGATACCTGAAAATTTCTTGTTTAGATCAGATCTATATTAAGTAGGATAAACTTCCACAGTGTTATGTAAGTGTCTGTTATATTTGTAGATCATTATTTGTATATAAAGAAATGTATATATCATGTTTTTGTTCTGGTATTTGTAGTTTTTGTTTTAAACATTCCAGTATTTTTTCATTCCAGTTTGGTTTTTGTCTTGTCAAGCATTTATTTTGTAAAATGTTAATATATACATTGTGTAAAATGAAAGACATGTTAGTTTTTCTTTTTTATAAGCTGACCCGAGCACAAAGTCAGAGGTGAACTTTTGTAAAAGCATCATGTTTGTGTCCATCATGTATCATCCGATGTGCATTATTATCTAAAATTACTTTCAGCAACATCCCCGTCCGTTTAGACTGAATAACATGAATGATCCTTAAAGTGGTGGTTTTTGTTAACCCTCCACATCACGGCAGGGAGTTAACCCTCCACATCACGGCAGGGAGCCACATTAAAATTCACCATAGGACAGTTCACCTGGTACGGTGACACTGTTCCTGGGCAAGCTGGCAAGTTTACCAGGGCTTGTTGCCTTCCCTTGAGTAAAGAACTGCTAGTTACTTCTGTACATATAGCGGCAATAACTGTAGAAAGGATTTCATGATCAATTACAATGAAAGTGACCTGCACCATCCAGTAATTGAACCCATGTTGCCTAATTCACAGTCTTACACTACCAAGTGCAATCCTTTTGGTGGCCCTCTTCTAAAGTTACATAAACAATTCCAGTCTGATAAAATGATAGTGCTAATAATTCTGTGCAAATGCAGACTGGCTGGTAGGTAATCACTAACTTCATCAAAATTATAGAAACATGCCAATTAATTTTTTGATAGATCTAGCATTAAAATCATCAATTTAAATAGTAACTGGAAATTATTACAACTCTAAACATGACAACTGTATTACTGTGTAAAATGCGGACCGTGTAGTAATAAATCAACTATCATCATGGACATACTGAAAATTTTAATTAATATAACATTGGCATGTGATGGGAGGTCATAATCATTTGTGACTTTTTACTTACCTTTGTTTCTTGTAAATGTTGCAAAAATTATTTTGTTAATTTTCCACTATGAGGAAATATTCAGTCATGTGACACTTGTATTATTTCAACACATTTGAACAATGTATTGCCAGTTCCATTATTTCTGAACAACTCTCTTGCATTAAGCTAATACTCTTATAAAGCTTTCATGGAGAACCACCAATGAACTGTTTTGACTGTATAAGTAAATGTATACAAATACAATTTAATTAATGACTTGTGCTTACGATTCTGTGATTTATGGGCCATTCTGTGAGAAGAATATGACTTCTAGTGAACTGGCACATGGTTTAATATCTAATATTAGTTTGACAAGAATCCAGTGTCAGTATGTTTGGTTTTCTAACTGTCAGACAACAAACATAGTTCAGGTCACTTTAAGAACAGATGGTGTGTTCTTGATTATACAAGCAAATTTGTTGAATTTATATCCCCCGCCGAGTACTGGTTATTATTAACACAACAACTTAAGACATAAGGCTTTATTTATATATTAATCATGGCATAAACAGTAATATTATTTGAACTTGATAAATATTCAGGGAAATAACAGAGCCATAACTTTGTGTTAAATAGTAAAATCTGGAAATGCCAATGAGATGTATGCATACTACATAACTAATCAAGGGCCATAAATCTGAGTTATAAGTATCTGACTGGAACAAGGCGACTATATGCACATCTGCTCTTAGTATCCCATAAAGTTTCATTGAATTCCACCCAGTGGTAGCAGAGAAGTAGCGAGGAAACAAATATTTTTCTATATGGATACTGCATAACTAATCAAGGGCCATAACTCTGAGTTAAAGTGTCTGACCGGAACAAGCCGATGATATGCGCATCTCCTCTTGGTATTGAAGGTTCCCATAAAGTTTTGTTGAATTCCAGCCAGTAGTTGCAGAGAAGTAGTGCGGAAACGATTTTTACTCTATATGCATACTACATAACTAATCAAGGGCCATAACTCTGAGTTAAAGGGTCTGACAGGAACAAGCCGACGATATGCGCATCTCCTCTTGATATTGATGATTCCCATAAAGTTTCGTTGAATTCCAGCCAGTAGTTGCAGAGAACTACTCCGGAAACGAAATTAGGACAGACGGACGGACGAACGGACGGTCAGATGCACATCTCCTCTTGATATTGATGATTCCCATAAAGTTTTGTTGAATTCCAGCCAGTAGTTGCAGAGAATTACTCCGGAAACGAAATTCGGACGGACGCATGGACGGAAGGACGGACGGACAACGCCAAAACTATATCCCCCTCGCGATTCCATCGGCGGGGGATAATAAACAATGCATACATGTATTGGTATGTTATGCGGTGCTACTTCGTACTGAAGCAACAAGTACAAATATTTTACATGGACATAAATCATTTTTAAGCTAGTACATTTTTCACGGCATAGTCGGGTATAGGAAAAAAATCAATATTGTTCCCTTCACCAAAAGGTTCGTTTAGAAGGTTCATATAGTTATAAGCTTGGTTTGGGATCACCTTATTAAGATACTTCGAGCATTAACCAACAAACAAAACAAAAGAAAACGGTATTTACCAAATAATAAGAGAAGACCTGATAATATTCAAGGATTTATTTTGTGCTGAAAAATACCATACACCTACTTCTTGTATATTGTATTCTCTTTGTAGTCATCTATAACTTTATCAAACACTTGACTCAACATATATACTGATCATTGCTGCATGAAATGTGATTTATGTTTCATAAATACAGTCAATATATTCCTTTGACCTCCCTCAAAATCTACAAATATTTAGAATTTATATAAAGTTAACTTGTTTCCGGAATGTTTTATAACATCTGTTTCATAAATAGAACATTATTTGTGCATATAAATTTGAAACCGAGCTGTTCCTAGTAAACTATAGAGATATAAAAATAGCTGAGTAATCTGTAGTGAAGCAATATTTCCAGCTATAAATTTTCTATGAAGAAGTCAAAGGAATATCAAATAATTTTTTCTCTCCAAAGGGACCTGTCCCTTTATAAATATGCCATTTCGAATCCTATGTAATGAAGAAATGAATTTATACAACAAACATTCATTCAACTTTGTACAGAATAATTAATATTTAGCTGATATAATCAGAGCCATCAATGAATGGGATTTATACAGTTTACTTTGATACAGAAGCATGGCTGTAAAAGTTAAGTACATCAGGTTAGACTTTCTAGTATAACTTTGCAGAAGTATACTAAAAGATGTCATGTTGAAATACCTAAGCTCTAAAGCTTACCACTTCTGAGATGTAAATTTCTTAAGATTGCACTTTGACATCTTTTTTGGCAAAATCATTGTTAGTAACCCCCAGTACACATTCTGTACACATAACAGGCAAGCTAAAGATTTCTTCTCTAAATTGTATCACTTAAATAAGGCATGACATTTCAGAAAATAAATATTTCTTTGGATCTTTCAAGATTATCTCAACAACGTGATAAAAGTATCTTTCAGTATATGCCTTTTCATTATAGTTAAAAATATTCTAATGCATATGGATCAAAACAAAACAAGATTCTAGATGATTCTTGAAAAACTACTGGTATTAAACTTTCAGTAAGAATGTTACATTCAGAACAGTTTAAAAATCACCATTATAAATGTATCAACAACTTGGTAAATAACATTGCTTTAAATTTGTGTTCATTCACCTACTCTTTTTTCACTCTTTAACCCTTTTTATAAATGTAAAAAGAATTTTCCAGTTAATGTAAATTTTAACACTAGTCCTAACATCATTTTAAGCTACAGAGATATATTACATTTAACACAACCTTGTTTTCATGAAAAGGTGCATTAATTCTAAACATAAACTAATATTGCACAATTACAAAGCCTCTTTGTTCCTACATTCTACATTTTTCATTAATTGTCATCAGAATAAATTAACATATTGTAACATAATCGTGTAACATACTGTAACATAACAATGTAACATAATCTTTACATATTGTAACATAATTTTGAAACATATTGTAATATAACAATGTAACATAATTAACATAATCATGTAACATATTTAACATAGTCATGCAACATAATCATGTTTCATTATCATGCAACATAATCATGTACCGTAATTAACATAATTATGTACTAAATTGTAATATATTCAACATAATCATGACAAAATTGTGACATAATCATGCAACATATTATAACATAATCATGTAACATCATCATGTAACATAATTAAGACATGGACCTACTCAAGATTCAAAAACAAACAAACAAAATGTCCAATAGATTCTTACTCCCTGCAGTCATTTTAAAATTCCATCATAAATAAAAACTCTGGTTCCATCATTATAAGTGAAAGGGGATACAAGCAAAATGCTTTAATAAGTACAAGTTTGTTGCAAGTGAGAAAATTGACAGTCTTACTAAAATGAACACGAGTCTTGATTTACCCTAAGCCTGCTGGTGGCAACTGAATCTACCCATGCCATCTGTGCAGACCAAGATCAGCCGGAAATTCCATTTAGTCTGATCATGGTAACAGTTCAATATTCAGCCAGTAATTACTTTGAGATTTTCCCTAGAAATGCTGAATGGTTTTGTCCTGATTCAAAGATGGACAAGTCCATTTAGGATATTTAGTGTGGTAATGGTTAATGCAAAAAAATGGATTAATATACCAATATTTCTCTAGAAATTTTCTAAAGAACATCAGTATGAAGATGACAATAAATAATGTAGCATTCAAAATATGAACTTTTCTGTGATCGTTTCAATAATATGATAATAAAGTAATGTGATATAATGTAATACACATTAAAAATAAGCATTTTTCTTTTTCTACTTTCACAAAAAGATTTCATGACAATATTAATTAACACCCCTGCTGCAATTTGTAATTTTCAGTACAAGTTTATTTGAAACTAGACACTTAAATAACTTAATGCATTAATCAAAATGGCCCCTTTTTTTAAACAAAACTACCAAGATTGCATTGAGGCAAATAAAATAAAAAAAAATCATATAATAAAATTTACTAAATGAAATAATTTTCTAAATAATTTAAATTTGTATGAAAACTGGGATATTATCTGGGATAAAATCATCATTATGATTCTAACACGATTTTCACGACTACATTCACACTATACGTACACACATACATATTCATATATATAGGTGTATATATATTTGGTAGAATATTTTGTAAAACAGACAATAAAAGTTATACATTAAATGGTTCACCCTATTCAACATATATAGAATCTGTAAATGTGTACAAACGCATAATTAACAAATGCAAATATTCAACAAAAATCAACAAATATTTTACATAAATAAAATAAACTCTTAACCCTTTTGCCAGCAACTGATTCTGCCCATGCAACCAGAACACTCCAAGATCACCTGGCACATTTTATAGTAGTCTGCCACATAATCATGTAACATATTTAACATAATTATGTACCATATTGTAACATTATCATGTACCAAATTGTAACATAATCATGTACCAAATTGTAACAAAATCATGTACCATATTGTAACATAATCATGTACCAAATTGTAACATAATCATGTACCATATTTAACATAATATTGTTACAATCATATATATATATTTTGAAATTTCTGCCTAAAATGCTGAATGGTTTTGTCCAGATGAAAAGATGGACAAGTCCATTTAAGATATAGAAAGTGGTAAGGGTTAATACCATTCATGGCAGTCTGTTATATAATCTGGTATAACATGCTATGATTGTTAAATGCTGGTAATTTGGTTATTTCATCATTCATATTATTTAAAAGCATTCATACAAATAGTGATGCCTTATGATTTGTTACAATTCTGAAATTATAAATCATATAATTTTTATACGATCACATTTGAAATAAAGATGGTAAAATAAAAAGGATAATAATATAATCCAGTTTAATTCTTTATAATTAAGACCAAAGGAACACGGTTAATCATTTCAGGAACAACCATTATTATCAGTTTAATGTCCTGTTTAATCTGTAACTCTGTTTAATATGTTCTATAGTAATTTGTGTAAAAATAATAATTATGATAGAAGTACTGACAGAACAGTAAAATAACCTCTTTCTACCTCTGTTAGTGCCATATATTTGCAATTTTACAACAAGAGGGCTTAGAAGGCCTGAATCGCTCATCTCAGAAAATCAAGTTCCCAAGGGTTAACACCTTTTTCTTTTTAATTCACTTCAATAATTCATGTTCCAATCCACAGCAATAATTTACGAAACTATTGTAGGGATCATCACTACATTTTAAATGTTCAGTAAAAAAAGATATTTAAAAAAGTTAGTTTTAAATTTTTCTCCCACAATTTTGATCCCAGGCCCATAATATAAATGTACAATAGAGGCCCACTAGACAATGTTACATACTCAACCAGAAGGCTTTAGGCCATGAAGTTTCTTTCAGATATTTTAGTCATTATCTATGAGAAGAGATATTGTTTAACAAATTGTAGATAACATCATACAACAGATATAAACAGATATCTGGCCATCACAAAACCCCACCTTTCAGCATGTTATGCTAAGGCGAGCTAAAAAAAAAAGAGGCTTAATATGGTAGGAACTAAAATATAAGTAATCAACTTAAATTCCTACGACACTCAGTCAATTTCAAAATCTGATCAACCAATCTTATGATGGACTTCCTGGTCTTCTATTCTGTGTAAGTCTGCAACTGGATTTGACCCTTCACATTTTTTTGTTGGCACTTCACTTGTTCACATATTTTTGCAATGATTTTAATGTACAACCATAAAGATGATTGGGAGATTCTATATATCATTCCAAAACTTCAAATATCAGTTCTAATATGATGTTAGTGTCTTGTTGTGTAGCTCGATGTATAACAGGTATAAGTTCATTGTCAAGGTCATTCATATACACATCTGGTAACCTTTCACCTTTTGACCCTGCCTCATATCCCACCTGAAAGAATGATATTATACAGCTAAATCCTGAATTACAATGAAATGTAGTTAAGTAGACAAGATTTTAAGCTCGTAATAAGTCGTGAGAGTAAAATAGATGCAAGTTGTGGAAGAATAGTGTAATATCTTACACCTATTTAACAGCAATATATGGTCCCCGAATATAAAGCTCTCTTTATCCTTAACCAAGAAAAAAGTAATAATTTGAGAGGGGACTCAGATTAAATATACAAGGAGGAGTTTTATAGCCACCATACTATACAATGCAACTGTTGCAATAACATGAAGCTAGAAGCATTGAAGGTCATCAAACACAACAAAATAAGTTAATGGGTAGAGCACTGGTTTAAGTATTAACAGATAATTTTGGATGACAATCAACGATCGACCTATGAGCATTATGTGCTCATGTGACTGAGGTGAGCTTTAAAGAAAGATAAACACTAAAACAATTTGTTCAGAATAAAAAGAATGTTAGAACAAAAATTATTCTTTTACATTGTGTTTCAATAAAATATAACTATATAATATATTTAAGTATTTTTCAACTTGCAACTTTATAAATAAGGAACAAACGTTAATTTGCAACTTTATGAAATAAGGAAGAAATGTTAATTTGCAACTTTATAAATAAGAAACAAATGTTAATTTGCAACTTTATAAATAAGGAAGAAATGTTAATTTGCAACTTTATAAATAAGGAACAAATGTTAAGTCGCAACTTAATAAATAAGGAACAAATGTTAAGACACAACTTTATAAATAAGGAACAAACGTTTTCAGTGCCGAGTGTAACTCGCAGCCCTATCCTTTCCAGCTCTGCCTCTTTTAACTTCTCTAGGTGCCGGGTAAGAGCCATACAACAAGCTGTTGCCACTGTTTCCCCTATACGACTGAGGTCTACAGGGTCCCACTTTGGTGAACCTCGCTCTTCATTCTGTTTAAAAAACAAATGTATCAGAACTATAATATATACCATATTATAATTGCAGAATAAATTCCATGTACACTTAGTGTTTCGAGGAAAATTAACTCCATCACACAGAATTATTTCATCTTATCAATATTTCACTATTTTCATATATTTGGATGTTGAACTCTGCTCCAGTCGGTCCTGGTATGTTAGTTTCCCTGTGCTGAAGGGGTGTTTTTCACCCTGTGTTGGGGTGCTTTGATTGTAAATAGAGTCTTCCAATACTGAATATAAAAGTCCCATCCAGATGTAAAAGTTTATGTTTTTTTTGTAAGACTAATCTGTATAAATATATACAGGTATATATTACCATCAATTAAGTTATAAAATCTTTCCTTATTTCCATAGAATGAAGTATAGAGAAATAACAACAAGCTGTTAGAGCTGACAGCATGAAAGCTTATTCTAATGCAAAAATGATAATAACAAAATCACATCTTTGCATCAGAAAAATATTTGATTCACTTATCACATTATTATAGGTAAAACTGATTTGACCCGTTTGCCTCATTATCCAATAATCTTAACTTCATCATGAAATAATTAGGGCAGACAATCTGAACAAGTTCTATTATAAGTAATCATGAATGGTATCTTTGATGTATAAGCTCACTTTGAACATTTGGCTATAGAATGCTAAAAATATGTATTATCGCTGTACACATTTTTAGTCAGGCTATTAAAACATACCTGTATAAAAAATATTTCTGTCCACCTCATGATATTTTTCTCACCAATGTAATCAGTGGCATGATGTATACGTAGACTCTCTATTCCATCCATGTTCATTCCATCAACAGGACTTTTTACCCTGCAATAATCAAATAATGCACAATACTTTTTCACAGCCTGCTTTTTAAACAGGAATGAAAGAAGTCACCTTGAGATCAAAACATTGTGAATCCTATATAATTATGCAATTCAATTTGTAGGGAAAATTTCATAGTTAACTTAAAAGTGACAAATTTCTTTAAATCATTATAGAATGGTTTTATACTGTATGGAATTTTTATATATATTTTTTTTAATTGGGTTTTACGTCGCATTAACACAGTAAAATCATATGGCCACATTTCAGAGCCACAAAGTTGAAGAGTGCAAAGCAAAATAGCACTCACTGTAAAGGACATCTGTTTGAGGTACAATAAAAGTAAAATATTATTATGACATTACATTCAGTCATTCTTGTAAAATAAACTACATGTACATAGACTTCTAGAGTAATGATGCATGCCAAATTATGCTCTCATTACAAAATTCACTGAATCCAATATGAGACAATATTGGTCTGGCCAAAAAAAATACCACTTGAAACATAAAATGAACATATTGTCCACAACTTACCCAATATTGATATTTTTATCATCCTCCACCCATTGGACAACAACAGTTTCATCAGGTCTAGGTGCCCCTATAAGACCACAGTTGATAGGGTAATCATGCATGTCCCTGATCGATTGTTTTAATGCCAGCATAGAGTCAGGAGTTATCTGTACCATCAGTCCATCTTCTACAATGCTTGACTTTGCACTGAGACCAGAGCTTGTTTTTAAAGCACCATTAAACACAACAAAGCTTGCCCCTGTCACTACAACAGTAAATATAAATATAACGTAGACTTTGTTTAAATTCTTCCCTGATATTGCATTGATACAGATAAAGAACATTACAAAATGTTCAACTTTAAAGTGCCAATTATATACAATATATAAACTTGATTCAACTACATGTATTACAACACAGTATTCTTTGTACACATCAGATTTTAGTTTTTACTGAATGGTCTTGCTCTACAGAGGTTAAAAAAAATATTAGAATTTGGGAAGATTTGATAATGCTGTTATAAAGAGGTTATTGGTCTATAGATGGCTGCTCAGTTGAGGTTGCACTGTAACATCATTTTAGTTTCTATTTATGATGGCAAACAGCCAGATATCGTCATTTGATCCTTCATAAAGAGACAGCTCTTAACAAATACAAACATTTTAGAACAATATCTTTTCAAATCATAACTGTATCATAATAAATATATTGAAGATTTCACAATAGTTTAACATATTTCAGATATATTAAATAGGTATCTAGCTGAAACATCTACAATAAATAATTACTGAATGTTCATGATCATGTGGCTAGTTTGTTAATTTTAGACATATTAAACAGTATCAACCAACCTTTTCTTGGTTTGTTTTGTATGTTAATTGCCTGAGTTTGGTAGTTGCCATCATCGTTCTGGATACAAACAAGGTGCGAGTCAGCTTCCGAACTGAATGATGAAGATATCGCCATCACATGTTCATTACTGTTGTTCACAACCTTCATTAACTGAAAATAAAGAAACAATATCACAATTCTGTAAGACAAATCTTGTTATATATATACTGGTATTTTAACCACTTGCCCCTCACCGCTGTGGGGGTCGAATCCCTGTAGGGACTTTGGATTCTTTCATGTGAGGAAGCTATCCAGCTAGCTTACGGAACGTCGGTGGTTCTACTCAGGTGCCCGTTCGTGCCTGAAATAATGCACAAAGGGGCACCTGAGGTCTTTCTCCACCAGTAAAGCTGGAACGTCGCGATATGACCTATACTGTGTCGATGTGACGTAAAACCCAAAACAAACAAACTGGTATTTTACTTCTTGGCAATGCAATGCTTGCCCAACAGAAACTATTTATCAAGTATTTTGGACCTTGAATTTACAGCATGTTAATTCTGTGTATCAAATATTATATTAAACAAAAGTAGACTGCCGACTGTGTCATTTTTCTTTGTTTCTGTGACAGATATGATGGAAATGAAATACACTGTATATATAATGGCTATACATTTTCAAAGTCTTAAGAAATCTTCCCAGTAACCAGGTGGGTACTTAGTCAGAAGAATGCCTGAGTACTCGAGTACTGAATTGTTACTTGTTGCCAGCCCTAAACAAAATCAAAATTTCAAACAACTCTGTATTTAAAAACAATTTAAGGCCTTGTTTACAAGACTTGTACTCACATCTTCATATCTGTTTCTTGGGAAGTTAATTTTTGTGACTTTATCTTCCATATGTATTGTGACCCCTCGGATATTCGGTAACATATACTGGAAATTCCTGAAGTCTGCCAACAGGTTCATAATTGTATGACCTATCTCATAAAACACAGGTTTTCTATTCCTAATCCCTATCAGAGGACACGGATAATCTGAAAACAATATAAGTATATAGTCAACACTACTCCTACCAATTGTACTGCGAGTTGATCAAGATATTGTGCTACTTTCTATATGGTCAAGAAGTGAGAATTTGACCCAGAACAAAAATATCTCAAAATCTAGCTTTTGCATGTCAATATATTTTGACTAAGTTAATACCATCCATCTAGTAAAGACCAATTTACTGAAGACAGAATTAACCCTCCCATCTCCTGAATGTAATAGATTTGCCCTGTTTTGAATATGAAACAGGCCATTTCAGATCTTAGGGATTTCAATGTCAAAACAGTATAGAGCCTGGTCAGACTGCATGGATGTACATTTTTTGTACTGTACTGACTGGCCTGGCTCTATACTGGTGACCAAGGCTAATCACATTTGATTCCTGCAGAATAAAGGTTAATCTCAACATTCAGAAAATTTCTTGATTTTTATTGGTACAAGTGAATGAAAAATCATTTAATTTTGTCAGTTTCCTTATCACTTACCATGAATTGTTCAAAATAATCTATAAATTCTAAACCAACTTTGATAATATTTTAATTGAAACATCCTGTTTTTATTTGACAAAGCTTTTATTCCACTTCAACTTCAAGTTCAGTGTAGCCTACGGTTAAACAGACCTTGCATCAATAATTATCTAATCAAAATTTGAAGATTGGCTAGCGAAGTCATTTTAAAATTTATTTATTTTAAATAAACTTTAAGACAAAACTGTCAATGTTTCCATTTAATTGGTAAGCTAAAATAAGCAGTACTTACATCTGTATTCAGCACCTAGTCTAAGTAACAATCGTAAAGGAAAAACTTTTGCCCAGGGCGTTTCCCATTTCTGGAGGAGAATTCCGAACAAAAATGGCGCCCCCGGTAATGCCAATTTCTGAACACATTGGAATGATGCACGGATATAGAGAAAGCCTCCATGATCTCTACTGCCAAGAAAACTATCACTGAATATCGAGTGTCCCAATTCTGTTATCACATTACCTATAACAATATAAGTGTTATTATAATTACATCAAGAATCATTGTTTGTCCCCAACTAGACATATCACTGACAGTGATTTATATCCTCAACATACTGTCTAAAAACATAAGAATTGTTGTAACACAAAAAATATCCCTTTGGCAAATTTTAAAATAATAAGCCGAGTAACTAACCAAAATTTGGTTTTATTCAACATAACCTGTATTTCATCATGTAACATCTGTGTTCATAATATGACCCCTTTCTGGATTAATAGACTGCTAATGTGCTATTAATCTATTCAGTTAGAAGTTTGTAATGCAATTGTGTTGCATTTGTTTGACTGTTTCTTTATGCAAGTTTTAACACATTCCGGTCATATCTCAGCCATCGGTCCAACTTACTTGCTTTCCTGGATAATTTACCAGTAATTAGCAATCTCTCTGTAGCAACCACTTATCTCACACAAATCAGCAGTAACAGACAAATAGGCATAGATCAATTGAGACAAAGACATTTCGCCTCGTCTTAGGATATTACTGGAGACCCCTGAATAATGAAACCGACGCTCTCTTAAGCTAAGCAACCAGTACTAAAGCAAATCTAAATCAACAACAACAATTCATACTTCAATCTAACTGGTAAATAATACCTTTGCTTGCCTCCTCAAAAACATCATTTAAATGGACAAAGATATCTTTAGGTGGTATGTTTTCATCTGGTAAACATTCAAGGACAATAACAATCTCCTCCTGACCAACACATGTCATACCCTTAGTTGTGAAACACCAGATTGTACGATTCACACAACAATCCACTGTAAAAATGTTCATATAAAACAACTGATTATGTATGTATAATACATGATGTTTTGTTGGGTTTTTTTTTTCTTGGGGGGGGGGGGGGGGGGGTGTGGTGTGGGGGGGTTTGTGCTGGTTTCAGGGGTGTGGGGGTTTGTTGCTCCGTGCATTATTTCAAAATACGAACAGGCACCGAGTAGAACCACTGATGTACCATAAGCTAGTCAAATGACTGTCATTAATCAAAGTTTAAAAGTCCCTGGTGGGATTCAAACCAACAAAGTGGTTTGAAGTCAAATGACCTTCCGAGAGTGTTACAAACTCCCCTTCTGTTTCACAACAATGAAATTTCACATGGCATTTTGATTTATTATTTATTAAAAAAGTACAACTTACAAGAATTGGAAACAATATTACAATGGTAAAGAAGATAAACTGCCAATCAGATAATCTGTTCTAAAGTAATTTTTACTGATTATATAAAGACTTGTCTAGTTATTCATACTTACATGTTGCAATTTTGACAGACACATACAAATTGGTATTTACAGCAAATATCACAGGTGGCTTACTTTCATCTGAAATTACGAAACAAATACAACATACAATATAGAAAATACATATCTTACCATGTGGTACAATATGTTTTTTTTTTCTGCAATAAATACTAATATGGAAGTAAACATTTCTGTATGTAGTGCATATAAAATATATATTTATTACGGTGAGCAATATGGAAAATAAACATGTCCTGCAGTGTAGTATAAGCATGCAAATATATGTACAATAAATTGATATGTCCACTGAATCGATCGCATCATGCAAATCAATAAAATGAAATAAAACTGCTATGATTTATCAACCTTTCATCCTGGAATTTAATTGAACATAACCATAATTTGAATCACTTTATGAGACAAACAAAAGCTCTTTCATGTAAAATGACAAAAAAGGTAAGTCCTTTTGCATTTTGTACTAAATACAAAAGTGCAAAGGTATATTCCCCTATTCACAGAGATATAACTCACTAACCAAACTATAAACATAATGAACTGCATCCCTGTGCCCCCATTTTCTCCAATATGAGTGGCAAAATAATACAGGAATCAATATTTTAAAATTCCTTTTGAAATTCCAAATTACATGTGCATTTTTTATGGTTCTATTCACCTCTTCCATACCAAATGTAACACACAAACCATCAATTACAAAAAAGGTAAAACAAATCAATAGATTTAAATTACAAAACTCTGTTATATAAATTTGTCATCAAACTTACCTTTAATATTTGCCATAAATTCATTTGGATCAGGATTTGACAACAGGATGTTTCCTACAAATAAAAATATAGCTTTTAAATTTTCAATGACAAGTACATGTATGTAATTTAACAAATGAGGACATTACTGGTCTACATTGCTCTCCTGAGAACCATTGCTAGACATCTACTGCAAGAAAAGGTCATTGGGTCCAACTTAGGCCATGATTCATTACAATTTTAGAAGATGTTAACCAGGAAATGCTACATGCCTAACAATCAAGTTCTAGGTTTCTAAGTTTCGACACAAGAAATTTTAAATACGTTTACCTATTATTATAAGTCTTAGTCAACTAAGTGTCTCCCGTCCTCAGGATGGGGCTAATTTTTACCTTAAAGGTATGATTTATATAACTTTTGTAGAGGGCCACCCAGTTGATACTACACTTTATTTATCTAAGCTCATTGTAGTTCCGAGGAGAGCTACAAACATACATTTTTCAACACAGAACAGCAATTTAACTGAATAATTTGCTTAACAATAGATACAATATAAAAACAGTCATATACTATCAAGCTAAATACATGTATGTGTAACTTAAGGGAATCGCCACTTACCTCTAAAGAGGGTCATTTTAAGAACAATTTAAAGAACAATATAAATTTCCTGACAATTGACAAGCAGGAAATAAATTTTAAGTGCACCTATCAAAATGTCGAGAAAATAAATAATACTATGATCTAGAAATACTTACCAAGAAACTAACCACTAGATGATCATTACTAATGTCATTTAATCCACTTGCATCTTTTTAATATACACTGTTTATGTGTTTCATGATTACAAAGAAAACTGTTGACAGATTGTCAATCCTGCACATAAAATACAAGAAAACTTGATAATAAGGTACAATTAACTTACCTGGAGCCTCACTTTGAGGTAATGATAAGGGAGGCAATCCGTCTGCTGGTATAAGACATTTAGTTGTTCTTTCTGCAACAGTTCTTAACCTACGAGATCTTGGAGTGTGCTGACCTACAATCAATAATTTTTGCAACATTTCAATCAAATATAACAAAACATTTGTTTTATTCACAATTCAAAAAGATCAAAGTCTAACTTACAATAAATATAACTAGCCATTGTATATGTCCATGGCCAATGAATTAAGTCACTGACTCCTAATTACTTGCCCCCTAAGGGCAATGAGTTCAAATCTTACTAGGGACTTTGGATTCTTTCATATGAGGAAGCTATCCAGCTAACTTATGGAGGGCCAGTGGTTGTACCTGAATTAATGCAAGTAGGGGGACCTAAGGTCTTCCTCAACTAAACCTGGAAAAGTTGTCATCTGAACATTATAGTGCCAGTGTGACTTAAGCCAACCCCCCCCCCCACACACACACCTCTGCCCCCTCCCCTCCTAACCCAAAAAATCAGTATCAATGTAAAATAAGGGAAAAAGGTCATAGTGTAGATGATCATATATACCTTGCGCTACTCTTTCTACACGTTTCTGAACCCGGGACCTTCGTGGAGGCATTCTAGATACTTCACTTGACCCATCTAGTTCAGTAAGGTCACCTCCTGGACGTATTCCATCAGAAAACATCACCTGCTTTGGTGCACTTTGCCGATTGGAACCTGAATCAAAGCATTGATCACTACATAAAGAGCCACACAAAAAACTATAAATTTTACATTATTAATTCTAGTTACATAAGTTATTTGACCCTTAACCTGCTGCATTTGTGTAATGCATTTATCCAGCTTTGAATTCAGAACAGTTCATTTAAAATTTAAGGGATTTTAATATCAAAATACAAAAATTTAGCTACTGACATAGAACCAATGTCCAGACTGTACAGTGGAAAAGACCAGTTACATTCTGGTCCAGCAGGCAAAGGGTTAAACAGCAAACAGAGCAAAAAATACATTATCTGTTAACTATTCAGTAAAGCTGATAAACAATGTACAAATGTTATACTTGTCTAAGATATAAAGAAACAGATTGCACAATAGTTGTCTATGATCACACTGCAAAATTGACCAATAAGAAAGAAAACAGATTGAGATGTGCCCTCCTCCAAAGAATAATGAAGCTATGCCATTAAGACAGTGAAAAATATTTCAGATAGCAGACAGCAAATCTGGAGGGTAATGCAAAAATCTTTTAGACCAGAAGATAAGGCAATATGTTAAACAAAAATTTAACAGAAATACTTATTTTATGATTTCTGTAATTTCAACAATATAAAAATAAAATTCTCATGTATAATTACAGAGTAAAAAAATACTTTATACAGGAACTTTTAAACTTTTGTTTTTTTTCTGACGAGATAATTTTTACATTTTTTTGAATAAACATGTCAAGAAAGGTTACCTCAAGCCCCCACCCCTTTCCTCCCTAGCAGCCATTTTTTCATCACATAAAAATTATTTGGACAAAATTGGAAGAGTGTCACCTAGAAATCATTTCTGTGATATTGTATCGAAATCAGTACAAACGTTTTTTACCAAGAAGATTTAAATTTTTTCTCTTGGTCACAATTAAAGGCAACCAGACTTCTACATGGAATAAATTTCTTTGAACAACTTTAAAGGGGATTCAACCATACAACCATAGAACATACGTGTTTCCATGAAACTGATAAGTGGTTTAGGTAAAGTTGTTGAAAGAAAAAGTATGAAGCGACTGACAGCTGATAACATTAGCTTAGGCACATTTTCCTCTGGTCAGTTACCGGTAATCAAAGCAAAATTTCTTGGTTAATTATCCTTAGCCTCCTAGGGGCAACTAATTTTACCCATGTGATCAGTGCAGACCAAGATCAGCTGGCATATCTGTGCCCTGTCTACTCTGTTTGATATTCAGTCAGTATATATTTTGAAATTTTCCCTTAAAATGATTAATGGTCTTGCCCAGATTATTAGATGGACAAATCCATTCAACATTTTAGTGTGGAAAGGGTTAAACATTTCATGAGTCATGCTTTCTGTTAAACTTAATAAAATTTCAATGCAGCTAGTTATTTGCAATTATTTACTGTAGAAAATCTGTAAAGCATTAAAGCAAAGCTAGGACATCTAAAAAAATATTAAGTAAACTTTGTTATGGAGTATAATAACCCAGTATGATAAATTATCTTTTGATGGGAGATGAAAATAATACCTATTGTTAATAAAACCATAAAATGCATATCATATAATGATACAAGATAAATGTCAAATACCAATTTGTGTCAAGTTTGTGCTTAGTTTTAATGGAGTAATGACCAAGACAAGCTGTTTTTGACATTTTACATCATACAGTATGTTCAATCTTTCCTTTGGAATTTCGCACATTTTCATTTGCACAGCACAATGTTTCAAAATAACATTTATTCATACCAAGTTATTGCAGATTCCGTCATTCTTACAGTGAATTTTCACACTATATAACAGCCTCTTTCAGATGTAAATTTCTCTTTAAAATCAGGCACTTTTCCAAAAAATCTAAACTTACACCAGCTTTACTACTTCCCAATAAGCCTTTTATGCTATAAGTCTTCCCAAAATCAGGAGGCTTAAAGGCATCTTTCCCAATTAAATGAGTAAATCCACAGCAGGTAATCATAGGCATATACGTGTATAACCCATTCATGCACATTTCAATTCTCAACTGGGTTAACAAAATCATGACTATTTGGTAACCATAGCTTCAACAACTTGGAGCCAATATTTTTTTTCAAATTGCCATCTTAGATGGCATCTACATGTATTTAGAGTTTCATCAAAAAATTTTTTATACTTTTCAAGTTATCCAATTATCAATTTCTAATGCCCCATTTTCACTATTTCAGTCACTCTAGCAACCAATATTCTGAGCCTAATAAAACAGAAAAGAGTGATGTTGCCTTATTTCTTTATGATTTCTATAAACATAGCAAGCAAGCAGAACTCGGATCAGAACAAAATGATTCTATTCACATAGCAAGCTTCATCAACATATCAATACATGTTGCTTTTTTTTTTTTAATTCAATGCAGGTTCAAATTTTTGGCCAGACGAAAAGACCAGCAAAGGGGGTCGCCTTCAGTACAGGACTTGTCAATCAAAAGCAAGTTTGCAAGATGCAACTAACAACAGAATATGCAGGAACAAAAACTAGCCAAAATCAATTTTCAATCTAAATACTTAAATATAATTCATAATTATTCTAAAAACGAAACACAAGCACAGCCCACTGGTTTTAGTATTGATTTTGATTTTTGTTGTTTATATTATTTCTTCACTTATTTGAATGAAAAAAAAATCCTCTTGTGAATCTCTTTTTATAAAATTGAGTCATAATAACTCTGTCATCGTCATAAGGCCACTTTCAAATTAAACTAGTGGAGGAAGACCTCATGGGACCTTTCTTTGAATTATTTCAAGCACAATGGGCTCCAGAGTATACATTGTATGTAGATCCATCAACCTTCCATTTGCAGGCTGGATTGCTTTGTCCTTTTATAAAAGAATTTGTAGTGTCTGATAAAATTTTAATCAACAGCTGTAAGGGCAAAGAGTTTTAAAGTCATTGACCACAGCTATTAGCCAAAAACTATTGGCTGCATCCATTGGCAAAAAGGCTGAAAAATTGAAGAGTTTGTATAACATACTGAGAGATAATGATATTAGGAAATAAGTCAGTATAAAATCTGTGTACAAATCAAAACAGAGAACAAGAAATTGCAATAAAGTCACACACCATCAGTATTGAACACAGGACTTAAGGAACTGTAAATTTTGGGGTTACTTGATCGCTAGAAATGAGTTCTTATTTATATGTTCATGTTAAATAAGAATTTCAAGCCAGAAAAGAATATCTTTTAAAAGTTGAAACCATAACCTCCAAAGGAAGTCATGTAGCTGCCATTTGAATAGGATACTCAATTATTATGTGTGCTTGACAGTAAAACTCAGTTAAAATCATTGCTAGAGTTATGGGCGTAAGTTAGTTACCTACAATTTTGACCACAAATCAAAAGTTTCCAGCAGACATATGCAGTGGTTAATGAAAGAGCACATGCAAACACTTAATGAAGTGTTTGACAGATACAGATACCAACATCAGGGGAGAGGTCAAGCAAAAATAGAGATAAAGATATGGAAAAACTAACTTGTCAGGTGGTATTTGTTCTAATTTAATAGTGAACGTGGGAAAATATTAAAGAGACGAAATTAAGTTCACAGTCTTTTGAAGTATAACTTTATAAGTTCATACTGACCCATGTGAATGTGTTAACTATAATAAGGCTCAAAATAGGAAAGATATAGACAGAAATCAGTTCAATGAACAAAACTAACAAACTCTTACTGCATATTTTAAGAGTTTGCACAGTTTATCATTATCCATTTCAATATGATCATTTATCACCCTATACAAAACAAACTTCAAGAAATTTTCTGCTTTTTTTTTCTTCCTGTTTTTGTTTATAATTGAAACTTTCAAGCCTTTTCTTGTAAAAGCCTAGCACACAAAAAAAACTATTCCAAATGCAAGAAAGCAACAACAGCAGAAAGATAACTCTTTGTAAACATATTATACTTACTCTCAACTCCAACACTCCCTATAAACAACCATTTAATATTTTAGAGCCTAAGCAAATGTTAAATGCTTAATGTATTAACAAATGTAAGCATGTAGTGTTACATAAAACAAGAGCTGTTGGCAGGACTGTGTACTCGACTATTCTCAGTGCAGGATAGTGAAACAACTTGTTTCAAACAAGAGCCAGGATAATGTAAAATTTTCTATGTTCAAAAAGGGCCATAATTCTGTCAATTCAATGCTTGAAACAGTGATTTCCTATTTTGCTCTAAAATGAGTGTTTTAAACACATTCCCTTCAGTAGTTTTAAAAGATATCAATTTGCATGCAAAAACTGAACCAAAATGTGACACACATGCCGGGGTGAGTAGAATAACTCTCCCTATTGAGCTAAAAACAATGACACATTCTAACCCAACCATAGGTTATTTTAGATTCAGTTACACTGAAAAGATCAGCAAATGTCTATGTCATCATGATCTTTTGACCTTTCAATATTGTATCTCATTCAATGTCCCCAAAGGTCCATTTAATGACCCCAAAGGTAATAGAAATGTTTGCCAAGATGCAACATTCAGTGTTAACAATGTGAAATGTTGGTAAAGCTTTCTGGACATTTTTTTGTTCTTCAAGTTTTAAAGCTGTTAGGTGACAGAGGAAAAACCTGTTATAATTCAAAGCTTAGCTCAGCAAGAGGTACAGAATGGATCATAAAATATATGATATACATGAACATATAAGCTTAGGAGCTAATTACGATAGTACATTTGTAAAACAACAGATCAACACACAAGAGGGCCAATATGGTCACAGATAATTTCATGGGTTATTTGATTTGCTCAGTACTTTGACCTACTGATGGCAAAATTCATAAGAAACCATCAACAAGTCATAACTGACATGCATTGTTTCATTTCTAGTCCTAATCTTACTCTGTTAACATTTATTGTTTAATATCTGGATAGAAACATACTTTACTAACAGGCCACAAAAGTTTTTGACCTATTGACCTTCACTGTCTAAATAAAATTCATCTTTTTGTTGTTCAGAAAAAAAATACTGATGCTTTCTCGAAAGATTGTTTTAAGTTCATCCCACCCTTCAATCAAAGGTTTAAAACAAACTTGCTACTGAAGAATGGTTGACTTTTAATTGGAGTCCTCTGTTTTGTTGAACTTCAAAAATTTTGGATTAGGTTATTTCTATTAACAAATAAGCGATCTTTAATAATATAATTAACAGCTTACCATCTCGTTTCAGAACAGGAACAAGGACCGAGGGAGGGGCAGCACTGGCCCCTTGTGTTGGTGGTACATTACAGTAATCTGCAGGGTTGTTGGGGTGGGGAGGACGACCAGCATCTCTCTCAGCTTATCATGAAATATCAGCAGATATACATGTTATAATTTATGGGAACTAAGTTATGTCACAATATGAATTTTATATCAATTCACCTTACACATTAGAAATGCTTTACCTGAAGACAAAAACAATCCTTAATATCTTAATGAAAGCCAGGATAATCAATATACATGTACATTTTTTTGTAGGATTCTGCATCACACCAACATGGTAAAGGTCATATGGCAACCTTCCAGCTTTAATGGTGAAATACCTCCCCTGTGTCCCTCCTTGCATTATTTCAAGCACAAACGGGAACCTTTGTAGAACCAACCGATATTCCATAAGCTAACTGGATAGCTTCCTCACATGAAAGAATCCAAAGTCCCTGGCTGGATTCGTACCAACAGCCGTAAGGGGCAAGTGTTTTGAAGTCAATGATCTTAACCATTAAGCCATGGATGCTCAAAGAATATAGATTATCAATATAACAACAAGAATGTAATGCTCATTGCTGTTTTTTTCTCACTAATAAGCAAGAACTACAAGACTAAAACTTATTTTAGTTCTTGCAAAAGCATGCATAACTTTAAAATCATATTAAGGAAATACCGTATAAGTGGTTTTTTCTGCGGTGACTTTATTTCTGCGTTTTCTGCGGTCAGTTTTGCCACCGCAGAAATAAAAACCGCAGAATATTTCTCTTCCCTTCTACGATATGTATCCTACATTATGGCCTGTTATGTCTAAAGTAATAATGACTAACAGATTATAACGGTTAGCGGGTTTTCAAGTTGTCGGCTGAGTATGTATCCTGTGTTTGTAAGGATGTACATATTGTTAATGATGCTAATTTAAGAATAAAGATATTTCAAAACATCCCAACCCTTATACTGCTAAATAATCGTTATATAATTTAATTGTTATCTGATTTACGGTAAATTTCTATCAATTTTATTAAATTAAAGATACTAACGGGGTATATTTTTCACACGTCACTTCACGCTGATCAAAGATGTATACCTTTCTATTGTTGTGCATTATGTTTGTTTGCAAGCAAACAATATAATTGCTTTTAATTACTATACAGTTTTGCGGTGACGACGATAAACAAATGCGAATGTGTACATGCAAATATAATAGATAGGGTAATGTGACTTAGACTTTGATAAGACAAGTCGCAGAATTTAAATCACGTTTTGTCCAAAGAATGTGCCGCAGAAATAAAGTCCGCAGAAAAAAAAACATGCCAAAATTTAGAAAAACCGCAGAATTTGGAGCCCGCAGAAAAAACCACTTATACGGTACGTGTTTTCTAAACATTCTTTTGTCACAACCTTTATTAATTGTTTACATGTTCAGTACAATGAAGCAGACATTTAAATAAAACAAATCTTTAAAAGTTTAAATACATTTTATTGAAAGGGAAGGCAATTTGCTTATTTGGACATACTTTTACTAAAATTCTGATACAATTTCATTAAATACCAGCCAGATGAGGGATACAAAGTGCAGACAAGATTGTATCAGATAGTCAGTCTAGTTTGAGAATATCCCCACATCTTTGTAATATAGGGGGAAATAGCAAGAGCAGTCAAGTAGAACGACATGCTTGACAATTCTAAGTGCTTGATAGTAAAACAGGAGCCTGAATTATTAAGGAATTTGCAAAGTGGGAAATTTCATACAAAATCTATGTCAGAATTATGAGCCTCCAGTGAACAATATATGCAATATACAAGCATCATTTAACATTAGCTGAGTTTTGTGCAATTGACATTCCAGGCAATTTTCGTCAAAATTTTCAACATGGTTTCAGGGGAAAAAACAGTTGAAACAATTGTAAAAAAAAACAGACACAGGACAATCATCTATCCTTACAACTCATTTAGTAATATGAGCTAAAACAAATTAGTATAGTGAAACAGATAAATATTTTTTGCCTAATTCTCAACCTGCTGAATTTTTTTTATTTTTTAGATGGACTTGTCCGTCTTCTATTTTTTGGAACTGTCCATGACAATTTTAGGGATAGCAAGATGAAAATTTATAATAAGTCAGCCAACATTGTCTCTACCTACTCACACTCCCACTTTATTTACAGGCGGGAAAAGGGGTTTAAATTTACCCAGGGTTGGTGCAGTTCGAACCCTATTTTGGGTTAAACGATCATGTTTCCCTTTCATATAAAAACCAGTACGGGGTTATTTTTCCCACGAAGCGGACTAAAAAGTGATTTATCATTTTTTTCAATTTGCAAAAAATTTTTTTTCCCAATTTCAAGCTAAAATAAATTTTTGAATAAAAAAAACAAATTTACAGGGGGGAAAAGGGCAAATTTTAATTTTTCATTTCCCCTGCATTTTTAAAGGGGTTTAAAATTTTAACCCAATAATAACTTTGGGATTTTATTTACCTATAGCCGTTCACTATGGCACAAAACCACAACTTTTCCCTTCCGGGTTCTTTTGGGTTTAATGGTAACCGTTCTTCATAGAACAACATGTAGAGCAAAACACCTGAAACAAAAGAAATATCATACATTTTCAACGGAACATCTAACCAATGTTATTCTAAATATTAAGTTTTGTACATTTTGTTGTTTTTCTCTTTAATTGTGTTATATAGTCTCAGAAACACAAGATCTTTTGAAAAGCTGTATATACCTTGATTTTAGTTAACTTGCCTGGATGGTGACATTTCCTATGTGAAATGTATATTCAAGGTTTCCTATAGTACAGTAACTTAAACTTATATAAGAACTTAGAAGTAAGTATGATTCAGTATCTTATAAACAACCTATGTGTAGCAATCAAAAGTACATATTTGTATGTTAAACTGACCGGATGCATACACAATGCAATGAATACATTTATGAAATTTCGATAAACAATTAAGTTATAATAAGTTTCAGACTGTAAAATATCATAGAGAAAGAAATGATAACTTTTAAAGTTGGAACTAGTTAGAGTGTGACCTTCATCCGATTTTGCTAAAAGGGAGAACCACTTTATACAAAAGTAATATAATATATACATTAAGACCATTTCAAAATGGCATTATGTACTAGAAATACAACAATATTTTACCTTTCCACAGGCTCTACAATGATGCCTTCTCTTTGTGAAGGTAAATCTTGATTCACAACTCATGCATATCGGTGCTTCAGCATCTGGTATCCATTTCGGGGCCACCTTACCTAATGTGGTACTATAGGGTGGTGGAGGATCTAGTTCCATGTCATCTGGGGGAATGAAAGGGGCTTCAGCCCCACCCTCTGCCCCAGCTGGACTATCTTGATCTAAATATATACAGCATATAATTAAAAAATAATTTTCATTTTACAATTGAGTATTTCTTTACTACTTATATAATATTATATATTTTTATTACTATGCATTTGTAGAAATCAGTCAAAAAGCAATTAACATTTTATTTTTCTCTTGGGCATGTAAAAAATTAAAAAAGCAAAAGCTGACCAAAGTCTACGAGGAGTTCATGACAATAGCTTCAATTTTTTTTTTAAGTGGAGCACAAAGTGGAACTTTGTACAGGTCAGTGACCTACAATCATAAGCTGGAAGATATATGTTAAGTTTCAAAGTCAAGAGCACTTTCACTTGTTATGAAGATCACTCACTAAATATAACCAGAAACTGTAAACATTCCAAAGTTCAAAAACAAAAATATTTCAGTAAAATTTTAAATTTAAATTTTATGGATTTTGGTTTCAAGACAGACATTTTTAATTTTTGGCATTTAAGAAAAACTATTAAAAAAGTAGGGATACTTTGTACTTTGTACCAAGAATTTGCAAATTTTCACAATGGGTTTATTTTTAAAATATTTAAAAAAGAATTATGCAAAAATTTTAAGTGAACACCTTTTTATGGGGTTTAAAGAAATGAACTTTTTTAAAGTTTAAAAACCCAAAGACCAAATAATACATGTATATAAACACTAAGACGGACATGTCCAAAAATAAAAAAATAAACCAACCAGCTGTGGCATCGTGTTCCTCATTTCTGCCTGCTGTTGTTTCCATAGCAACACCAGCATCAGTTTCTGGGGATTGTTCCTCATCTGACATTTCCCTATCAACAGCTGGATTAATTGTAGGTGGAGGTGGGAGATTCAAACTTGTTGGTCTTTTCTGCTTTTGGACAGGTGGATGACCTGAGTCTGATGGACTCCAAGATCTAGGCCTGTCTAAAGCTATTCCTTCTGATGGCTGCATTCTATCTGGATACCTCATATCAACAAGATCCGCCTCACTGTCACCCTTCACTTTATCAGCATTAATGTTTTTACCAACATTTTCAATTCCATTGTCAGAATTTTCCATCAACTGTCTAGATTCTTCACTCTGAATTATCACAGAATCAATAACCATTTTTTCCTTATCTTGATTCACTGGGTTAGCGACATGACTAGTTTCTTCACCCATCTCCACAACATCAGAGACAAGTGGTTTTATCACAAATGGTGACTCGGATTTCAAATTCACAGTAGAGAGCCCCATTAATGAATTTGGCCGATTAACTTTCATTTGTGAATCTTTTGGTCTAGTACCAACATCCATTAAATGTTCACTATGTTCACTTGTGTGTGTAGATGTGTTTTCCAAATCATCATTTAATGAGGCAACACCACTATCTAGTGAAATGTTTGCCACTGGTGATAAAGTTGAAGAGAGATTGGTTATCACAGGATTAGTGTTTGCATTACTTTGATTTGGAATAGTTGTTAAATTTTTAAAAACTTCAATATTTGAATTTTCTGCTTGACTGAATGCTGATTCTGTTTTAGTATCAACATGATCATCTGAATAACCTGAGTCTCTCACAGTATTTGTTGCACATACCTCAGATGTGTCCATGTCACATTCATCAAGTTTTGTTGTTCTAGCCTTTGTTTCTTTTTCTTCTTTATTTACTATTTCAGTATCACAAACTCGTAACGAATCTTGATTCTCAGGTGGAAAATTTGCAAAACCATGACCAGATTGGTTGTCCAAGTAGCTTAAACCAGTCTGCTTTCCTAATTGAGAATCAGGCTCCTGATTGTTCAATCCTTCAGATTCATCACACAAATATTCATTTATATCAGTATCATCTTCAAGTTCATCCATGTTTCCAAAACCTACAACTTTTGCAGATTTTGGTTTACTGAAGTCTTTATTTTGGATTTTATCCGTTAAATATCCATCATTTACAGTTTTTGTGTTTATACTTTCATTTGCACAATCCATAGAATGGTTCTCTTGTATTTCACTTTTCTGCATTCCTATCTCATTATCGGTAACAGTAGACAAGTTTGTATTTGCAACTTTTTCAGCATACTGTGTTTCATTTTCAAGTTCAGATGGTAAAGAACCACTTGAATTTACTCCTTTTTGAGGCACAGTCTGGTGTAAAGTTGCAGGTAAAGACTGTGATGAAATAGCTCCTTTTGTAAAATTACCACCAGGAAAGAACTGTTTAGTTTTATCATTTGATTCACAATTTGTTTCCAAATCATCTTTCAGATTTTGTAGTTTAGGAATGTCTTGCATAGATTCAACATCTGTCTTCCTACCTTGACTTGCTTTTGAAGGACTTGACTGTCCTACACTATTTCCAGATATCTGAGCCTCAAAGGGATTTACAGTTGAATCTTTAGGAGTCTGAGGTGTGTTACATTGCACTGGATATTTATCATATTCGGGACTGGAGTTTATACTATTAAGGCTTGGAATACTTGACAACTGCTGGTGGTATTCTGGTGTCTCTGAATGTTCAAATCCCCGTGAATCATCAGAATGTCCATTCATCTGAAGTGGCATTTCTGAAAAATCTACCCCAGGTGAATTATCTGCCTGAATTGGCATTTTTATGTTCTCAGGTTGAAACACTTGTAACTTTAAAGCATTCTTTTTCTCTTTTGGTTGTGAAACTTGCGGTAATCCATACAAATTATGACTATTTTCAAGATCACCATTCATGTGCTGGCCTGATTTTCCAAAAATGTTTTTTTCGGGGGGTCATATTCTTTCAAGCTTTTGTGTTTAGTGACATTTCACGAAAAAGCCCCTTATAAAATCTCTCCCCTAATGTTACTAGGGGGGAGCAAAAAACCCGCCTCAGATAGGGTCAAAAGTCTCCCCTTTTATATTTGGGGAAAACATATGGGGACATTTCAATGCCTTCTCTGAAAATTTTTAAATCTTTATCAATTTTAAAAAAAATACTGTTTAAAAACCGTTTTTAAAAGTTTCCATGTCCCAATGTCATTCCAAAATTTTTTTCAAATTGGGTTTTTTCCAAAATATGCCCCGAAATCCACTTGGGGTTTTTTCTCTTACCTGGTCCAAATTCTCTGAAAAGGGTGAAGTGTGTGCAAGTTTAGAATTTTTTGGAAATTTCCTTAAAAAGAGAAAAAATCCCAAAAAAATGGCCCAGTCTTCGGAACTAAAAATTGGAACATGAAATTCAATCTGAAATTTTTTTACTTCAACATGTATGAAAATTAACATTATATAATTCAAAATGGTTATGAAAATTTTAATTAAATTCTTCCTCTTTTTAAAAAAAATTTTTATGTCCCATCCTACTGTGTTTACATTTTGCATTAATTAGAAATGAAACAAGACATAAATGAGATATATTACAAGACATAAAAATATAAAGGAATAAAAACCTTCAGCCTCAAAGTCATCAAGAACTTTATCCAGGTCAACTAAAAGGCTGTCCATTTTTGCAAATTTTGTGGACACACACGTTTTTCTCAAAATATTAATCTACCTGAAAGAAAAAAATCATATGTTATTTCATTTAATTTTATAAACATTAAATAAATTACTATCTACCTTAACTCAAGGGCATTGATGTAATGATTTTTTATCACTTAATGCCATGTTAAATCAAGGTGTTCTTTTAAATCATCAAGATCACCTTTTTTTATTCAACCTTTAACTAGCTGATTATGCTTAAACTATTGATCCCAAATTGTGGAGTTGTGGCAAATTAACTTGCATTTTTTTTGGATACAATGTTAACTTTTGTTTTGTTTTGGGTTTTTACGTCACATCACCACAGTATAGGTTATAATCGCGACGTTTCCAAAGGGGGGCTTTTAACTGGGGGGGGAAGACCCTCAGGTCCCTTCCTGCATTATTTTCAGGCACGAACGGGCAACCTGAGTTAGAACCACGACGTTCCGTAAGCTATCCAAAGTACATAGATATAAATCCACTTAAAAAAGATTCACTAAACACTTCAGAAAAAAGATTTTTATAACTTAAAGACAAAATTTAATACATATTTAGAATCACAATTTTGAAAAGAGACCCCTTAAAACTTTAAAATTTGAAAAAATTTATATTTTTAATTGAATAATTGATATTTTAAACAATGCATTTATATCAATTTCATGATTTGTAGATATCTGTTTAACCTATAATTTCAAGAAAATGTTGAATCACTGGTATGTGATCACTGGTACATGTATATTCAAAAATCTGGTTAGGAATGTCAATGGCCAAGCTCCTTTATTGTCTGCTTGGGCGTCTGTAGTAGGCAGAAATTTCTGGTAGAAATATTCAAAAAGTTGAACCCATTGGTTTACATGTATGTACAACCTTGACTTTACAATGTTTAAATTATAACAAATGTACTCAATTTATGGACTAAAAAGGACCTTAAAGAGTTGAAATTATTTTTGTCCAATTAGCGATTGCGTATTTTCCCAAATGAATAGTAAACCATATTACTTTGGTAAATCGGCAAACAGTTTATCAGTCATGTAAATTGACTGTTTATAAAAATGATTTAAAATACTAAGCCAGTTTAAATTTATTAGTACATATTTACTAAGATAAATTGGTCGCGCGAGACCAATTTAATCTGTGCGACTAATTTAAGTTTGTAAATAAGTACTAATAAATTTTAACCTTTACTTAAAAATCTGCGTAAAAATCAAATACCCCAGTTGGTTACATATCTTTCTTATAAATTCAAACTGATAACTATAATTATAATTCATTTCTTGTATGTAAATAAAGACAGATAGTTTAATGTTTTTGACAGGTACTGAAAGATATATCTATTGTGCTGTTTGCACGTATACAGAAGATATGAAATTATGTCTTAATTTTTTTTTTTAATGCGAGAGCAAAATTTTACTCAGTGTGAGTAATATATCTTATATATCCTACCGTGACCCAAATTCGGCGTTCTCCTAAATTCCGCGATGTGTTTTGTTTTTCGTCATTCACACAAGATTTTAGAGGTGAAGATCAATCATGTTGAGTCTTACAACTCAAGTGATTTTCTGCGCTTATGATGGAGATATGGCTGGTAAACATTAAAAATTGTATATGACATGGAGAAAATTGTGTGCTTTACCTGATGCAATTTCAAGTTTATCTATACTTTCCTCTATTAAATTGATATTGTTGCTTAAAATAATTTGACAGTCGCCGTCTGTTATCTTACTATTTTTACTGCCGATATAGGTCAACATACTACGTCACAATCCCGCCAAAATTAAAAATTTACTGCAACCAATCACAATCGCTGAATTAAGGTGACGTTTTTAGATGGTAGTAAAATTTTACATAAGCCGTATTTGTTTATATTTGGCAAACGCTGAATGATTACATTGTTAGAAATCAACTTAAAGTAACTTTTAAATAGTTGTAGCAAAATTATATCAAGTATAATTATAGATTATTGTAGTTTATTGAAATTGCCATTGACTTTGTTCTTGTATCACCGAATTTAGGTTAGGGCCTACACCGGGATATATAAGTGAGTAATATACCTTGCATGTATTTTATATATAGTAAAGGATACTGGTCTTGATAGACAAGGGAGATAATTTTATGTCCTATGAATATTTTGACAATTATTGGCAAGACAAATGTGATGATTGCCTGTGTAAGAGAGGCTATAAGTTAATAATGCTTGACTAGGAACCTGGAAGAGAATCTTATTTTGGCTATATATCCTAGAATAGACCCCGGGGTCTAAACCAGGATTATTATATCTAAGGTATTCCGTTTTCTTTAGTGTAATATATTACTTCTGAAATATACATAGGGGTGACGGTCCAGGAGATTGCCAATTTCAGTACTTTTTTCACAGGAAAAACCTAAGGCTAAACTAAATTTGCTGATTATTTGTAAGTAAACAGATTATGAATAAAATATTTTATGCAAATATATAAGCTTTAATATTCTTTAGTAAGTCGCATCATAACGCATTATCGCTGACAAGCCAAAGTGGCAAATGTTGACGGGTAATGCTCTGGAGTCGTGTACCAGTTTATACAATAACCAATAAAAAATATTTGACAGTTCTGTCGGCCATTTTTGTTGTAAATTTATCCAACAATTAACGTGAAACAGGATCATTCTTAAGTTAAATATCGTAAGTACCTTCCATTAACGTAAATAATTCATCAGTCAACTTGAATATCCATTGGTTTGTTAATAAAGAGATAGATATAGAAGATATTTACATTATTTCTAATAAGCAGCTGCGATGATTCATTCTCATCCGTAGGTCAAGGTCGGTTTGTAAGTCACGTGACTAAACGGAAGCAGCATGTCAAACTTTTATACAGGATGAATTTTTATGGACTTTCCAGGCAATCTAGTTTCGTTTCATTTATAAAGACACTTGAACATAATTGGTTACTCCATGTAAAAACGACAAGGACATTAAAAACTCAACAAACTAGGATAAAAAGTTCACAAAACTTTAGCACTAGTTGCAAGCATTTGACTGTAAAGAAAAGGAAAAGGGGACCATCAGCTAGATCAAATAAACTTTTCCAAATAGAACAGGACAGATTGGCCATGGCAACATCAAAATTAAAGGATCAATATTTTGATTATTTCCTTGTGCTTGACTTCGAAGCAACATGTAAAGAAAATGAGCTGATTTACCCTCAAGTAAGTATATTATAAAATTGGTTTTGATTATAACTGCCAACAGAATTGTAAACACTATCAGAGATATAAAATACATGTATAGTGTCTTTGACTTATTATAACAAGCATTAATAGAGTATTAATATGATATATTAAAATGCAGTTCAGACATCTGCAGTGGTTTATTTAATAAATTGAAATTGAATGTTTAATTAATATAAGGGTAAGAATTTTACAAATATAATATATGTTGTATTGTATAGACTTATTGCTTGTTTGATTAAATTGTGCAGCTTTTTGTCTTGAATTTCAGGAAATAATAGAGTTTCCAGTTTTAAAGATTAACTCAAAGACATTGGAAACAGAATCAGTATTTCATCAATATGTTCAACCCAGGGTTCATAAAGACCTAACACCTTTCTGTACAAAAGTAAGACATTTAAAATGATTGTACATGACAGTGTTAAATGTTTATTCAATCATTTAAATCATTTTTGATCACAAGATTGATAAAAATGTTTCAATGTTTCTTTTCTTGTCCTTTTTATAAAAGGACATTCACTGAGGTCAGGAAGCCTAAAAACATAACATTCTTACACAAATCAAGTGAAGCACTTAAAATGGAAAAATCTGCATAGATAAATATTTAACAAATATTGTAACACATGTCATGAAACTTTCAGTGGAGTTCCTGTAATTTCCTAATACCAGATATTGAATAAATAAAATCAGAGACAAATATTATAATTATATTCAATATATAATAATTATCATATAAAAATGTAAACCCAAGCTGCTTCTTTTTAGTCAGCCGTAGCTTTGCCATAAATGCAATTATTTCTGTATAATATTTAGTTGAGTATACCCTTTGGACAGCTGCTCCCCACTAAGATTGGTATGGACCACTGCTTCCACCAAGTTTGATATGGACCACTGCTTCCATCAAGTTTGATATCGACCAAGTGCTAATGCCCACTAAAATTAATATGAACCATTGCTTCCAAGTTTTATACGGACCACTGCTTCCACCAAGTATGATATGTACCACTGCTTCCCTCCAAGTTTGATATGTACCACTGCTTCCCTCCAAGTTTGATATGTACCACTGCTTCCCTCCAAGTTTGATATGGATCACTGCTTCCCTCCAAGTTTGATATGGATCACTGCTTCCCATTTCAATTGATATGAACCACTGCTTCCCATTAAGATTGATATGTACCACTGCTTCCATCCAAGTTTGATATGTACCACTGCTTCCCTCCAAGTTTGATATGGATCACTGCTTCCCATTTCAATCGATATGAACCACTGCTTCCCATTAAGATTGATATGTACCACTGCTTCCATCCAAGTTTGATAATGGACTGCTATTTAATCAATCAAGAACGATATGATCTACTGCTTCCCACTTAGTTTCATATGGACCACTGCTTCCCACAAAGTTGGATATGCAGCACTGCTTTCCACCCAATTTTTAGCTCGACTATTCGATAAGAATAAGTAGAGCTATTGCAGTCACCCGAGCGTCCGCGTCCGCGTCGGCGTAACCACTTATGTTAAAGTTTTTGTAATAGTTCAAATATTTTCAAAGTCTATTGACATATGGCTTTGAAACTTTGCACACTTGTTCACCATCATAACCCCAACCTGTAGACAGGAGAAGGTAACTCTATCAAGCATTTTGACAGAATTATGCCCCTTTTTCGACTTAGAATTTACGTTAAAGTTTTTGTAATAGTTCAAATATTTTCAAAGTCCATAGACATATGGCTTTGAAACTTTGCACACTTGTTCACCATCATGACCCCAACCTGTAGACAGGAGGAGGTAACTCTATCAAGCATTTGGACAGAATTATGCCCCTTTTTCGACTTAGAATTTACGTTAAAGTTTTTGTAATAGTTCAAATATTTTCAAAGTCTATTGACATATGGCTTTGAAACTTTGCACACTTGTTCACCATCATGACCCCAACCTGTAGACAGGAGGAGGTAACTCTATCAAGCATTTTGACAGAATTATGCCCCTTTTTCGACTTAGAATTTACGTTAAAGTTTTTGTAATAGTTCAAATATTTTCAAAGTCCATAGACATATGGCTTTGAAACTTTGCACACTTGTTCACCATCATGACCCCAACCTGTAGACAGGAGGAGGTAACTCTATCAAGCATTTTGACAGAATTATGCCCCTTTTTCGACTTAGAATTTACGTTAAAGTTTTTGTAATAGTTCAAATATTTTCAAAGTCCATTGACATATGGCTTTGAAACTTTGCACACTTGTTCACCATCATGACCCCAACCTGTAAACAGGAGGAGGTAACTCTATCAAGCATTTTGACAGAATTATGCCCCTTTTTCGACTTAGAATTTACGTTAAAGTTTTTGTAATAGTTCAAATATTTTCAAAGTCCATTGACATATGGCTTTGAAACTTTGCACACTTGTTCACCATCATGACCCCAACCTGTAGACAGGAGAAGGTAACTCTATCAAGCATTTTGACAGAATTATGCCCCTTTTTCGACTTAGAATTTACGTTAAAGTTTTTGTAATAGTTTAAATATTTTTAAAGTCCATTGACATATGGCTTTGAAACTTTGCACACTTGTTCACCATCATGACCCCAACCTGTAAACAGGAGGAGGTAACTGTATCAAGCATTTTTTTTACTATCAAGCACTAAGAATAGTCGAGCGTTGCTGTCCTACTGACAGCTCTTGTTTATGAACCACTGCTTCCAACCAAGTTTGATATGGACCATTCAGCTTCCCATCAGGTTTGATAAACAGCACTGCTTTCCAACAAAGCTAATATAGAGTTGTTCTAACAGGAAGAATTAAGGATACAAATCATCGATGAATCATTTAATATTTTTGTACTTTCAGTTAACTGGAATAATCCAAGCAATGGTAGATGACCAACCATATATAGAGGATGTGTTAAAGGTAATGCAATAGGTCAGATTTCAAATGAAAGCTGTTGACAAATAAATAACAATAAGTTATATTGTTAGCACCTTATAACAAAAATATATAGTTACAAATATAATTAAATTTCTATATACATTATTTATGAAGCCTTTTGTTCCTGATCAAACTTTATAGCAGCATGCCACCAGGTTCATGCTAAATTTCATAAAAAATTTTTAATGTATTTAAAAGTTAGATATTGTGAAGTGAAGAAAGTAATTTATTAATTGCAAAAGTCATAATTATTATTTGTTGTATTGTCCCTATCTTAAGTAACAAGAATGATATGACTGTCATTTTGACCCCCTGAATTTCTTAAATGGCATTGTTCAGCCTCCTATTTTGGAACTGTCCATTATCATTTCTGGGGATAACAAGATGAAAATTTGAAGTTGGTCAGACCGTTATGACTCTATACATTTGTACTTGTGTGAAGGGCTAATCTGATTTGTATCCTGCAAGGTAGTGGCTGTCATCGTTATTTATATACATTCAAACTTTGTTGGTTGTCACATGTAAAATGTTAATTATTTGTTATAAATTACAGAGTTTTGATAAATGGATGGCTGACAATAATTTGCTGGATGAGAATGTTAAGTCATTGTTTGTGATCTGTGGTGACTGGGATCTTCTTAAAATGTGAGTTACCGGTACTTAATCAATCTTCTATTTAATACAGCATGACACCTGATGTAAATACAGTCGACTCCACTTATAACGAACTCGCTTATAACGAATTATCGTTAATAGCGAACTAAATCTGACATCCCCGGCCGATTCCTTCTTTATTATGTCTCCCCCACCTCGGGGGGAGACATATTGTTTTTGCCCTGTCCGTCCGTCCGTCCGTCAGTCAGTCCGTCCGTCCATTCTTCGTTTCCGGACGATAACTAGAGTTCCTTTTGACCTACAGCTCTCAAACTTCATAGGATGAATGGTCTTATTGAGCAGATGATCCCTATTGTTTTTGGGGTCAGTAGTTCAAAGGTCAAGGTCACAGTGACCGTTGGTCAATTTCTCGTTTCCGGATGATAACTAGAGTTCCTTTTGACCTACAGCCCTCAAACTTCATAGGATGATTGGTCTTATAGAGCTGATGATCCCTATTGTTTTTGGGATCAGTAGGTCAAGGTCAGACTGACCGTTGGTCAATTTCTCGTTTCCGGATGATAACTAGAGTTCCTTTAGACCTACAGACCTCAAACTTCATAGGATGATTGGTCTTATTGAGCAGATGATCCCTATTGTTTTTGGGGTCAGTAGTTCAAAGGTCAAGGTCACAGTGACCGTTGGTCAATTTCTCGTTTCCGGATGATAACTAGAGTTCCTTTTGACCTACAGCCCTCAAACTTCATAGGATGATTGGTCTTATAGAGCAGATGATCCCTATTGTTTTTGGGGTCAGTAGGTCAAAGGTCAAGGTCACAGTGACCGTTGGTCAATTTCTCGTTTCCGGATGATAACTAGAGTTCCTTTTGACCTACAGCCCTCAAACTTCATAGGATGATTGGTCTTATAGAGCTGATGATCCCTATTGTTTTTGGGGTCAGTAGGTCAAAGGTCAAGGTCACACTGACCATTGGACAATTTCTCGTTTCCGGATGATAACTAGAGTTCCTTTAGACCTGCAGACCTCAAACTTCATAGGATGATTGGTCTTATTGAGCAGATGATCCCTATTGTTTTTGGGGTCAGTAGTTCAAAGGTCAAGGTCACAGTGACCGTTGGTCAATTTCTCGTTTCCGGATGATAACTAGAGTTCCTTTTGACCTACAGCCCTCAAACTTCATAGGATGATTGGTCTTATAGAGCAGATGATCCCTATTGTTTTTGGGGTCAGTAGGTCAAAGGTCAAGGTCTCAATGACCGTTGGTCAATTTCTCCATTTCCATTCCTGTTTCCATTCACAGTTATTCTCAGCAGTGGGGGAGACATGCGCTTTTTTACAAAAGCATCCTCTAGTTTTATATTAAATCACATCGCTTAATACGTACTTGCTTATAACAAATTTTCGGCTATAACGAACCACTTTTCAAGCCCCAAATGACGGAAATCATTTAAATTTCCTCGGTTATAACAAACTGTTATACTTGAAATATCGGGATGCGCTCGATTAGGATCAGTACATGAATAACGCTATCTGATAATTAAACAATCGAATGATTGCACAAGTTAGTTATGGCTTCAGGGAATAAAGATTTTGATAAAATGTTCTCACAATATAATTTCCTACTTGTTACGGAAAATTTGTATTTCACACCCTCAGCTGATTGCTGTAAATACCCGATAATTGCCAAATAATCGGGTTTTTTTGTTTGCAATATTAACCAAACGATAATAAACAAAGAAAACAAATGGTAAGAACTTTATAGACAATTAATACATGAATAGATACTTGTACCATGTACATGATATATTGCTCAGTTAAATGCCCCACATTTAATAACCGCTGAAGTAAATACCGGTTATATCGGTAACCAGTGAAGAGTATGGCTTTTTCACGGCAAATTTCCCCATCCAAACATGTCAGCAAGTTGCTGCTACTTCGCTTTTAGCGAACTTCGGATATAACGAACGATATTTTAATGTCCCATTGAGTTCGTTATAACCAGAGTCGACTGTATTGATGTAGATGAAAAGTTGTATTACTAAATGAATGTACATTGCATAAAGATTAAAGTATTTAACCAAAATTGTATTTTACATTGTTTATGTATTGGATAATAAGTTTTCTTTATTGAACAAAAATGTTTTGTGTTAATTTACATTTTGATTACATCTATTTGCAAGAAAAGGAGACTTTTTATAATTTAAATTTACAAAAATTTCATATTTAATCTAAGTCATTGAATGGCATTGTCCAAGTTTAGGAATATTTATTATTTATCACATAAACCGCGGCGCAGGAGTGTAATAAAGCCATTTAATAAAAACGATATTACACTTGACAATATTACACTAGTGTAATAACACTTTGACGTCACGTCATTTACACTATAAACATAGCGTTAAAGCGCGCTAATATTAGCATTACACTATAGGCTCGTCAAAGAAAAATGACTTTTGTTAACAGTTTACCGTTCTTATTTTATATATGTGATAAATAGAATATTATATTCGTGTATATTCAATACTAAATTTATTGAACTCGTTGAATAAAACAATATTATGCTCGCCAGAGGCTCGCATAATATGATTTTATTCAACTCGTTCAATAAATTCAGTATTAAACCTACACTCATTCAATATCCTCTATATAAATGGTGATTATTCTGCAATTACTTCTTTAAATTGGCATAAATGAGAGATATTTCACCTCCGAGTAAGGTCTTTCTAAGTGAAAGACCCTTCTTAGGTTCAGAAGTAATGATTAATTTAAATGGAATATATCCTGAAATAAAATGTCAGCGCTATAGTTTTGATGTCTGAACTAAGTGCTTCGGGATCAACTTAGACTGATGCCAAGAAGAAAATTCATAAACATTTTTTGTCTGCATTTGTCTTTTATCTGGGCCTACATTTAGGGTGTATGCAGGTTTTTCACATGAATGATATAAATGTAGCTTAAGCTCCCAGATCAATATGATTTACAAGACTTAGTGAGATAACGTTTTTGATGATTTTATCTAGAAATGTGTTAGGTACAATGTACCTTGTAGTGTCTTGTAGTGTTTACTGTAAAATCAGAAATTCTCAGAAAGGATTAAATTTTGCAATTGAAGATTTTTGCAAAACTTAATGTTTGCTAGGTTTGTGTATCATATATTATCTGAATCATATCAATTCAACAGTACTGAAAGTGGAAATTTCCAAATAATTTATCTCACCAATTAGCCTTAAAAAAATTTTTTTCACAAAATTTGGACCTTGCAAAAATATTTGATTTTACAGGAACTTTGGGGATTTGTATGAACATTTGTCTATTTTCATAGGCTCCCGTCACAAGCTGAATATTTCAAGTTTGAAACACCAAGTTATTTCAACAGATGGTTGAATGTTAAAAAGGTAAGATCAAAGTATGTTTTCTGAAAATTATTTGAGAAAACATGTTTAGGAATATAAATATTTTTTTTTTAAATATTTTTTTAAGTACATTAGGTTACCGCTGGTAAACTAGGAGTAGGAGCGTCCATAGTCAAGTGGTTCAAGCCGTTGACTTCAAGTCACTGGTACCTCACTGCTGGAATGCCATCAGGGACTTTGGATTATTTCATGTGAGGAAGCTATCCAGCTAGCTTATTGAATGTTGGTGGTTCTTCTCAGGTGCCCATTCATGCCTGAAAAAATGCACAGGGCACTTGAGTTCTCCCTCCACCATTAAAGCTGTAAAAGTTGCCATATGACCTTTACTGTGTCAGTGTTGGTGTGACATAAAACCCAACGAAAATAATATATTTATACATGTATACTTTCCCATACAGCTAGTGCAACATACATTATACAGTGTTGTCAATTTAAGAAAGAAACTATAGGACATTGTAATTACTGGGAAAGGCCTCATGTATACTTAAAGTTGCATGCCTCTAGATGAGCCAAAGTATTTCAAGAAAATCAAACTGGAGAAAAAATTTCTAAGAGTTTAAGAAAATAGTAAAAAGAGTAAATATTTCAATGTAATTTAATGACTGATTTTGCAGTATTTTATCACCATATTATAATTTTGATTTTGCAGTATTTTATCACCATATTTCTACTGCTTTACTAACACAGAAAGGGCTGTTTCTGCATACTTTGACCTCTTTCTAGTAATTGACATTGGTTGAAAGTGCCATCTGCAATGTGTAAATTAGCATGAATCTGGTGACGTACTGCTTTAAGCATCACATTTCCCAATTTCATATACATGTACTAGTATAAATATTGTTATTGTTAAAGTACATGTGTACAATTTGTCTAATTTCAAACTATTGGCCTTGAAATGAAACATTGGTTAGTGAAAAATTTATATAGAGGATATTTGTTTAGTTCAGTGTAAGATCGGAATATATTTCACTGAGTGAGCACCAAAAGGTATATTTCACGAGTGGCGCAGCCACGAGTGAAATATGAACTTTTGGTGTTCACAAGGTGAAATATATTTCGATCTCACACTAAACTAAACAAATTTTCTTTTTATTACATGCAAAGAAACGTTTTAAAAAGACATTTAACCTAATACTGAATGAAAAGCGCGCCAAATGATAATACAACGTGATGTCATTTACGACGTCACGTCATTAAGTTGGTACCCAGTACTGTGAACGCTGGTATTTCACTGAAACAACGTAAGGGGCTTAAATTCAAAACAGTGAAATTATCAAAGTGGTAATTTTACTGTTTCAAACAGTGAAATTACCTGTTTTATATCACTGATATATTTCTATAAACCACTGAATAGCATGCAATAAATATAAATCTTGTCCTTTGTATAAAAAATGGCCTGCTATAAGGGTAGAGTTTCATGAAAATAAAAAAAAAAATTAGAAAAATCCACAAAAAAAAATTTTAATTCCAAAATCAGCGCAAATGAAAATGAGTGCAAATAATTTGCATGTAGCAAAAATAAATATTTGCATGTAGCGTTGCTTTATGATCTTATGATACACTGCAAAAGTTAAACTCTGGGTTAAAAATTGCTGATCCCTCATGGAACATAAAGGTTATTGTACTACAGTGTAGCTTGATTAAAATCAATTGGTTCTGTGACCTTGTGTGTTTTCACAGTATTGTGCCATTCTAAAGAATGCATTTTTACTAGTATATTATTTACTTTTATAAGGCCTATGCAGAGATGACTTCAACATATCCCAAGGGAATGATGCCTATGTTAGAGGGATTAGAAATTCATCACCAGGGCAGACACCACAGTGGCATAGGTAAGGAAGCACTTAATCTCATCTGTAATAATTCTCTTCTAATGAACAAAAAAAAAGATTTTAGGTTTGCCTTTTTATGTGCTTTAAATAAAGAAGGGTGAATTTTTGCTCAATGTAGTCTCATATACCATTATAAACAATACGATTTGTTCCAATAAACACAGTGATAGCACGGGGGAGGAAGTGTTACACGAAGGATGGAGTTCTTATGATAACTTGTTTGGAGTTCTTATGATAACTGTCACGGAGTTCCAGGAAAACGTTACGGATTTCTGTGGAAAACTTTTCTATATACTTGGAGAACTCGCGTAAATAATGGTTATTTTTAACTTTAAATGGGGAGTTTGAGGTGCTAAATTTAACTTTGATAATTAAACTTGCCCTACATATTGTATTTTGTTTCAGAAAAAATATTTTAGTCCATATTTCGTCGCCTTTTTTAAAAAAATCTGGTAGTTTTGAGAAAAATTACCAAATTACTTGCTAATTCGTACATATTGACCTTTTCATTTGTGATCTTCATCGTTGCTATACATAATCACCTAATTATTATGGAGAGTTGCAAACATAAAGCCAAGGCTAATAAATTTATACCCGATTTTTCAAATGTTACGGAGTTCTTGCGATAACTCAAAATATGTCCTGGAGTTCTTATGATAACTTTTGTTACTGCCAGTAATGTTTTTGTGCTTAATCACGGCACGTTTAAGCGTATTTGATTAGTCAATAAGTGTGTAAATCATTATGAAGCATAGTACGCTTATCATTTGCACAAAAATTTGGTTATATAACGTTGGTTTTGATCGTGTTTTTCAGTTCAATAGATATTTTTCTTACCTCCGTTTCTTGTGTTTTTTGTGTTTGTTTTGGTCTTTGTATGTGTGTGTGTGTGTGTGTGTGTGTGTGTGTGTTTTTTATTTTATTGGAATGACTGTAAACATACTTGATGTAGAGCATTTACTTACAGGATAAAAAGACGCTTTGAATTTAATACTCAAGCATGATTTCGTCATATACTAGTATACATTATTCCTGGCAGTTTTAGAGAACATTTAGAACAATTTCTAAAAGGTATCAGTTTTTGTCATAGAAACGTATAAAGTGATATGACGATAGAAAGTAAGTCTTCAATAAGATATGTGAGTCACCGTAAGGTTCATGCCGTTTATCGACCTTGTTCCTTTCTCTTTTAAATCAAATGTAGCATCACGTGACGTACAGCAATCTCCATATTTCGGAAAATTACTGCATACATTTTCTTATCAAAGTTGGAGTCCTAGTTGTGGAAATTTTGCAACAACTTTTGCTGTAACTGATTTACAAAAATATATTGTCGAACTTCTTTCGCTCGAACCCGTAGGGCACGTGCAAACCTGTCGAAGAGATCGGTAGTAATCGGTTGATTTTTTATGCATAAAAAGATCATACATTTCGGGTGCATGGGTGTGAAGGGTATCCCGGTTACATACGATACAGGGTATATTATGATACAATTTACTTAGCCGCTTTTGAGCCCAACTACTTATTGTCTGCTTTAGAAAGGCGGTTGCTTAAAACATGTAACTGAGAAAAATGGTAAGTTTTAAACAATTTTTCCTTGGCGGTTTAAGCCATGTTACTGCTGAATACAGGTGACCGCTGATTCAGGTTTTCCTGAAGATTTTTGTTTGTTTGTTTCATTTTACGCCTTTTCCCCAACAGTATTTCAGTCATATGGCGGGTAGTTTCCTAACCATCTTTCCTGGAGAGTTACACCAGTACTAGACTACCTTCCTCCGTGCTAAACTACCAAAGCATCTCCCAGGGATCGAACCCACGCCAGAGAGGTAAGTGGATTAGAAGTCATCGACTCTTACCCCTCGACCACGGAGGCGGTCGTTCCTGAAGATAGCTTAGCACCTGTTTATCCTATATAGACTGTACACCAAAGCAGTTTCATGTCTTCTCCAGATATATTGAATGATCGTGTTTTAATTTTGCCACATGGCCTCAATGTTGCATTTGCGGAAACTTATGACATAAAACTTTTGTTGACGAAAAGTATACACAGAAACATTTAGTGCATTCGTTGGGTTTTATAATGTCAATATGATTTCGCACAAATTTAATTAGGAACTAAAACACGATCAAAACCAACGTTATATAACCAAATTTTTGTGCAAATGATAAGCGTACTATGCTTCATAATGATTTATACACTTATTGACTAATAAAATACGCTTAAACGTGTCGTAATTAAGCACAAGAAACACACTGGCAGTAACAAAAGTTATCATAAGAACTCCAGGACATATTTTGAGTTATCACAAGAACTCCGTAACATTTGAAAAATCGGGTATACATTTATTAGCCCGGGCTTTATGTTTGCAACTCTCCACTATAATTAGGTGATTATGTATAGCAACGAAGAAGATCACAAATGAAAAGGTCAATATGTACGAATTAGCAAATAATTTGGAAATTTTTCTCAAAACTACCAGATTTTTTTTAAACGGCGACGAAATATGGACTAAAAGATTTTTTCTGAAACATAATTCAATATGTAGGGCAAGCTTAATTATCAAAGTTTAATTTAGCACCTCAAACTCCCCATTTAAAGTTAAAAATAACCATTATTTACGCGAGTTCTCCAAGTATATAGAAAAGTTTTCCACAGAAATCCGTAACGTTTTCCAGGAACTCCGTGACAGTTATCATAAGAACTCCAAACAAGTTATCATAAGAACTCCATCCTTCGTGTAACACTTCCTCCCCCGTGGATAGGGAACATGGTTTAATACACATTTTTGTGTTGTCTCCTACAGAGTTGTGGTGATGTATAGAAATCATTTCTCCATCATTCTCAAAAACTACTGATGCAGTTTCAGCCAACTTTACATGAATGATCAGTACAAAGTCTTGTGCATATGGCCTGCATTTTCCAGTACAATGATTTTGTCAGTGTTGTAGGCTTGTAGCCCTAATGATATTTATTTTTAAAGTTGGGCTACTTCTCTTACACTAATGCAATTTGAATGAAACTTTAAAGAATTGATCTGTATGTGTAGGTCAAGTATATGTACTTGGGCATATTATACAGTTTTTTAGGTTGAATGATTTTTGGCTGAGTTATGGCCCTTGAATGAAAATGTCATTTTGAACAACTAGTTATTTTTGTGTTGTGTACAATAGCTGATACATGCTGCAATGCAGCCAGGATGTAGATAACTTTCCATAGTCTTGTCCTTCTGTCTCACACAAAACTTGTTCAGACTACTCATGCAATTTCATCCACACTTTCCAGAAATGATCAATACCAAATAAGGTTTTGCATATTGTCAGCATTTTCCAGTTCAATGATTTTTGTCAGAGTTATGGCCCATTTTAATGTTTTAAAATTATGTCAGAAATACTCTTATACTACTTATGCAATTTGAGTGAAACTCAACAGACACATGTGATCACTGATTGCTTTTTGTCATAAATTGTGTATATTAATAAAAGAAACCTTTATATTGATAGCAAATCAAGTTATCAAATTTGTTTTGAAGTAACAAATGTTTTCCATTTCCTTTCACAGATGATTGCAAAAACATTGGAAATATTCTGATTGAATTGTTGAAACGTGGATACATGGCAAAAGCTACAGGATCAAGATGACAGTGTATAAACTGACTTTATATCTAGTGATGTTTGTTATTTGTGCTAAGAGCAAGAACATTTTTCCTTATTTCAAATAAGCAAGATTTATTTGGATTTTATCTAGTTATTATAAATACGGTAAATAAATCATAACATTTATATATTCAGATTTTATATGAAGTTTTTTTTTATTAGCTCACCTGAGCTCTTTACAATAAAAGAGAGCTTTTGTAATGTCCAGAGGCTAACCATTGTTACTTGCTCAATCTCTTCCCAAACATTCTGTGGCAGTGTCTGGGGCCCAAAGTTGTTAAGTTTGTTTTGCTGTAGGTAGGTTCCTACTGCTGTAGGTTCCACTGTACCAGTGTGTTTGAATGCTTTCAAATTAGAAGCTATCCAAGTACCTTAAAGAATGTTGCTGGTTCTACTCAGGTGTCACTGTCTGCATGTGCCTGAAATAATACACAAAAGGGCACTCCACAAGTATAGCTGGAAATTCGCCATAAGACCTATCCTGTGTTGGTGTGACGTAAAACCAAACACAACCCAAACATTCTGAACTTAAATCACTGGAAGTATTATGATAATATTTCATTATGAAAAATAGATAGGTCAATGGAGCCGAATACAGATTTTAAAAGTGATTTTTTTTTAAGATTCTCAGCTTTCAAAGCTTAGATACATGATAAAAGTTATACAAGTGAAACAAGTTGAGTCAAAATTGCCCTTTTTCATCATATCAATTTCTGACACAAAATCTTCTCTGAAAACATAAAATGACCTAAAGATAATTATTTGATACATCGTGTACTATGCCAGGTAAAATCTTTAACTTCACTCCTAGAGAAATTAATTTCATGGAAATATGCCAATCTAAATAGATAGCAAAAAAGTACATGAACTCCTCTGTTTCACCTTCACATAAAAAGTAAACAAGAAATGTCTAGCGACACATATGCCCCCCTTTCTAGATGTTGACTCACATAGTTGGTAATTTTGTTATAGAAACTTGCCATAAATGGGTACATGGAAGTGTTCAGTTATGGAAAAAAGAAAACTAATGACCTACTAGTTATAACCAATCAATATGTGAAATATAAAGACCTTTACCTTTGAACTAGTGACCCCATTAAGACTAATCAATATGTGTAATATGAAGACTTTCTGATAAATAGTTTTAAAGAAAATGAAAAGAAACCATTCTGAATTTTACGGCCCCTGTGACCTTGCCCTTTGACATAGTGATCCCAATATTAATACGAGACATCTACTAGGTATGACCAATCAAAATGTGAAATATGAAGACTTTGTGATAGTTTTCAAGATAATGAGCGGAAACAATTCTGACATTTAAGGCCCCTGTGACCTTGTCCTTTGACATGCTGATCTCAAAATAAATAGGGGACATCTACTAGTTATGAGCAATCAGTAAGTAATACATGAAGACTTAGTGCTAAATATTTTCCAAGATTAGAGGAAACCATTCAGACATTAAACGATCCTGTGACCCCAAAATCAATACAAATCATCTGCTAGTTATGACCAATTATGTGAAATATGAAGACTTTGTGATAAATAGTTTTCAAGATAATCAGGGGAAACCATGTTGTCTACCGACTGACAGTCCTACCAGTCAAAACCAATCAATATGTGAAAAATAAAGACATTGACCTTTGAAATAGTAACCCCAAAATGACTAATTAATATGTAAAATATGAAGACTGGGATTAAAAGTTTTCTAGGTAATAAGCTGAAACTAAATTGACATTTAAGGCCTCTGTGACCTTGACCTTTGACAGTGATCCAAAAATGAAGGGGTCATCTACTACATATGGCTTTTCAATTTGTGAAATATTAAGACTTTGTGACAAGTAGTTTTCATGAAAATGAGGGAAAGCCATTCTGACATTTAAGGCCCCTGTGACCTTGCCATTTGACATAGTGATCCCAATATTAATAGAAGACATCTACTAGTTATGTCCAATCAATATATATGAGAACATGCAGAATTTGTTAATAGTTTTCAAGATAATTAGCGAAAACCATTCTGACATTGAAGGCACCTGTGACCTTGACCTTTGTTACCCCTAAATCAAAAGGGGTCATCTAATAGTAACGACCGATCAATATGTGAAATATAGACTTTGTGATGAAAAGCATTCAAGATAAAAGAGGGGAAACCATTCTTACATTTAAGGCCCCTATCAGCTATGACCTTGACCTAGTGAGCCCAAAATCAATAAGGGTCACCTACTAGTTATGACCAATCAGTATTTGAAATATGAAGACTTAGTGATGAATTGTTTTAAGATATCAGCGGAAACTATTCTGACATTTAGGGCCCGTGATCTTGGCCTTTGACCTAGTAACCCAAAAATCAATAAGGGTCATCTACTTGTTATGACCAATCAGTATGTGAAGTATGAAGACTTTGTCATTAATAGCTTATAAGATAATGAGGGAAACCATTCTAACATTTAAGGCCCCTGTGACCTTTGACCCAAAAAACAATAGGCGTCATTTACCAGTTATGAACAATCAGTATGTGGAATATGAAGACTTTGTGATAAATAGTGCAAGATAATCAACGAACAAACCGACCGACCGACATTAGCAAAACAATTTACCCCCTCTGATAATAATTACATGTATTTGCATTAAAAGTAAGAAAGATTATATATGCCATGTTTCAGATGATCTGACAAGACAGTACCTGCCAGTTGGGCAAAAAAATTAAATTTCGAGGACAGAAACACCAGTCTGATATTCAATGACTACATTCATTCACTTCTTAAGTCATTTATGTAAGCTTAGGAGTGTAAGAACTAAAGCACCACCCTCCCCAGATAATTAATTCACGAAATAACCCACACAGTTAAACCAAATAATATAAAAGAATTCAAACAACTCAGATATATGCCTAAAGTTTATTTAACATTTGTATCTACAAAAATGATGATTGCATTCACTTTAACAAATCAAACATTTCTTTCTTTTTTACTTGTAAGTTGTTATCCGATTTTGTATCAAACTCAGTGCACTGTTAACAAATTATAACATCATGAACAGGTTGGATTAAACTGAACTTCACCATAACTAGAAATTTCAAGACAATCAAGTAAAATATGATTTTTTTAGCTCTTCTTAGTAAAATGGAAACAGTATCATAAAATGGTGATTCGCAGCCAAAGTCCACTGCATTCACATAAAATGTCACACATAATTTATATAAATAGTCTCCTATGGTCCTCTGTGTTATTTCAGTTTACTGAATGCTGTTTTTGCCACCTAAAATAAAAGAAAGGAAAAAATATTACAACCAACAGGTAATCAAACTTGATCAAGAGCACCAAATGAACCTTATTTCCAGTACCTGACCAAATTTTGCATCTTCTTAAAAAGTTTTATTTCATGCTTGAGCATTTATTAACATTTTCTATTCTGGAAACGTCTTATTTTTTATCGATTGTGACTTTGATACAAGTGACCTGAAACATCCATCCAAAAGTAGACAGACATTTTACCATCATAACAACATACAAAATGTCCTTTGTGGCTGACAGGATACCTGTAACAGTGAAAGTGTCATATACAACAGTTATTTTCTATCTCTTACTCTAGTTTGCTATAATCATGGTATGCACAAACTTACTTTCCATCACTAATTTTCAACAACTCCATTTCTAATAATATCAGTAATATTTAAATTTGATGAATTACTTATGTTGGGTTACACAAACACTGTAATGGACATTATCACATATGCAAACTTTCAAACTGTACTGGTAGAGTACTTCAGGTGCCCCTCTCTGCATCATTTCAGACATGAGCATTTTATTTAAGCCATTTCTACCAACAATATTCTGTAAGCTGGCTATAACAGAATTCAAAGACTGTGGTAGGATTTGAGCTCACAGCAGTGAGATGCAAGTGGTTTGAAGTCAAACCTTAACCATTTGGCAAGGGTATCCCCCTTTTACTGAACAATTGCCACTGATTAACTACAACTAAAACTTATTTACTGCCACAAGTTAGCATTTTCTTGTTTTCAACCACTTAACATTTCTACCCAGAAAAAGTAAGTAAATTCTTTTCAACTTTGTATTTTTTATTACTTACACAATGATCGACTGAATGAACCCAATCTAACATTTCTTCGTGACATGTTTCTTCAGTATGTGATCGACTGTTTACACGGTTATTACATTCCTCCAGTTTAGCAAAGTATTTCTGACTTGATGCTTTGGCTTCACATTCTGCACGTACTTCATCCACTGGATCCTGTAAAAAAATATTTATTTTTTATTATATGGTGGTTTTAGTAAATGCACATGTTGACTCTTTAATAATGCCAAACACTGATTTATTTGAATCCATGCATGTACTGAAAGCGTGTAATTGGTGCAAATTGTTGTTTCTCTGAGCTCAATTAGTACTGGTTGTTCCAGTAACTGATACGAGAGTGTAACAGTTAAAATGTTACAACGACCAGATCATAATTATGACAGTGAAATCCATAAATACCAACTTATTTATTTAATAAATGAAGATAAATAGTAACTAAACATTAAACATACTATTAAATCTTCTTCTTCCTCCTCCTCTTCTTCCTCCTTCTCTTCGTCCTCTGCTGGAGGCTGAAAACACACATAAACTGATGATGTCATACTCATACATACAAACTGATAAAACACATAAACTGATGATGTCATACATAAACTTATAATGTTAACACATAAACTAATGATATCACGCATTAACTGATGTCCAGAGATTTTTCTAGACAATTTTGGAAAAAGTACTGAGTCTAGTTAGACCAATAGTCTATGTGAGACACAAGTTGAAAATTGCAAATTTTACTTTTTTTTTTTGATTGGGTTTTACGTCACACCGAAACAGTATAAGTCATTTTGTGACGTTCCAGCTTTACTGGTGGAGGAAGACCTCAGGTGCCCTTCTGTGCATTATTTCAGGCACGAATGGGCACCTGAGTAAAACCACCAACCAAACACAAACCTCGATATATGGACCGCGATATATGCAATGAATGTATTTTGAATAGTTATGCGTCATGTAACTCTTGACACTTTTATCAAGATGACAACACTTGCATTTCAATCATATTTTTTTACAACATGGCGGAGCATCATTATTAAAGTAAACATACAATTATGGACAAATGCGGGTTCTTCATTAAAATACCTTTTAAAGACACAAAATAACATATGTATTTTCGATATTCATATAATTTTGAAAAGTGCCATACGGCTAGACAATACAGTGTGTCAAGGCTAGCTGTATGTGACTCACGTATGCCTATAACTTTGGCTAGTCATGTCGCTAGCCACTTCCTTGTAAAATACCTGCTAAACTTAGTTACTCCCGTTTTAGTTTTACAAGCATTATTCACAAAATTAAATTCATTGGCAGATGCTATGCGATTTTGTGTCACAGTTTTAAGAAGAGTAGCATCAACATGTGTTGCTTTCAGATGCAGTCACATAAAATGTAAACAGATCTAGATATACTCCCTGAAAATGAAATGTATCATAAACCTCAAAATTATCCACTGTTCATCCCACCCACAAAATTTACACAGGCGATGTTTACGTAAACATTAGCAAACAAAGTGGAGCTGTGTGAAAAACAGTGATAAACAGGTAAGAATTAGGCATTGTGTGACTACAAAAAAAAATGCTCATTAAGGAGAAACGGTAGCACCTACATCTTCCTCAGGGTCACTTTTGGCAACGACCTCGTTCCCTAACGCCATTTTGTATTTTACTAAACTTGATTAACTAATGAATACAAATCAGAGTTTTACCAACAATTAATCGAGCTGTAAAAGATCTCGGAACAACAACATTATTATTGCAGTGAGACTGTACATGTGGGATAATGAAAAAGTGCAACATCCCCCACGCCCCGTATGGCTGAAGAATATTTTGTAAGTTATATACTTTTATGTTTTCAGACATATTTAAAATTATTTTAAGATTAACCATTCACCCGTCTTGCATTTCGTTTCGGTAAGATTGGTAGTCATGAAAGGATGTAATGCATATTTTCATAACATATTATAGTTTTTCATTTTTTAATTAGATATATCATACATGCTTACACCATCTTTCCTTTCGAAGGTAAGCTACTTGTATGTAATCATTTAATGATTATCCAAAGCATGTTGAGAAAAAGTTATTTTTCCATGAGCATATATATTTATGTATTTTAATTACTAGACATGGATATTGTAACACCGCAGCCTTCAGATCCAAACATACACAGCAGTCAGAAACGTTTCTGGACCTTCATAAAACACAAGAAGAAAGACAATCAAACAATTACTGGACTAAAAGAACATGGACAACTCCACTCCGATCCTAAGTCCAAAGCTAACATTCTAAATCGGCAGTTCAAATCTGTATTCACAGACAACATCAAGATCACTGCTGATGACTTCAAGAAGGGGGACTACGTCAATCCACAATCAACACATCCTGTAGCCCCTGAAATATCGATAACCACAAACGGAATCACCAAACTCCTTCTCGCACTGAACCCACATAAAGCTGCAGGACCCTACACCATAAGTCCTCGCATCCTCAAGGAATTGGTAACTGACATCGCCCCAATACTCAACACAATCTTCACTCTGTCACTTGAAAATAGCACCATCCCTAATGACTGGAAGAAAGCCAATGTATCCCCAGTCTACAAGAAAGGCAGCAGATATAAACCAGAAAACTATCGCCCTATCTCCCTAACGTGCATCTGCTGCAAGCTCCTAGAACACATTGTCACCAGCCACATCATGAATCATGCCGAAAAACAGAAGATTCTCTATCCTCTCCAACACGGCTTCAGAAAGGGCAGATCCTGTGAAACACAGCTTCTTGAATTCACAGATGACATAACCCGGAACATGGAAAATGGCAAACAGACTGATGTTCTCATCATGGACTTCGCCAAGGCCTTCGACAAAGTATGTCACAGCCTTTTATCCCACAAACTGGAGCACTACGGCATCAGAGGCAAGACCAACCTGTGGATTCAGGCTTTCTTAAGCAACCGATCCCAATCTGTAGTCTTGGAAGGGGTAACCTCAGATACAGTATCTGTAGAATCCGGCGTCCCACAGGGCTCAGTCCTTGGTCCGAGTCTGTTCCTTTTCTACATAAATGACATCCCAGAGGGTCTCAACGCAGTCGTCCGACTATTTGCAGATGATACGCTGGCCTATCTTGCCATCACAAACAAGTCTGACTGTTTCACCCTACAAGCTGACCTCGACAAACTAGCTGTCTGGGAAGAGAAATGGAAAATGTCATTCCATCCAGACAAATGCCAAGTCCTCACCATCTCCAAGAAAAGAAGCCCCATCTGCCATAACTACACTCTTCATTGTCATACTCTAGAGCACGTCACATCAGCTGAATACCTTGGATACACCCTGAATAACAACCTAGACTGGGGCCAACATATACATAACATTTGTAACAAAGCCAATCGTACCACCAGCTTCCTGCGAAGAAACCTCAACATCGCCTCTACTTCCACCAAAGAAACGGCCTACAAAGCTCTAGTCCGCCCCACAGTAGAGTATGCAAGCACTGTCTGGGACCCCCACGAGAAGGGAGATATACACCGTCTAGACATGGTCCAACGACGTGCTGCACGGTATGTTAAAAACAAGTACCACAACAGGTCCAGCGTCACAGACATGCTTGCAGACCTTGAATGGAAATCATTACAAGAACGTCGAAAGGAGGCCAGACTGATCATGCTCTACAAAGTCATCAACAACAAGGTCGCTCTAGACAATTCACAACTCATACCCTCCAACTCCACATCTACAAGAAATTCACACAACCTAACCTACAAGATACCCTACTGCCGTACACAATACCGTCGACAATCCTTCTTCCCACGCACCATCAAAGACTGGAACAGCCTACCTCCAGACGCTACGTCAGCCGGTACAGTTGAGTCATTCCGTACTCATCTGTCCCAACTCTATATCTAAACCACACTCTTGTCCGTTTTTAACCTGCACTGTATATATATTCCTCACTATTTTTTACTCTTTAATTCTTACCGTCTTGCGCATTAACCTGACAGTTAAGGTGACAACGGAGTCAATTATCACTGAAAATACCTAAAATGAGATTTTTTGCTAAGTAGATTTATCAACCTTTTCTGAACACATTCGTGATTTAATTTTGGAAGCAGTTAGTCCAAAAAATGTGTTTTTAAACGATTTAAAACGGTACCTATACTATTTGTATCTGCTATTCGCGTAACCTGTCGATTATCGATAACGCTCCGCCCCCTGTTGAGGCATCAATGAGGGAAATCGGTAGTTCCATATATCCGTGAATTACAGGTCCATACTGGTCCATACTTCTCGTAATACATGTATCGTTCATCTACCGTACATCTTTTATGAATATCTCAACATTTAGCCTTTTTTATAGATTAAGAAATTGTCGGCCAATGTACGTAACATAATGTATGAAACATAAATAATTAAGCATAGCGGCAAATCGCACGACCACGGGGTTGATTAAAAATGTAGTTGCTAAAATATCCATAATGTGTGAAAATAATTTGTCTATCCCGTTAATCTGATATATAACATTGAGTTGATAGACTTTTGTACGGATTCAAGGGCTTACTTTACATTCAACCTCGTTTTCTAAAACAACAACAGACGACATTTTTTATGTGAACGCTTATATGACTTGTGGTAAGGTGTCCCTGACAAATTTCTAAACCATTTTAGATTGTCTAAGGATGATTATTTCTCTATGAATAAAAAAAAGATATTAAAATATATTCTCAGTGAAAATAAATTGTTCGCCAGTAAATCCCACACAGTACTAATAAATCTGGGACAAAGTATGAAATTTATTGTCTATCCCGGTAGAAACTGGATCTCTATGCCGTGCATAGATGATATTCATGATAATAGAAGTCAAGAAGGCCACATCATAATGATCTAGTAATGCCTTTTATTTCTATTAAAATATGTGAAGCATTATCAATTTGGTGGAAAAAATATATACTATCCCGTTCTTATTAATTTTGTACATCTACCATGGACTTTAAAAGACTGTCAGAAGCTCAGTTTTTTGTTATTTTATTTTATATTTTAACGGAATTTCATACACGAATACACAGGCAGAGTGACACTGGTATAATACAATAATAATGCTGATGATAATAATAATAAACTTCAAATAGGAAACAATTACCCCGCTAGCGGTGCGCAAATGCGTTCCATTTGCCCCCACTGAGTGCCTCAAATTTTACCGATAGTCACGTGACATGTGCGACAGATACCAGACGAACAGTAAATCACGTTAAGAATTGAAGAAATTTCGGCTATAAACTGATATTAATCAGCAGCTTTTTAATTGGTCAGATGTCACTGGGTCATAAAATGTTGTTAGAGTATGTTACCGCAACTTGTGACCCTCTCTGGTGCGATATTTGTGTATTATGCAATTATTTAGCGTGAAACGTAGGGGTCCGAGAGAGAACAGCCGATTTATGACACTTCGTTTGATGCGGGTCGGACTAACTTTGAATCGGCATAACTTTTTTAATAATCAAGCAATTAACATGCGGTTTAAAGCACATGAAAGGAAATTCATTTACGGAGGGAACCGTGTCAGGGATTTTTGTTTGCTCAATCAGCGACTTAATTATCTTTAATTACGTAATATGTATGGTGAAAAAAGTCGCATATTTTGTTTGACGTTACGTAATATTTTTTTGAGAAAAGATATAAAAAATTTGAGACACGGTTCCCCAGATAATATAAGTATGGTTATTTTCCAAAAGTTTGATGACAAAAAAATAAAAAATGACTTTGATATGACGATTTAAAATTTTAGGATTTTTATTCAAAATCAATTATTTAAAAAGGCATTTTTTTCAAATATGTTATTTTTTATGATGATCAACGACATTTAATGCACAAAGATTAAATAAATAAAAATTATTACTAAAATAACTTGGTTTAAATGACATTTATGTGAGTACCACGGAAAGTGTCTGTTGTCACCTTAACTTCAGTTAGTTGAAGGTGGCCAGTATATTGGAAGAAGAAGAAGAAGGATACGTATATTAGGTAAATATATAGATAAAATTATGCTTATATTGAATAGTTCTAACAATGAAAAAGTATGTGTAAAATGTGTGTATGTGTTCGCTGTATGATGTATTTATGTTATGTAGATACGTATATTAATATATATACCTGATGTTATGCTAGATATGGACGATAAATTTATGTATGTTTTAATTGTATTGTCATCAATGGCGAAAGGAATTATAAACTCGAACTCTAATTATTTTCTCCAAAATTCTACACGTGAAAGGTGATCCCCTTATGGTCTATAAATTTCCACATTATTTTTTATTCTCTTCTCTATAGATTGTAATTAATTTCCTAATTTCCATTTTTTAATACTTTTTTATATATATCTAATGATTCTTTTTTTTTTAAGTTTGCTAAATATATCACATAATGATTCCTTACATTTAAAGATAACTTTGGGATGTATTTTATTTGGACATTCTGATTTTGGTGTGGATACAGTAACTTTTTTTAATGGCTTTCATTGAAATATTTTCATTGATTTCAATAAATAAACAACTTGTTTAATTACAAGTACTGGTAACTGTTATATCTCTGTTACAAATACAGATATAAAATGCTTATTGAACTCTTCAGCAATGTTTAGGATGTCTGTCTGAACATTTTTTTTTCATAATTTATTTTTCATTATTTATTTTAATTATTTTGATTCCATATACACCTATTTTGAATATTTTTAAGGACTGTTTTTTTAAATTGTCTGCAATGTCCTGTTATTATTATATTTAGAACGTTTCATGTGTAGCCATACCTAGTAACCATCTATGTTATATTCGCTCTATGTGTAATAGCTCTTTTAATGTTTATCCATTTTTCTCTTTTCTTTACTGACACTTTCGGTTTCCTAGTCAAACAGCTATTCCTTTGCAATGAAATATTTCTAGTTTTGTTTTTATTATTCTGTTGGAAACGTTTCTGCAAATAGTCTCCGATACAATTGATTATTCAAACTGTCAATAGCTATCCAGTCCACTAAGTTTAATTCTTCCTTATTTTATTCTTTTTTTACAAAATTTGCTTAATTATTGTTATATTTTGTTAGTATTTCAGTAATAGCTTTTTTTAAAAAAAAAACTAGTTTTAAATTTATAATAACATAATCACTTTTCACTAAATTTGTTTGATATGTCACAAAAATGTAGATCATTTATCATTTTTCTTTCAGTGGTACAAATCAGATCTAATATTGGGTTGGGGGGAAATCCCGGGATCACCCTAACATTGATAGTTCACGCCTTAGACGATACCTTGTGGGGTCTAAGAATAGATTCTTTTCACATTCCATGAACTCGGATTGCACTTGTCATATTTACCAGGCAATATTTTTGAATTTTAAGTCACCGTATGGGTGTTAAAAAAATAGGAATATGTTAATTCACATATTTCATTAAAAGCACATTATATCCATCAAAGGCTATCTTTTTATAATTTTATAGAAAAGGAAAAATTAAGCTAGATGCTTATTACCTAAAAAAATAGCGCTAAATGTAAAAATGTATACAAAGTAAATTTTTGACTACCATACAAAATATTAAATGACCATAACTAAAAATCAACTGAAGAAAAAAATGTTCTGAAGTAACTTTGTGTACACCAAAAATAAAAATCTGTTGAGGAATAAAAATAACAGCATTTCTGTGCTTTTAAATAGACTAATTAAAGTCAATTTTGAGAAAAATGCGGATTTTAATCTGTAAGAAATATCAGTTCTTTTCACATAATTAAATATTTTCGTATTTTACCTCCACAACTTTAATATAGTTGTACTGTATTACAATCAAGTAGGCAACAACATTGGCAATCTCCACGCAGTAATCTCCCTTTTAATTCACTCAGCGGCAAACTGTCATGAAAGTTACAACAGAAATTTGAACGTAAAAAAAGTTGTAGCAATATATGTATATACATATTTATCCTTAATCAAAAATAGGGTAAAAGTGAGAACACGTTTCATGTATTTGATGTACTGCATATGCTAATATATGCTATTTAATGATAATTATTTTTTCTACTTTCAGTTTGATAAATTTTCAAGAAAGTTTCGACCTCAAAACATTTCGACCACGTTTTTATGTATACTTGTATATTCAGTTGAATAATTTAATATCCGAAGATGACACTTTCTTTATGTACTATTGTCACAGGATGAGAAAAATGTGCAGTCTGACTTGAACTCGAACACAAGACCCTTGGTATACCGTTCTGCAGCTCTACCGACTGAGCTATCCGGCCGCTTACACATATTCTCCCCTAAATAGTGAACTGAACCGTGACATACTCCCCTGCTATATTGAAATTCCTCCTCGAATTTCACAGAGTTACAGAGCAATGTGAATTAAACTCTGAGCTATATTCAGTCAAGGGCGCCAAATGTCACAGGGTGAGAAAAATGTGCAGCCTGCCGGGGACTCGAACCCGGAACCCTTGGAATACCGTACCGCGACTCACTGACTGAGCTATCCGGCTGCTTACACATATTCTCCCCTAAATAGTGAACAGTTCTGAACCGTGACACTATTTTGTTTTATGTTTATATCATTGCATCTTTGCGGGCTACATCAGCCAAGTTGTGGCCCTTGCAACTGCTGGTTTTGTCTTTTTCATTACATCAAAACAATTTTTTAATCGCTTACTTATACAATATACAAATTGTCAATGTAATTGCAAGATAAATTTTAAAAGCTGTGTATATGTTTTTCAGAATCATGCAGTGTGTTTGGATTTCATTTTTTATTTTGATGACTTTGACCTTTGTTGATGCAGAGGACAGAGATGATTGGATAGATCCAAATGACATGCTGAACTTTGACCCATCAACAAATACTATGAAGAAAAAAAAGGTAAGTTTTGTTACAAGGAAATCAAATACGTGAATGTGTAATAGGTATAACATTTGTATAACCTTATCTTAAACTTCATGGTCCAGAGATACCGGTATTTAATTGTGTTGGTAAAAGCTATTGATTTTTTGTCCAAAAACCAAAACATCTTAAGCATAGGATATTAGATATGTAAATTACATATATATATGTAATTTTTATGCTTCAGACATAATATAAACCGATGGGCATACACAAAAGTGATACAGTACAAAATTAAATGTCGGAGGCTTGGCCTTCCCTAACTTTTAGAACTGATTCTTATAGAAATTATAATTTTTTTCAAACTTTAAACAATAATACATTGTATCCTTTCATCCTTTTGCTTTCAAGAACATGGAAGAGAATTAAAAAGTCGATAAAACTGATGTTGTTTTGGAAAATTTCACCCATAGGTCTTTGACAGATAAATTCTAAATTTTTGCCACTTTCAGCACTGTTTACAGATAAAGGATGCTACTGTAGTTTATAGCTGGTTGGTGTCAAACCAGTTGCTTATTTGTGTGTAAATTTGGGTCTTCTCAAGTTTATAAAGCTAAGAAAATGATGGAATTTGTAGTATATTAATAAGCTATAAAATTTCAGCATCTTTTAAGTTTCAGTTATATTTATTAAATTTTTTCCTACAATTTTACATATAGGTGCAAATTCCTGATTTAAAGACTATAACTACAACACCATCGTCACAACAAGGTTCTGTACCTCAGAGTAACGAGTGCCCACCTTGTGAGAGTATTCATACAGACAAAGAGTGCCCTCAATGTGAAGACTGTAATGTGGCGGACAGGGCATGTCCCGAGCCAATCTTGTGTCCACCGTGTCACTGTGAGCAGCAAAAAGATTGTGTTTGTGAACAAGCAGCCCTTCCTCTTCTCAGACAGTATATTAAATCAATATTGAGTCATGTAGGAGAAATGGTAAAATCATTATTAAATATTGAAGTATTGTATTGAAAAATGTGGGTTTTACTTTTACAGCTATGTGTCAGTTCTGGAAAATTTTAGCTGTATAATTAAAGAGCATTTTCTTTAGTCAAAACTGTATCATCAACTACTTTTAGTTTTTCTGTTTCGAAGACAAAGTCAAGCTATAATGATGCTGTGGCGGTGATGTTTTTGTCATGCAAAAACTTTAACATAGCCCAATGTTCAAACATTTGAAAAGTTATCAAAATGAAACTTAAGATATTTGGTAAACAAGACAAGGTGCAGCTGTAAGACAGGGGGCATAATTTTTGGAGTTATGTCCCTTCTTTACTTAAAATACTTGAAAAAAAAAATGGTTATTAATAGGCGTTATCCTTATACAGAAACAGATGAGCGTTAACACTGCATGTGGTGCAATTGTTTGTATATTATCATCTGAGCACATGAAAAAATAAAAATAAATTAATGTATGTTTATTTTAATATTCTCTTAATGTACATGTAATATCGGAAGAAAAATATTCATTTTTAGTATTTTTAACTTTTTTGCCATATAAAGTACTTGTGAGAATACATTTTATCTTTCAGCATCCTGGTACTGGGAAAGAAGAATTCATGTTTCATGTTTCACTCTCACCGGACAGATTTGTCATGCTGGAAAAGTTTGTAGCAACTGGTAATCAAAAACATGTGCATGACGTACATGAAATTCTCTCTACAATGATTCATAGAGTCGCATCGTCTGAACTCGGAACAATGGAAAAAACGGCATTGTGGCTCGAGGACAAAATAGGGCTCAAACTCGACCGTCTTATACAGGTAAGACATAGGATTGTGTGGTGCCTGCTCATGCCTGAAATAATACATGTTGGGGCACCTAACGTCTTAGTACATCTGTAAGGCAAGAAAGACGCATTTTATGACTTCATCTGTGTTGGTGCGATGTAAAACCCAACAAAAAAAATAAAAGAGAAAAAACTTGGGTCATCAAAAAAACTTGTCTTGTAGAGGGCAAAAAATTGGAAAATTCCTTATATACATTTATTCCTCTATATTGAGAAAAAGTTTGGTCAAAGTTTTATATTACTTCACAATAATGACTTTTGAATACTCTGAACTCTAGCTACAGTGTTAACAAATATTTTAGTTTTTCTTCCCTAATGTTATTGTTTAACAATACAAAATGATTAGTCTCTATAACATAACATATAGCTAACATTAATGCACTTTAGATAGGTTAATGCTATATTTGTATTAAACACAAATGACATCACATCAAAGTGTTATGACACAAGTGTGATATTTATATTAAATGGTTTTATTTCACACCTGAGCCATGGTTCATGTGTTAAGTTGTTTACGTGCTTGGTACTCCATCTTCAAGTGTTATGACAATTATCATGTTCATGTCTATATATGTATTTCAGTTTTTCATGCTTGGTGCCCTGGCTTCAGTAGTGTTATTGATAGAGTTAAAGCTACATATAGCATGGAGAAGACGCGTCAGTCAGCTCATTGTCCTCATGTTTGTTATAAGTGTACCATGGACATGGTATGAATTATACAAGGTAAAGTGAACTTGTTTTATTCATGTACGGCTCTCTATAATTCACATAACAGCTGATTCTTAAGATTTGTTCATTGTAAGGCTATAAAGCTATAGTACTGATGCAAAAATAATAGTTTGAATAAATAAAGAAACTTTTATGAAAGAAATATGGTAGTAAATTGCCTAAAAAGTGAATGGTGCATGCACAAAATCTTGTAATGGATAAACCCTTACTTAAAATAGCAAAAAAAAAATTTTGTTCTGGAACATTCTATTCTGTTTACGTAAAATATTTTTGAATAATGTTTTAAATAATATAATAGAGACATATAATGTTACGACTCTTTCGAGAATCTACCATAAGATTATGGAAACAATAAAGTTTTACTGTTGATAATTTTATGATGAGACCACACAGATGTGCAGGCTGATCTAAGTCTGCATAGATGTGTAAATTTTGTTGCTACTGGTAGGCAAAAGGTTAAATATCAAAGGGATTTTTTGTGAATTAATGTATTTTTCCAAACTCTGACTTGTATTTTTAGCATGCAGAGATAAAGCAGCAGTCAGTCGCATCAAGGAAAGTACCGAAAGAGTGCCAGGGTGGCGAGAGTGATGTATGGTCAACATTGAAGTCATACTTTACCTTCCAAGATGACAAATGTCACGAGTACTATGAACATTTGATGATTGACCCATTTGTCAAAGTGCCTCCTACAAAGGTATTTTTTCTTGTTTTAATTTGAAGTTACACAATGTTACTGTAGTATAAATAGTAAATTTATTGATAACACTCTATTAATGTGATTTGATTATTTAGCATGAAGTAGCTGACCATAGTTACACACAAGTGTTTTTTTATGTATGCCTGAAGTAATGCTTGGATTGACCAGTATAATGTCTTTCTGTAGATTTTAGTTTACTTTATAATCATTTATTTCAATTTGATTGTGTTGGAAGCTATAAGCATATTGAAACACTCTCAAATCCATTACTGGAACCAAGCCGTACTAGGAATGATTGTAAAGTTTCATGCTCAAGAAAACAGCTTATACATTTTAGTTGTTTATGTTCGAAACTCGGGCTTCAGTAGAATTAATTGACAAGTAAAAGGTCATTATATAATTTTAGTACATGTATTTCACATTTGAAATTCTGGCATTGATAGTGTTTCTTCTCATTTCTTTAAGTGTTGTATTTCTATTTTTCAGGCAATAGCAGTAACATTTGTGAGATTTTTTGTGGCTCCTTTGAAAGATGTTGGTGGTGCCATGAGCGAGTTTATACGTGCTCTTCTTATTGACCTTCCTGTGACCCTGTACCCTGTTGCCATAGCAATGGTTGCATTATTTTTCTTTATGTTTCTATTCATGTGGTTTGGATACAGTATACGTCTGCCGTTGTTTCTGACTATAGAGCGCAGTCCACAATTGTCTGTAGCAGATAGTCAGTTACACCAGACCGTACAACAGGCAATACAAGAAAACAGTCAACAAACAGTAGCTCAGGTATGTCTGTTACATCATGCATCTGTTCATCTTTCGAAATGCCTATGCATTTTTATCATGTTGTCACCTTAGTGCAATAACTGGTTAACTCTATTAGATTTGGAGGGACTTAACCCGTTATTGCACTAAGGTGATGATGTACTCTCTCAGCTGGATATTGCATGTTTTACATGTATATTGAAATTCTATTTTGGGGTGCCCATGGCCAAGTTGTAAAGGTAATTGACTTCAAACCACTTACCCTTCACAGCTGTTTTGAGTTTCCTGTCACTGATGAGATCTTTTCAGAAACTTAAATCAATAATTAAATGAGCCGTGTCACGACAAAACCAACATAATGGGTTTACGACCAGCATGGATCCAGACCAGCCTGCGCATCCGCACAGTCTGATCAGGATCCATGCTGTTTGCTATCAGTTTCTCTACTTGTAATAGAGTTGGTAAGCGAACAGCATGGATCCTGATCAGGCTGCGCGGATGCGCAGGCTGGTCTGGATCCAGGCTGGTCGCAAACCCATTATGTTGGTTTTGTCATGACGCGGCTCAAATATCAAATGAGGTGATATGTTACATGTATGTCCAATATTTAGTGTTTTCTGCAACAGTTTAATTTCTTAGTCAGCTAGACTACATAGCAGCCCCTGACTTTAACCAATCAAAACATGTCATTTATGAGCAATTAAATAATTTCAAAGAGTGATTTAAATTACTTTTTCTAGTTGTTTTGGACCATGCACTGTGCTGATGATATACAGTAGAACTTCTATGAGTCGAACTTCGATTAGTCGATTTTCTCGATGTGTCGAAGAAAAATGAAAGTCCCGATTTTTCCCCTATATATTCCTTATAAAATCCTATTTATGAGTCGAGATTTTATGTGTCGAATTTTTCTATGTGTCGAAGTTTTTTCGTGGTCCATATACAGTAAATCTAGTGCAATTTACCACAAATAAGTCGAAGTCGTTCGATAAATTTGACACCTTCGATCTTGAGATATTTTTCGCACCTTAGCTGGCTGCGAAGACGATTTCCAATCAACTTGTGTGACAGGTGTTAATTACACAGCCGTGTGTTAAAACAGCCTTTGTTTGCGATAAAATGTGTGATAAAATGCTTTAATCGTTTCTATTTTAATTGCCGTAGTGGTAATTGAAAGTAAACAGTAAGAACTACTTTCATTTGAAAACGGTCAAAACATCGGTGACCCGGAGTCGCGTGAGAATAACAAGCGAAAGATATTATAAGCTGATTTAGTTATCGCCCTTTCGTATTGTAACGCCTTTTGTAACTCTATTGTATACGTCAAAGGGTAGTCCAAATAATTGGCCGTGAAAAAAGTTATTTAACATGCTATATTTATCATTGTAAAATGTAAAATATCAGATTAATGATGGAAAAACATGAAAAAGGTTTCATTATAGATGTTATAATTAGAAGTAGTCACGGGTCGAAATTTTGTCATGGAATTGAGAACAATTCATGAGTCGAAGTCCCGATGTGTCGAAGTTTTTACGCAAGTCCCTTCAAATTCGACTTACCGAAGTTCTACTGTATACCCAAACTGTAGTGATTATGACTAACGGTTGCTATCAGAAATTTACCTTTACACATTTCAAATAACCAGCAATATTCTAGCAAAATAGCCTATTGGAAACATTGTCGCTGATTTAAATTGACAGCGTAATGCATATATAGTTTTTTTTAGCTCACCTGTCACAAAGTGACAGGGTGAGCTTTTGTGATCGCTTTTCGTCCGGCGTCCGTAAACTTTTACTTTAAATGACATCTCCTCATTAACCGCTGAGCCAATTTCATCCAAACTTCACAGGAATGTTCCTTTGGTGGTCACCTTTAAAAAAATTTCAAAGAATTTAATTCCATGCGGAACTCTGGTTGCCATGGCAACCGATAGTAAAAACTTAAAATATCTTCTTTTAAAAAACCCAAAAAGGTAGAGCTTAGATATTTGGCATGAAACATCTTCTAGTGAGTGTCTATCTATCAAGTTTGTTCAAATAAAAGCCCTGGGGTCAAAATTGGCCCCGCCCGGGGGGGGGGGGTCATTGATTTTCCCTATATGCATATAGTAAAAACTTAAAAAATCTTCTTTTAAAGAACCCAAAGAGCTAGAGCTAAGATATTTGGCATGAAACATCTTCTAATGGGTGTCTAATAAGTTTGTTCAAATAAAAGCTCTGGGGTCAAAATTGGCCCTGCCCAAGGTGGTCATTGATTTTCCCTATATGCATATAGTAAAAACTTATAAAATCTTCTTTTAAAGAACCCAAAAAGCTAGAGCTAAGATATTTAGCATGAAACATCTTCTATTGAGTGTCTATCAAGTTTGTTCAAATAAAAGCCCTGGGGTCAAAATTGGCCCTGCCCCCAGGGGTCATTGATTTTCCCTATATGCATATAGTAAAAACTTATAAAATATTCTTTTAAAGAACCCAAAGAGCTAGAGCTAAGATATTTAGCATGAAACATGTTCTAATGGGTGTCTACCAAATTTGTTCAAATAAGAGCCCTGGGGTCAAAATTTGCCCTGCCCCGGGGGTCATTGATTGTCCTTATATGTGTAAAGCAAAAACTTTAAAAAAAAAATCTTCTTTGAAAAAAAAAACAAATAGCTAGAGTTTTGTTACTAAGCATGAAACATCTTCTAGTGAGTGTCTACAAAGTTTGTTCATATAAAAGCCCTTGGGTCAAAATTGGCCTCGCCCCGGGGGTCATTGATTTTATTTATGTGTATAGCAAAAACTTAAAAAAACTTCTTTGAAAAAACCCAAATAGCTAGAGTAAAGATATTAAGCATGAAACATCTTCCAGTTAGTGTCTTCAAAGTTTGTTCAAATGAAAGACCTAGGGTCAAAATTAGCGCTGCCCCGGGGGACATTGATTTTCCTTATATGTGTATAGCAAAAACTTAAAAATCTGATTTAAAAAAAAAACAAATAGCTAGAGTTTAGCATGAAACATCTTCTAGTGAGTGTCAAATGGGGTCAAAACTGGCCCGCCCTAGGGGTGTCATTGATTTTAACTATATGTGAATAGTTAAATCTTAAAAAATCTTTTTTTTTTAAAAACTCAACGAGCCAAACCTTAGATGTTTAGCATGAAATATCTTCTAATGGGTGTCTACCATGTTTGTTCAAACAAAAGCCCTGGGGTTTAAACTGGCCCCGCTCTGGGGGCCTATATATAGGTGAGCGACTTCAGGGCCATCATGGCCCTCTTGTTTTATTATACCCCCCACAACAGTTGTTAGGGGATATACTGGAATCAGCTTGTCCATCTGGCTGGTCATCAGTTTTTCCTTGTCCGGCCAATAACTTAAGATTCCTTTGACCCACAGTCTTCATATTTGGTGCATAGATTGGTCATGATTAGTAAATGACCCCCATTGATTTTTAGGTCACAAGGTGAAAGGTCAAGGTCACAGGGGCCTTCACTTTAAAAAGCTTGTCCGTCCAATAACTTAAGAATCCTATGACCCACAGTCTTCATTTTTGGTATGGAGGCTAGTCATGATTACTAGACGACCCCTTAGGATTTTGAGGTCACTGGGTCCAAGGTCAAGGTCACAGGGGCCTTTGACTAAAAAAAAGGTTGTCCACCCAATACCTTATGATTCTTTTGACTCACAGTCTTTATATTTGGTATATAGATTGGTCATGAATAGTAAATGACCCCCATTGATTTTGAAGTCACAGAGTCAAAGGTCAAGGTCACAGGGGCCTTGACTCAGAAAAAATTTTCTGCCTAATAACTTAAGAATCCTTTGACCCACAGTCTTCATTTTTGGTATGGAGGCTAGTCATGATTACTAGACGACCCTACGGATTTTGAGGTCACTGGGTCAAAGGTCAAGGTCACAGGAGCCTTGACTAAAAAAAGGTTGTCCACCCAATACCTTATGATTCCTTTGACCCAAAGTCTTCATATTTGGTAATAGATTGGTTATGATTAGTAGAAGAGCCCTATTTATTTTGAGGTCACTGAGTTACAGGGGCCTTGACTTCAAAAAGCTTGTCTGTCCAATAACTTCAGATTCTTTTGACCCACAGTCTTTCTATTTGGTATGGATATATGGTCATGACCATTCAGTGACCCCCTATTGGTTTTGAAGTCACTAGGTTAAAGGTCAAGGTCACAGAGCCTTTTATTCAAAAAGCTTGCACATTCAATTGATTTATAATGCTTTGGTCAACAGTCTTCTTATTTGGTATTAAGGTTGGTTATGACTAGTAGATCATCCCTATTGATTTTAAGGTCAAAGGTCAAGGACAGAAGGGCCTTGACTAAAAAAAGCTTGTCTTAAGTATCCTTTGACCCACAGTCTTCATATTTGACAAGGGGGTTAGTCATGACTATTAGATGACCCCTAGGGGTCACTGGATCAAATGTCAAGGTCACAGGGGCCTTTTGTTCAAAAGTTTGTCCGCCCAATAACTTAAGAATCTTTTGACCTACAGTCTTCATGTTTGGGCTTGAGGTTTTTTGTGATGACCCCTATTGATTTTTAGGTGACTGTGTGAAAGGTCAAGGTCACAGAGGCTTTTACTCAATAAGCTTGTCTGCTCAAATTCTTAAGAGTGTCTGACAACAGTGTATTGATTTTGACATTTTCTTATCTGAAGTATTTAATTATATACTCATATATTCATAATAAAACACCCCAAGGCAAAGCTGCAAAAATTGGGGGGGGGGGGGTTCAAGTCATGCAGTGGCAGTTTCAGTTTTGAGGTCAGTAGGTCAAAGATAAAGGTCACTTTTATCTTTGCCGCTTAAAGCATGTAGAATGCATAGCTTAGCAATTAGCAATGCACTGGCTAACTACCCTCTGATTTGGCAGGGAGGTTGTCCTTAAGCTGTAAATGACCACTGTTGATTCTGACAAAGTGGTTTGCGGGGGTTTTCACACCATGACAGTGGCAGTTCTAGTTTATGATTGGAGCACAGTGTAAAGATTTTGTTTAATTTTAAAAGGATCAAAGTTAGTTTGAAACAATTTAGACAATACTGAAACATCATCTATTTCACATTGTTATTCAGAGTAAGTGATGGTGATACCAATGACTACAGACAGATGTTTCATTATTTCTAAATGTACAGGTATTTTTTTAAACTGATTTGTGTATCGCTTTTCTGTATAATGCAGTGTCGTGTCATCACCTGCCTGGCAGTACACAGCTTTAAAACCCATGGTATTAAGTTAGAGGTCAAGGTCAAATCTAGGGATTGAACTTTATTCTACTTTTTGCTTAAGTGCAAACATATTGCATTACTAACATACTTACATTGTATATTTTCATTTTCTTGTTTGGTCAAAATTCAATAATGCATGATAGAATGGTCTTAAAAGTTACATAAATTGATAAATAACAATAATGCTGGTACATTTATTTGCCCATTTTTAAGCCTATGTTGTAGGGATATCCATGTCCTATGTTTATTTTGCATCTTAGAGCCTTTGTTTATTGTAAAAAAATTTTTTTGTGCCTTGCCTGAATCAAACCATTTTCCCAGGGTGAAGGTCATTGATAACATGGCTATATATAAACTTACCTACTTGTACTTCAAATTTGTAAAAAGAGTTTTAATTACTTAGTTCATATCCTGGATATTTGTTATATATGTATATTGTCATCTTTACTCTGCCACCTCCAAAGAAGTGGGGTTATTTTTGGTCCTTCCTTCCTTCAGGCGACCCTTTGACCAAACTGTTTTCAAAAGATAACTTAACACCTTAGCATAGGAACTAAAAACTTGTTTTGGAAATTGGTGATGACCAGTAGATAAACCTGATGTTTTGGGGGTCACTAGGTCAAAGGTCAAGGTCACATTCAATCTTAAAACAGTTAGGACAAGTAACTCAACAACTAATGGGACCTTCATCCTAAAACTCCACAGGTGATTTGGTCTTGGCAATTAGATGACCCAATTTGTTTTTTGGGGTCATTGGATCAATGGTCAAACCAAATATTCCCTTCATATCAAAACAGTTTCAGAGCAATAACTCTTAAACCCAAGATCCATACTGAATTTTTATACCCCCGCACAACAAAGTTGTAAGGGGGGTATACTGGAATCAGCTTGGCCGTCCGGCTGTCGGGCGTCCGTCGGTTTTTTCTTGTCCACCCAATAACTTAAGATTCCTTTGACCCACAGTCGTCATATTTGGCATGGAGGTTAGTCATGATGAGTACATGGCCCCTATTGATTTTGAGGTCACTGGGTCAAAGGTCAAGGTCACAGGGGCCTTGACTTCAAAAAGCTTGTCCGCCCAATAACTTAAGATTCCTTTGACCCACAGTCTTCATATTTGGCATGGAGGTTAGTCATGATAAGTAGATGACCCCTTTTGATTTTGAGGTCAAAGGTCAAGGTCACAGGGGCCTTTACTTCAAAAAGCTTGTCCGCTCAATATCTTAAGATTCTTTGACCCACAGTCTTCATATTTGACATGGAGGTTAGTCATGATGAGTAGATGACCCCTATTGATTTTTAGGACACTAGGTCAAGGTCACAGGGGCCTTGACTAAAAAAGCTTGTCCGCCCAATAACTTAAGATTCCTTTGACCCACAGTCCTCATATTTTGCATGGAGGTTAGTCATGATTAGAAGGTGCCCCCTATTGATTTTAAGGTCACTGGGTCAAAGGTCAAGGTCACATGGACTTTGACTTCAAAAAGTTTTTCCGCCCATTAACTTAAGATTCCTTTGACTCACAGTCTTCATATTTGGCATGGAAGTTGATCATGACCATCAGAAGACCATCACACGGACCTTGACTAAAAAAAAAACTTTTCCCCTCAATTGCTTAAGAATGCCTGTCCGCAGTGTATTGATTTTGACATTTTCACATTTAAAGCATGTAGAATACATAACATAGCAATGCACTGGCTTAGTAACCTCAGATTTGGCAGGGAGGTTGTCCTTGAGCTCTAAATGGCCACTGTTGATTCTGACAAAGTGGTATGCGGGGGTATTCACGCCATGACAGTGGCAGTTCTAGTTATTCGCCGGTCAAGGTCACATTGACCCAATATGTCAAAATGATTTCCAACTAATATCTTAACAACCAATAGGTCCTTGGTGCTCAAACTACATAGAAGCATTGGTTTTGGGCACTTTATGTCCCCTTTTGGATTTTTTTGGTCGAGGGCTAAAAAGTCAAGGTCATATTGACCTTGTATATGAAGTCACAATGACCTGGCCACATGACTAATTAGGGTAGAAAGGCAAACATATTTTGTTTGAGATGCCGATAGTGCTATGCTAACATTAGCGCGCTTTTACACTTTGTATAATTTGAATGATTGAATTTTGCTTATATTGTGATAACTTCATAATTAATTTACAGATAATGTGTATACTTGTACAAATGACACTAATGTCAAAACGGACATGTTGTATAATTCAGATATTACTTTGACCATGAATGCCAAAGTCAAATTATTGAATTTTCCTTGAATTATGAAAATTGTTATTTTTTTCAAGGATTTGATTCATACTTAACAACATTCATTGCCACACCAACATGTTGAATTATTCAAATTTGACCTTGATATTAAAGTGACTGGTAAAGTTGTTGAATTTTTGCTCCAATTGCCATAACTTTGTTATTTATGGACAGATTGGATTCATACTTTGAAAAAAGCAGTTTTAATGACCGTGAACATTAACATGTTAAAAATTCAAGTATGACCTTGGTCTGTTAAAGTATAATAGGAAATTTTAATTCAATTCTGTACATAGAAATTTATTTCCTAAAAAAACAAAAGACCTTTTACTACAGTGTTCTTCCCCTTTGGAAATAAAAAATATCATGTGTTATCCCTACACGGTGGTGGCTCTTGTTTTTATGGCTTTAATCCTGCACTGAAGTTATAAAATGTGTAATTAAATGTCATATAAGTTACAAGTTCTTGGATATCTTTAAAACCACTTGTTAAATTAGCTTTAAACCTGGCATATTGTTTTGCAGCATGATGTCTGTCGGTCTGTATGTCCGTCCCCTTCAGTCAAGGGGTTGAAGGGGTCAAAGGTCAAGGTCACATTGGACTTGGATGTCAAATCAGTTTCCAATCAATTTAGCAACAACCAATGTCCTCTTGGCCCATTAACTTCATAGATGCAATGGTCTTGGCCAGTACATGACCCCTTTGACCTTGTATGTCAAATGGTATAAGACAAATAACTTGACAACCAATTGGCCCTTGGCCCTCAAACTTCTTAGAAGTGTTAGACTTGGGCAGTAGATGACCCCCTTTTTGGGGGGTTAAGAGCTCCAAAGTCAAGTTCACATTGATCTGGTTTGCCAAAACAATTTCTGAGCAACATTGCAGTAACTTCCACATGCTGACAATGGGTACATGCATGTTGTACAAACTTTTCTCCTTTACTCTTTAAAATATGCTGAAATAAGCATTTATTCATGTTATAAGGGCTAGAATGGTTTTTAGCAACAGCTGAATAAACTAATTTTCTTTCCTGATTGTTTCAGATTAAAGAACTGCAAGAGAGGATAGAATCACGAGAATCTGAATTAGCTGATAAATTATCCCAGCTTGAGAAGAAACAGCACCTTGCTTTAGAGTACATGTCATCGGAACCATCCAGTCCTGCTGTCTCTCCTACCATTTCAAGGTCAGAGGTCAGGGAATCTTCCAAAATATCTGTGTCACCTGTCAAGGCCAAATCTTCCTGCTCTGACCTTGAAAACAGAGATGATGATGGTGATAAAATAACAAGCACCAAGGTCAAGGACATCATGAATGACAAGAGAAATATATCTGCTGCGGCATGTGATAATAACTGTTCACAAGATGATATTGTTACATTAAAGCCGGATGGTTTGAGAGAATGATGTGTGGTAGATGGATCAATGTGAAGAGAATAAATCTCAATTTCATGGTCTGTAAACAAAATTGTATTTATACTTTAGAGGCAAGTAATTACGTTTTTGTTATCTTTTGTTTGAAATCCAGGTTGTTACATTATCATTGATGTAAAGGAGGTATTAGATTGAACATTGTCTATGAGGAGGTTAAACATTCTAGTTCTAAGTGATATAACATATTTCTATCATAACTAGTGTAGGAATATACCAGTATATAGATAATTTAGCTTGGGGTATTTATCTAAATAAACTTGAAGTACCTTTGTGATGTTCATAATTATTTATGCTTAATAACATTAAAACTGATTTCATAGATATGATTGGATTAATATTTGGTATGAATTATTTTATGGAGATTCATTACCTGCTCAGAGTTTGAGAGTCATTACTAATCTATCACGATTAAGATATACATGTATATTTCTTGAGGTGAAAATCTAAGATAAAAAATTTAAAAATAATTATTATTTTGGATATTGGTGCTATATAAAAAGTTTTTGTTTTTTTCATGTATGTAAAAAAAATTTACATTTCATTCAAATCATCCATTTTACATTGCTTATTTACATATTTTGTCAATAATTATATGTGTTTATATTGAAAAAAATATGCCCTTTTTATCAAGGGAGGTGAATATTGTAAATGTAGGGAACAATTTATGTTGTATAATCATGTACCAACATACATCTATAGGCAAATTGTTCATGTAATTAATGAAGTTTTCAATACAAAAACAGTGGCGTCCGTGGCCGAGTGGTTAAGGTTGTTGACTTCAAACTACTTGCCCCTCACCGCTGTGGGTTCGAATCCCGACAGGAACTTCAAATTCTTTCATGTGACGGAGCTATCCAACTAGCTTACGTCGCCATATGACCTATACTGTTTCATTGACTCGTTGTGACGTAAAACTCAATAAAACAAACAAACCATACAAAAACTTTTAAGGACATTTATCATATTTGTATTTATAATATTCATATTTATGATATTATATTATTAGGAGATCAACTTTAGGAAATAATCAAATTTCAAATGAAACTTTTGAATACTAAGTCACTCTGGTCTTAAATTGACAAAATATTGCATTCACCATTGTCACAATTTTACATATATTATGTGTTGTGAAATTTCTATGTGATTAACTTCGGGTTAAATATATTTGTTTTAATTTATGACTTTACTTCAATTAGTTGTTGTTTGCTTAATTATTTCACATGCTAATAACACTGTATTTTTACAGTCAGCAGATTTAAATATTTTTATCTATGGATCAAAAACTAGGTCTCCAGGTCAAATTAGACAAAATCTTGATGACAATATACAGTCAAACCTGTGTTAAAGACTACTTCTGAATGAAGGCCAGTCTTTGACAACCCTTCATTAATTATTAAGAACAAATTGACCTCCAGATAAAGACCACTTGTTTATAAAGGACATTATGGCCTTTGTTCACAGGGTTAACTATAGACTGCAATTTTAATAATTTCTAAATAAAACTTACTAATTGTCTCCCTTGAATGCTTTGTAAATCCAATTTTAAAAGAGATCTTCATTCTGAGGTCAGAAATTAGTATCACCCATTAATCCTTGTTTAAACCTCTCAAAGTATTTGTTTTATTCTCAGTAAACTTTGAATATTTGACATCTGGATTAAAAACTATGTAAATCACATAGATCAAAAGAAAAGATATGTTCTAATTTGATCTTTATTTGCTATAGTTTTGATTATTTTAAGTGCTATTTTAAGTTTTGGAGATTATTGTTTACTTTGTAATAAGTTATGTATATGTAACTGTAACACACAAATGTTATTGAAATGTATTTGATCATTTTCTGTGTTTACATTGGAATACACAATATAAGAATCTTATAGTGACTGCCAGAAGAGACAGGAATATTATGCATGACAGTAACTCTGTACAGTGGTAACTAGGCCACTTAACATTTACCCAAAAGCCAGATTTATTGTCTTAATCACAGCCACAGTAATCTTTTTCTTAAATGTAAATCATGTTTAAAATAGTTTTTTTTCTTATTGTAGCTTATGAATTTACTGTCAATGCTTAAATGGTTAGGACCTTAACATGTTACATGTTGCATGCAACACAAGTGACTTTTGTTAGTTTAATTTATTTCAAATTTATGTTCAAATATGTTTGTGTATATCAAATTTTGATATTGCTATAATGTATTTAATAATAAAATGTTTGCTTCAAACAGATTTGTTTCATTCAATATTTCAATGTAAGTGGAAAAGGAAAAGATGTTGAAACAAAAACTAGAAATGTGTCTATAGGACATGGGTGCCCCCACACGCCACTGTTCTGTCAATCTTATGACTGTAGGTCAAATATTTTTTGGATTACATGTGCCACAAGTTGAAAACTAAAAATCTTTTACTAAGTTAAGGGCAAGAACTTTACAAATACTGAATAAATCCACAAGCAAATCCCAAGGTGCATAAGTACACAAGTTGAAAATTGCAAATTTTTACTAAGTCGAGGGCAATAACTCTAAAAATACAATATAAATCCAGACGAAAATACCCAGGTGCACAACTACACATGCTGATCAACATTCCTGTAAAGTTTCATGACTCTAGGTCAAATACTTTTTGAGTAACGTGCGACACAAATTGGAAATTTTTATTAAGTCAAGGGCAATAATTCTAAAAATACTGAATAAATGCACATGAAAATACCCAGGTGCACAACTGCACGTTCTGATCAACATTCCTGTTAAGTTTCATGACTAGGTCAGATACTTTTTGAGTTACGTGCGACACAAAAGAGAACGGGCGGACAGACAAAGGTAAATCTAAATGCCCGCCACTAAAGTGGGGGCACAACAAGTGACATTCAGAGCCAGGTAAATTTTGACTGATAGAAGTAAGCTAGTGTTGGATTATTGAGCATCATGTGAAAAATCATTGAACATGCTACACCTTAACACACCTCCAAGAAGCCGCCTCCGTGGTCGAGGGGTTAGAGTCGATGACTTCTAATCCAGTTACCTCTCTGGCGTGGGTTCGATCCCCGGGAGATGCTTTGGTAGTTTAGCGCGGAGGAAGGTAGTCTAGTACTGGTGTAACTCTCCAGGAACGATGGTTAGGAAACTACCCGCCTATATGACTGAAATACTGTTGGAAAAAGGCGTAAAATGAAACAAACACACCTCCAATTAGTTTTGAAGCTTCCTATAAAGTTTTGATGAGTTCTAGTAAGTGATTGCTAAGAAAAGCTGAAAAATAAAGAAGCTGAAAAATAAATGCATTTAACATATAGATCACCAAGGTCAAGGTTATACCAAGTGGCAAAAATCTGTATTTTCATCAAATTCAAAGATGAAAACTGGCCTTAAAGGTGCTGAAAAAATAGGGTTTATTCTCGGCTTTTTCAATCTCAACCTGTAAATATAGATGGTACCATTAGATGTACCAAAAATATCTAAATTTGTCATCTCTTGTCTGTATTTTTGGCAAATTTGGAATTGAAAATGGGTCAAACATCTGTAGTTCATTTGTATTTTTTAATATATACTTACAATCGAAATAAAAACAGTAAATAAATTCATCAACTTATTACATATTTGCATTGTATTTAAGTTATGAAAGTAAAACAAGGATTCTAATAATGACTATTCACTTATTGTGAAGTTAAAACCATGACTTATGAGGATTGTTTTTTTAACTTGTTGTGAAATTGAAACCATGATTTCTGATGATTGTGCACCGCCTCCGTGGTCGAGGGGTTAGAGTCGATGACTTCTAATCCAGTTACCTCTCTGGCGTGGGTTCGATCCCCGGGAGATGCTTTGGTAGTTTAGCGCGGAGGAAGGTAGTCTAGTACTGGTGTAACTCTCCAGGAACGATGGTTAGGAAACTACCCGCCTACATGACTGAAATACTGTTGGAAAAAGGCGTAAAATGAAACAAACAAACATTCTGATGATTGTTCCCTTTTTGTGAAGTTGAATTCATGACTTATTAGGTTGGTTCACTTATTGGGAAGTTGAAACCATGACTAATGATAACAGTTCACTTATTGTGATGTTAAAACCATGACTTATAATGAGTGTTTACTTATTGTGAAGTTGAAACCAAGACTAATGATGATTGTTCATTTATTGTGAAGTTGAAACCATGACTAATGATGCTGATTCACTTATTGTGAAGTTGAAACCATGACTAATGATGATAGCTCACTTATTGTGATGTTGATTCACTTATTGTGAAGTTGAAACCATGACTTATGATGATTGTTCACTTATTGTGATGTTGATTCACTTATTGTGAAGTTGAAACCATGACTTATGATGATTGTTCACTTATTATGATGTTGATTCACTTATTGTGAAGTTGAAACCATGACTTATGATGATTGTTCACTGATTTATGTACTTGTACATTAGATATGTTCAAGGTTAAAATCATGATTCTATTTTGATTGTGCATTTAAACAACAGGTAAACATCTTTTATACAGATGTGAGACCATCATTTTGGTATAATTTGCTTAAACGTTGGGTATAAAAACGGGACCATGAAACTGATAGTTTGCTTATACAGATAAAACAATTATTCTGATAATGTCCTAGCAACTGTCAGGCATACAGATGAGACCATGATTTTGATTGCTTCAATGTTAGGTATACAGATAAAAACACGATTCCAACACTGATAGCTCAGTATCAATTCAGATAAACAGATGACAATAACATTCTGCTTACATTTTATTTTCATAAAGCACCATCATTAACAGCTGTCATAAAATATATCAATAAAAATATCTTTAAATTAACAGCATGAAACAGGTAGATTTGTGTATTCCATTTAAATAATAAACTATTGATAGAATCTTCGAAATGACAAATAACAATGTATATAAATGACTGTCTGTGTCTTAATTAAAGGGAAACAGTCTTGATAAAAGATACTCCACTGAGGTTTTTTTTTTACATAGGGGGACTGGAAATATTTTGATGAAGGTCCAAACCAATTACTTGTGTGCAAATTTTCAGATCATTTGCACCTTTCATTTTTCTAGAATAATGATAATTCTAATAGCACAAAACAACTTAAAAAGCATTTTAATGCTTTTAACCCAAATTGGGCTAAAATTAACTTAAAATATTACTTTTCAATTAATTCTGAGTATATATCTTTATCTTTTCCATACTTTCCATTTAAAGTGCCTCAGTTAATCAATGCAAGATTTTTTTCAAATTTTATGTTTTAGATTTTGGACCTCAGTGAAGCTCCTTTAATTAAAAATATGATACATTATATACAAAGTTCTCACATAACATATTCATCATTTTGTTTTATACTTAAATTATTATAACAGTAACTATAGTCATATAAACATTAAGATAAAACGTTTAAAAATTAAGATTATATTTTTCTGAACACATTCCTCTAAGGGGAAGGTCTATCAGGTAGTAATAAAATAATAACAAAATTTGTAAAGAACACTATATAAAGAGTAAAATGACCCACAATTATTATTCCAAATCTTGTAAGTAATAAATTGTAATATAAAAAAAAAATTGCAGCATGACCCGCATTTTTTCCTATTGAACATAGAAAAAACCAAAAGTGTGTGTTATTATGCAATAAAATTACTGTCGACGTTCTATATTTAGACATGTGACGTAATCATTATACATGTGACATAACCACTAAAAATGCAAAATGTTGAAAATAATCAGGCCCAATCTAGCTTAATATCAGGTATGGAAGCATTTATTTGTTGATGTCATGTTACAATCGAAATATATCCAAATCTGTGAGCTACGCCCTCGTGATATAATCCTCGCATCCTAACTCCAAACAGTGATTTTATTGAGCGATAAAATCACTAATTGGGATATATTATATCTTAAATAATTTCCACAGACAGTCGTCAAATCTACTCGTAAAATAGATTAAAAACATCAATCTTTGTACTGTACACACAACTAAATAAAGGGTCACCTTATATGAAAGAGGGCCATTTAAGGAAAATTAGTTAATTACTATGAAGTTTAAATGACCCAATGATTTACGAGAAAATGATGTGCAGAGAAAAACTGGGCAGAAGAAGACTCTAGGGTGACCACAATAGCTCACATATTGTGCTTTGTTGTGCTAAATAAAACTAGAGAAAGAAATACTGATACATTGTATATTTAGACACTTGATTTAATATATGTTTGATTGAGGAATGTACATATAAATTACAGCTAAAAATCATGTGTATGTTAAGACGATGCATTTATTTCCTCGGAATACATATGTACTGCGTCAACAAATAGTCCCACATTGTCTGGATTAACATCTTTATGTACACCATGTCCAAGATTAGCTATATATCTCTGTGTTCCAAATCGTTTTATCATTGTCTTCACAGCATTCTTTAACTCATTCTGAAATGAAAAGTATTATACTAAAATATTAAAATTTGTAAATGATAAGAATTTTTTTTTTTTGGAGTTTAATTAAAAGTCATATCAGCAATGTAAAGGTCATATAGCAACTTTTCAGCTTTACTGATGGAGGAAAACCTAAGCTGGCCCTATGTGCATAAATACAGGCACAAGTGGGCACCCAGGTAGATGAGCTTCCTCATATGAAATAATCCAAGGTCCCTGAAGAGATTCGAACCAAAAATGGTGATTTGAAATTGGCAACCATAACCACTCAGCCATATCAGAGGCCCCACTAAAAAATCTACAGACTGACTGGAACTGTGTCTAAAATACACATGTGCCTTGAATTTTTCCCATTTGTTTCATACATTTATACATTTGAATAAGGTTTGATTATTTTTGTCAGTAAAAGGGGCATAACTCTGAATAAAGGTAACCCAAGAGTTATGAGATCTATACCCATCATAGTAAAATTCACAGAGAACAAGTGTGTGAAGTTTACAACCCATTCCAATCAAAAGTTTTGGAGATATCAAACAACAAGAACTTCACCAAAGTGTGATAGTGTCGCCGATGTTGAGGTGATTACAATAGCTTTACCTATTCTTTGAAGTTGAACTAAAAATGCATGGCAAGATTTTCAGGATTGATGTATAGAAAACAGAATATGTACATGCTTCAAAAAGAGGAGACATAAAAAAGCTGAATACCAAAATATAAGTTTTTCTACTGTTGCAAGTAAATTTGTTTTATCTCATATGACTATCTCTAAAGGATTATCTTATTGGGATTAGGAGACTTCCTTGACAAAGATTTGAGCCGCGTCACGACAAAACCAACATAATGTGTTTGCGACCAGCATGGATCCAGACCAGCATGTAGCTCATTAACAGATACATCTCTGATAAAATTATATTGTTCTGCAGATGATGCAACTTTATTCTCAATTCATCTGTGTATTCTTTTATTACAAACAAACATCTTGGTAAGACCAAGTTTTTCATAATGTCTTTACTCGACAGTAATAACATTAAACCTTCTTGTACAGAATATAGAATAAGAAACAACTCACTTCCTGGCTATATAATAAACAAGGATCAAAGTTCCCCTGTAATGTAACATGCTTCCCAGCTATTCTCCTAAAATAAATAATAAAAACAGGAATGAAAAATCAATATAAAAAAGACATCCTGAATTTGTGAAATAAAGAAAATTATTTTTCCCATCAAAATTAAAGATTAAAAACTACTTAACACTAGTTATTAATTTCATATTTAAATTTAACATTAAAGTTGACTGGGACTGGAGACAAGTGTTCAACAACAAAAAATCAGTTTTACAAAAAATTGAAGTCATTTTTTTAAAAATTAGACAAAATTTTTATTAAAAATTATTTTTTATTTATAAAACCTTTGGGGTGTAGGTTTTTAAAGGTCCATCCAGGATACAACATCTAGCCCCTATTTGACGATCATTATGGCAAAAAGGGATCTTTTTCAAATACCCCTGAAAACAAATAAAAATTACAAGTCATATTGTGTTCGTGTTATACAAGCATTAACAAACGCCACACTTGGGGTAATTTCCCCCGCATACCACTTTTTCAGAAACAACGGCCAAAAGCCAAGGGAAACCCCCCCTGCCAAATCTGAGGGTTTCTAAGCCAGTGCATTGCTAAGTTATGTATTTTCAGCTTCAAATTTTGAAAATGTCAAAAATCAATACATTGAGACAGGACATTTTTTTAGAATCTTAAGTTATTGGGCGGACAAGCTTTTTGAAGTCAAGGCCCCTGTGACCTTGACCTTTAACCTGGTGACCACAAAATCAATAGGGGTCATCTACTAATCATGACTAACCTCCATTCCAAATATGAAGACTGTGGGTCATAGGAATCTTAAGTTATAGGGAGGACAAGCTTTTTGAAGTAAAGGCCCCTGTGACCTTGACCTTTGACCTGGTGACCTCAAAGTCAATAGGGGTCATCTACTAATCACAACTAACCTCAATGCCAAATATGAAGACTGTGGGTCAAAGGAATCTTAAGTTATAGGGCGGACAAGCTTTTTTGAAGTCAAGACCCCTGTGACCTTGACCTTTGACCTGGTGACCTCAAAGTCAATAGGGGTCATCTACTAATCATGACTAACCTCCATGCCAAATATGACGACTGTGGGTCAAAGGAATCTTAAGTTATTGGGCGGACAAGCTTTTTGAAGTCAAGGCCCCTGTGTGACCTTGACCTTTGACCTGGTGACCTCAAAATCAATAGGGGTCATCTAAATAAATCATGACTAACCTCCATGCCAAAATATGACGACTGTGGGTCAAAGGAATTCAAATCTTAAGTTATTGGGCGGACAAGCTTTTTTTGAAGTCAAGGCCCCTGTGACCTTGACCTTTGACCTAGTGACCTCAAAATCAATAAGGGTCATCTACTAAATCATGACTAACCTCCATGCCAAATATGACGACTGTAGGTCAAAGGAATCTTAAGTTATTGGGCGGACAAGCTTTTTGAAGTCAAGGCCCCTGTGACCTTGACCTTTGACCTAGTGACCTCAAAATCAATAGGGGTCATCTACTTATCATGACTAACCTCCATGCCAAATATGACGACTGTAGGTCAAAGGAATCTTAAGTTATTGGGCGGACAAGCTTTTTTGAAGTCAAGGCCCCTGTGACCTTGACCTTTGACCTAGTGACCTCAAAAATCAATAGGGTCATCTACTAATCATGACTAACCTCCATGCCAAATATGAAGACTAAGGGTCAAAGGAATCTTAAGTTATTGGGCGGACAAGAAAAAACCGACGGACGGCCGGACAGCCGGACGGACGGACGGACGGACGGACAAGCTGATTCCAGTATACCCCCCTTACAACTTTGTTGTGCGGGGGTATAAATATAAAAGAAGTTTATACTGGTATGTACCTTTTAGGATTTGCTGGCATGTTTTCAATCATCTAATGTACGTAGCAATAGTAACAAGGCTATGCCATCATTATGTTAGCAAGCTTGCATATGAATACTGTATTTTCTAACTTAACACCATAGGAAGCTAACTTTTGAATCTTGAAATTAAAATACCCCAACTAAGGGAATATTTCTACATAATTTAAAGCATGGCAAATTGATTATAAAAATATCAAAGGGTTCACAGCCCATTTCTAAAAGATAAGCTATCAAAAGGCAAAAAGTCTCTATCTTTTTTATTTCAGAAGTTAATACTTGTTAAAGCCTTCAATAACATGAGTTTGTATGTAACTTAATGCTCTATGCATATACCATTGTAGGTGAGCATCGATCAAGAATACCATACATGTAATATTACTGCATGTTTGTATATCACTTATCATCAAATAATAAACTTTATACACAGTTGCTGTGTGTCAATTTATGAAGTCATTCCAAATTTTTCTGGAATGAAGGAAGTTTGCTTTATTATAAATTTTTATAAAAATTCTCGACTAACTTATATTGCTGTATATGAAAGTTTTTTCACCTAGTAGCTCATGATATACAATATATATGCAAACAACCATTTATAAAGTGCCATATAACCTGTCAAAAATAATAATATATGTAATTATTGACTCACCATTGGTACCGGCTCAATATGAGCCTCCAAAAGTTTTTCTTTCGTTCTGTAAGCAATGTCTTTAAGATAGGGTAACGAGAACTCAGCAAATTTATCTGGTCCCAATTCGCCTGCGCAGGAGTCAAATACTTGTAAAAGCTAAAACAAGTAGGATAAATGAAATTCAAAACATTTTTTAAAACAGAATAATGGTAAGTTACATGTATTTAGTTTTAGAATAAACTAATTTTTTAAAGTAAATAAGTTAAAAAATTTTTTTAAAGTTTATTTATTTTTTTTTTTTTTAAGTAGTTCAACTAAATTATCATAAGTGAAGAACACTTGTTAAATTCATTGTTATAACTCTAGACAAAAACTATAGAAATTTAACCACAATCAAAAAGCCATAATTCTGCAAAAGACAGGAGTCAAAATAGTCCCACATCATAACTTCATAAATTTTCATTACTAGTAAATATTCTGCTTAACAAACTATATAAAAGACATTATTTTATGAACATCATACAGACAAATATACATGGATATTAAGTTCAAAGTTTTGTCTTTTGGTTTTATTTTACAATGATTTTAACATGTGTTTGGCCATTTCTTGGTGTCTGTCTAATAGACTGGCTTTCCTAGATAATTAACCAGTTATGACCAATTTTTCTGCAAGTGACTGACTGCTATGTTTCATGATTTAAGAATTCATAAGAGACAAAAGACCATTAGACATTCACTAATGTTCGAGATCAAATGTCATGAAGAAATTTTGCCTTGCCTAAGGATCAAACCAGTGACCTCTGGATAACAAATTGATGCTCTCCCTATTCAGTGACAGATTTCAGGTTGCTGGAGGTATATTTTACTAAGGATCAACATGGTAGTTATAGTTACCTGTGCTCCAGCTTTTACTTGACCAACAAGATAATCAACAACTTTTTCACACAATAACTGTAGAAGTTCCCTGCTTTCATTAGGGTAGGTAACGAGCCATTTCCTTGCTTTAGGTAACGGTGAGTGTGAACCTCCATCTATCATAAACTTCATCAGTGTCCACTACACAATGTAAACAAAAAGACTATATATTATATAAGAAATAAATGCAGACTCGGAAGCATCAATCACAACAAAATTAAATGAAAATTGCAGACCTGGTCCGACCGAACCTGCACATGGAGTCACTTGAATATATGTACTTAACATTTTTATGTGCAGAGTGTTATTTTTCTTGGATAATGCATTCTCTTTGCATGAATTAAGACACGGTTGTTACATGTGAGTTTAAGTCTGGTTACACCTGTAACATTCACATTTTCCAGTACTTACATTGTATTCTTAAAACTCTTTTTTAATATCATAATGTCCAGTAGTGATCTGGTCTAACATTAAATACTTTTACCTCCAGGAACTGAAATTTATAAGCCCTGGCACATATATGCAGTCTGCCCAGGCTCTTTACTATTGGATGACCAGTTTCAATTTTTTGTCTTGATATCCCCAAAATTGATAATGGACTGCTTCAAAAATGGAAGCTCGCCAACTCCATTTTAGACATTCAGCAAGTTAAAGGCTCACCTTTATATATTTTAGTAGAGAAATTCTAAAAAACATAAGATTTTGTAGTAAAATTATCTCCCTTGAAGTGATCAAACTTACTGGTGCCCCGGAGAATCCGAACAGTGGACACTGTCCATTTAAGGCGTGTCTTGTCATAGTTATAGCATCAAATACATAACTCAAGTCTGTGCATACATTAGCATCCTTGTACAGTTTCTTTAAATCTTCTGGTGTTTCTAACAGGAAGTCAAATATAACACCCTGGAAAAAAAACGTACATATTCTTATATATATGGTAAATATTTCAAGCTATTATCATTAAACTAAACAGTTTAAACAAAAATAGTTTTAGATAAAACAAATCAAATAGTAGGATGACTCTTTAAAAGCTGGCCTGATACCAGCTAAAAAATGACATTCTTTTTAAGATATAAGATTCCCACAATGTCAATTGCTATTGAGCACCTCATTCTAAAAGATACATTTCAAAGTAAATAATTTTAAAATAAAATTGTCTTATAATACAGTAAATAAAATTTGAATCCTATTATTCCTATTTTACTTAAAAATGACCTTATTCCAAACAATTAAAGCAAAATAATAGAAGATTTATAAATTGTGTTAAAAATTGCAGATGTAAAGAAAAATTTGAAGAATAACTGGTTACAAATACCAGGGCTAGCGTTGACAGGAGCCTATGACCAATTTGGCTCATAAACAAGAGCTGTCTATGTGTTGGCAATGCCAACGCCAGGATGTGTACAATACCTTTTCCTATTCTTCAAATAGTCAAGCTAAAAATTTTTATTTAGTATTGGCTACAGAATTCAATGCTCTGAATATAGAAGAGTAGTCATCCTTATGGAGTTGCAAGGAAAATTGCCTAAAGGAAATTTTGGCAAGAGCTAGCTCTGAAACACTTATACACAATACATTTATCATCTGTAATAATAGATCAATGCAAACTTGACAATACCTTTCCTTCTACAACATCCACTCCCATCCCCAATACTTGTGGTATGACTAGGATATCTGAGAATATTATTGCAGCGTCTAGATTAAACCTCCTGATTGGCTGAAATTACAGAAATTTTATTGTCTTTATAAAACAAAATTATGACCAAAAAAACCCCTCCTGATTGGCTGAAATTACAGAAATTTATTTTCTTTATAAAACAAAATTATGACAAAAAAGAAACCTCCTGCTTGGCTGAAATTACAGAAGTGTATTTTCTTAAATAAAACAAAAATTATGACAAAAATAGAGGAAGTGTACAGCAATTAACTTAACATCACAAAAACATAATTCATAAAACTTAAGCGGAGGAATACTACATTAATTTTTTTATAATTACTTATTACTTATGACAGATGTTAATAATTGTGTAATAACACATAATCTGGATTGAGGAAAGCGAGAAAATGTCACTATGATTTCCAAATATCTTAGATAAGTTTTATACCTGTAGAGTGATTTCACATGCCATGCTAGGAGTTTTAACCATATCAAAGAACCCAACATTGTGTTTTGCTTTGAATTCCCCATATTCTGAAAATGTAAATATGCAGATTCATTAATTTCGATTCCGTAATATACATGTATATATAGGAACCCTGTCAAAGAAAAGAGGCGAGTATGAAGGATGGCCATACCAGCAACTATATAGTCAAAAACGGTGAATATCATTTTCAGTAAAAATTTAGCAGGTGTGATTTTATGCATTTAGTTGTCCTTAACTGTGGATTCGAAAATAAGAATACTAGAAAAGAAATACTTAAATGTGATTATTAAGGGTACAATAATAAAAGGTAAAGTTTCATATCATGCTTGTAACCAGTTCTGAAACTTTCACTTCACAGCCAATTTCTTTGTGTCTGAACGGAATTTCTGTTGCTGCACAAAGATCTGCTTTTTTTAACAATGACATGAAATGATGTCAAGTAAATATTTAAGGAATTAAATGGCAATATCCTGTTGTATTAATACTCATTGTGTACATGTATATAGTGGAATATCTTGACTTACCTGGTAAATACCTGCCAGCTTGCCTCATTAGCCATACAGGAACTCTTTCTGTCTTCTCACCTCTAGCAGCACGTAGAATAAGGTCATTGGTTAATGGCGGGAATGCCTACAATGTAAAAATTAGCAATTTTTTTAACAATGAAATTAACAATGATATTTTATATGCATATTTGAAATGGTCTATCAAATATGTAAACTTGCAGTTATAACTGGATAGATAAGGTATTTAGTACTAGATAAAACATCTTACAGTATTTGATCAGTTATTTACAAATATTTCATGTTTAATTTGGTGCATTTTCAAAATGGCGCCATTTATCAGTAAATTTTCTGAACAAGCAATCTGTTTTTCAACAGATTTGGCTTTTGGAACATTATTTTCTGAAACATATACATGTATCCTTTTTTCACAAGTTTAAAGATTTTTAAAGAATATCATGTCATTAGAATTTTCCTTTTTGCTCTTGTATCTAATTTTAGCCCTTTTCTTGTACACTTACCTAAATTAAGTATAGCAAACTATACCAATTTCTGCCGAGACATGTATACTTGTAGCGAGAAGGGTTTACATAGCGCCTTACACGACCATTCTAGTATTTGAAAGACCCAGATCATACATACTGATTAATCCCATTGTATTACCATATAAACAAGAGCTGTCGGTAGGACAGCACGCTCGACTGTTCTAAGTGCTTGATAGTAAAAGAGCCTTGATAATGTTAAATTTCTAAGTTCACAAAAGGGCTAATTTTTTTTTATAAATTCATGTGTGAAGTTTTAAATAAATATCTTTAATAGTTATTGAGATATGTAAAACTTGCATGTAAACATTAACCAGGAGACTAAGTAGAAAAGGGGATATGAATCAGCCTTAATGCAAGATAGAGTTATGGAACTTGGTCAGTGACATACAATTATGACCCTCAAATTATGACCCTAAGTACATGTGTAAAGTTTCAAGTAAATATCTTTGAAGACCTTTAACCAAAATTTCTAAGTTTCAAAGGGGCAAATAATACTGCAAATATTGCAGAGAGAGTTATGCAATTTTGCAAAATGATGTACATTGTTACTATAAAATAGTATTGTAAATTTCAATTGAATATCTCAAGCAATAATTGAGATATTTGACTTTACAAAAAAACTTTAACCAAAATTTCTAAGTTTCAAAGGGGCATAATTCTGTCAATATTGTAGGCAGAGTTATCCAACTTGTCAATCTGATGTACCTTGTTACTATAAATAAGTATTGTAAATTTCAATTGAATATCTCAAGCAATAATTGAGATATTTGACTTTACAAAAAACGTTAACCCAAATATCTAAGTTAAAAAGGGGCATAATTCTGTCAAAATTGTAGGCAGAGTTATCCATCCTGTCAATCTGATGTACCTTATTACTATAAATAAGTATTGTAAGTTTCAATTGAATATCTCAAACAATCATTGAGATATTTGACTTTACAAAAATCTTTAACCAAAATTTCTAAGTTAAAAAGGGGCATAATTCTGTCAATATTGTAGGTAGAGTTATCCAACTTGTTAATCTGATGTACCTTGTTACTAAAAATAAGTATTGTAAGTTTCAATTGAATATCTCAAGCAATAATTGAGATATTTGACTTTACAAAAAACTTTAACCAACGCCGACGCAGACGCTGACGCCGGGGCGGCTACAATAGCTCTCATATTCTTCGAATAGTCGAGCTAAAAAGGTGGCAGAAAAGACCAGGGCAGAACTTCTAGAACATGTATGACAAAATCTGAAGCCCTGATTGGAGGTGAAAAGTTGTAAGTTTACTCAGAAACTTCAGTTTTCTGTTTATGAATGTCATCAAGGTAGTATGCCCCTGGATGATGACTTAAATTAGGATAATCGCTAGCTTAAGGTCTTCAGCGTACCCGTTTATATACTATGACATGATGTGAACGCTGAAGACAACCCTGTTGGGAAAGTCCACCAATAATGGTGCCAGGAATCTGACATGCTCGTATTCATTCATCGAACATGCCATGAAGTAAAGAGAAACATAAACTACCTAATAGTTTCCGACAGGTAAAAATTTTCGCACTTGGCCGCCATATTGCCAAAATGTTTGACCACGTGATTACGAGATTGACCATTACGAACCCATGCGCATCCAATATTTTTATAAATTACTTTTTTTAAAGATATTGAAAAAAGTGATTTACTGACTTTTGTATTCAATAAAATTATAAGTACTAAAAAATTAATGAAAATAAATAAAAACATTATCTTGAATAAAAATATCGAAATCGTGTCAACAAAAGTGTTCTAAATATAGTACATGACTCTATTCTAATCGGTTCCCGCGAATGACGTCATACTAGGTCTTGCGTGGCACCTAAATGTCATGGTGTAATTGATGTTTTACAGTTAAATAGGCAATTTTAATGACGGTATTAATATTTTAATGCTTTAGTTGGTATAGAACGATCTTAAAATAATTGTTTTATCGTAAAATGCACAAGAATTGATTGGGTCAAGTGTATTTGCAAGTGAAAAATGAGGTTAAATCAACTTCTGTTATTATGGTTAGGTTTCGTAACGGGTCTAATCCAAAACTTTAATGCCGCATTGATCAGATGAAAAACAAAAATGTTAATTAGCTGCTTATAATGTTTTGGAAGCCAGAACTAGATAATCGCATGTTTACGTTTCCCTTATCCACAGAGGATAAACGAAATCTCTGTACCATAGGTCTTAAAATTCAATATGTACCATGTCACGTATCTTCATCTTTTTTAAGGAAATTGAATGTAGACCCCTTTATATACTTAGGTATCCGTACTTACAGATCTTATGTAAGCATCTTTTCACTTACAGAACAATATTTTTCCAGATGCCAGGTTAACTTTGTATTCTGCATACATTTCTTGATTAATCCCAAATGACAAATAAAAGCAACATTGGGAAGATATTCATTTACACTTTTGTGATGAAAAGTCGTTATTTCATGTAAAATAAACGAATAGAAACAAAGAAAACATTGAAAATATTTACCTCGGTTAAAGTCAGCTGTGTTGTCATTTTAGGCTTATAGAGTGACTCCCCCTGTTTTTACATCCGTTTAGCTGGTACTTATTTTAGCAATGAAGCTGAGACGGAAATGGGGACCAGATATATATTTGTTTATTGACAGGCGCATCAAGTTTCTGAGGTGTCGCATTGAAAGGGAATTTTAGTTGTAGCCCGGGGTGGTTAACTTGCATTTCATTGAATTTTGTAAATGCTTAAAATGTTTAATGTTGTTGAATTTGAATGAGTAACTTGTTTGAAGTTATTTATTCTTCAGTTTTTAATACTAATTAATGAATAACACATGATTATTGTCTGAGTGCTATATTATATAATTATGTTTAACTGTATGAGTCATCGTTTTGATGAGAAGACATGTATAATTAAACTGTTTGACATGGTAAATGAATGAAAGTAAATATCAATCTATTTCTAAGCGTAATCTAAAAATATATATTGCCACAGAGTCATATTTAAAAGTATTGTATTATATTATAGTCTCTGATATTGCTTCTACTATACTGTAGGCCTATTTAATCGTATCGATTTATTCAGGGAATAGACATACATGTATACACATACAATTTTATCACAGATATCAACTTGAATATAAATAAAAACACACACATAAATGCACAAAAATAATTAACTTACAGAATTATAGTTTCAACTGAGACACGTGTCTTCTTGACATCGCACTTATCCTAAAACTGAAAATTATTTTTAAGAATATAATATGTTGGATAAGAGTTTCAGACCTTTAGCGCGACATTTAAGATGAAAATTGTCGGCTGATTCCTGAAATATGACGATGCACAATGTTGTTCTCAACCACGGATTTATATTACATTTAATATAAATCCGTGTCTCAACTAACATTAAAATATGTTGAAACGTTGATTCAATGATTCAACTTGTTGTAATAGCTGCTGTATTACAACACCGTTAAGTATGCAATCAAGTTTTGTTAGTTTCAGATCCTTATGCACTTATGAGGCACAGATCAAGCATTTAAAAAAAGTAAAAGGGTCCTATAGCCTCTAGCCAAATGGGAGTATGTGCGTACTAGAATCGGACACTATTTAATTAATATTTGTATAGCATTTACAGCTATTTATGAAGATACCTGGTCATAACATCATACTCGCAATATATAAGTAGGCCTATATATACATGTATACTCCATTTGTCGCACGCGCCTATGTATACCCTCTCTCCATACATTTTCAGGACACCATCGGTAAAGTTCAAGAACGCACGGTGGATGAACTCTATGTTTTGACATTATTTTGTCTCTACTTGCCAAAACATGAATTTTATAGTGTTTGAATAATGATTTCAGAGAATGTTAGATGCTTAATTGATACCCGAAGAAAGAAGCGATAAATGTGAAATATAATTTGTCATAAAAGTAGCAAAATGTACACTTAACAAATTTTATAAGTGTGCATATAAATATCTTATAATGTGAGTCAATATTGGCCCTTTCATGCTAGAATTTTCTATAAATATAGTTGAGAGACATGATATGATATTCCATTAATTTAATTTCACAACAAACACAAATTTAACACAAAAATGCCCGATAGATGTTATTGTACGTACCATGTAAATATTGCAAAATTATTGCATCTGTGATCTCTAGATATTCTTAATCAAGGTAAGCCTACTTTGATTTTAATAACAACATGGCAGTTTGATTTTTGGAGGTCTTGGCTCGTTACTGGGCGATGGTCTGTGGTACTCCACAGGGAAGTTCAGGAAGACTGTTGTCACTAACAAGGTGTTCATTAAATAAATCTCAGCGCCCATCAAAACCAATACGATGAGCTTCAAAATACGGTTTTATCAATGTCTAAAGAACAACATATGATTGCAGTTTCTTCAGGGTGTCTTATAAGAACACGTCCAGAGCGCCAACAATCTTTCTGAACATTTATAAACGACCTCAATGTCATGGAATATCACCAAAATCACTAGACTTGAATGTCACAGACCATATAGTACTAGTATACGGAAATATGATAGAAGCTATACGGGTGAAGTAAACCGCCTCAAAAGAAGTTTTTGTACAGTGTCACAAACCAACGGCTTCGAATATGCGACACTTGTCCAACAGTGAATAAATATCCCCCAATATCATGAAAAAGATTGTGTCACATTCATGCGACAACGCTGCCAGGTTGAAATAAACAGTCATGCAGGGTAGGCATACGATAATTTTCAATGATACATTTATTTTGCGGCAAACTGTATCACATTTATTGGGAATGTTTATTAAATTTGTGTTTCTTGTGAAATTTAATACATGGACTATCTCTTAATTCTCTCAACTGTTTTTATTGAAAATTTCAGCATGATCATACAAAAATTAACACACATGTGAAACTATTTATACTTAAAAGATTTGTTAAGGGTAAACAAAGAAGCATTTTGACTTCTATACAAAATACTAATTAACTATAAGTGTATATATACTTATTGCAAAAAAGCAACAGATGAAAAAGATGTTTTAGGATTTTGGCAAATGAGTAACAATTTTGGATACACCAAAATGAAAAAGATTTTGAGAAATTAAAATAAAAACATTTCTGAGGCATAATGGGCCTTTAACCTTTTTGAACCGAAATTGATTATGCTTTCCCCACCTATATAGAGTCGTATACTGTTGGTGGCTCAATTTTTGTACACACACAGTTTAATAAACTTCAATTGTACTACTCCAAATAGTTGTAAACAAATGCACAAATACATGAAGAACCTGCATGTGCAAAAACAAGCGAGAAGCGCAAAACCACTCGAAAATCCTCTTCAATGTAGGTTTAAATGCCAACCAAAGAGGATATAGTTCAAATGCTTTAATGAATCTGTTCAACTAGGTTAGCCCTTAAACCGTTAAATATCATAAATGGACTTGTACATCTTTAAATCTGGAAAAGTTCTCCTCTTAAATTATACTTGGGAAAAATTTCAAACAACGTAATACCGATCGAACAGTGTAGATCGTGATCTTGGTCTCGCTGTCATCAGGATGGTCGTTGTTTTATACAGGGTGCTTTGAATGCACAGAGCAATGACTTTGAATGTTCACAATTTCTTTTTAAAAACGATATTTTATCAGTTTCAATATTCAATGTTTACCCCTAAATATGTTATCCTAATGATGCATTAATTTATCTCAATTTACTACTTCTGTCTTACCCACTTGGACAATGTGGACGGCTTTCGAAAGAGGCCAAAAAATGAGGACATGTCTTGAAATCATTTCGCTGAAATAGTCCTTGTACATAACTTGAAAAATTGAGCCCTGTCCAGCCAATGGGTTGTAAAGCTTACATATTTTATTGCAAAGAGATTACAGAAATAAAACTTAACAACATGTATCTAAAATAGTTTATTTTACCTTATAAATATTACAGCATTATACATGCATCTTATATGCGAAAACTCATTTGAAAAGTTCTCTGTTAGACATGCAGAAACGTACTTCAAATCGAGCATGGACGAGTACCCGGGTATCCGCGGGTAGGGTTAGTTCTTGTGGGAACCAGAGTCCAAGTTTCGTACCCGATACATGTACCATGATCCTAGAGATACTGTAGATAACGCATCAGCAAAAATGTACAAACTTGCTTATATATTAAGCATTAACTATCGCTAGGTATTAAAACGTAATCGATAACCTGATGACCACGTGATTCGAATTTGTTTAACTTGCTTTGACAGTTTGGAATACAAGAACAAGCGATATAAACGCTTCTTTGGAAAAAAATCACCCGTCTTGAAGTTCAGGAGGTTTTTCATAGATCATATAATTTGGCTTTCAGTTGGTAATTAGAGCTTGGCTATACAAGTCAATATTTGATGCCTGTTCGTGACCTTCTTGCAATGATTTGTCATTGCTAAAATATAAATTTCATTTGTAACATATGAATATGCCTAAATTATCGTTATATAAAATAAGCTGATGCAAATATAAAATAAAGATATCTTTTTGCGTGTACAGTACATGTATATACAAACACGCTGAAAATATAAACGTTTCAAAACATATATGTTTCTACAGTTCTACACTACGGTTCAACAGTCTAATGTATGTGTTAACATAAATAAATATAGGTTACATACTCGTATAGCTACAAAATCAAAGTCATGGAATGCAAGTTCCACTTGTATTTTAATCATACTCTTTAAGTCTGAACTATTCAGTATTTGGCCGCCATCCTCTAATAAACATGGAGATCTTTTGTTGATCGACCAGATTTACGCCACGCAGGCATTCTCTTATACTCAAATCTCCATCTAACACCTCGCTTAATCTAGCTCCGTCCACCCCCATTTCCTTAATGAGATTTATCGTCACTTCTTTAATTCCGATACACAGTAACGCATCCGCAATTTCGTCAACATTCAAGCAATTAAAAGGTTTCTCAAGTGCTTTAATCTTTCCCTTAGATGCTATAAACTCTGGAGAGTTCTTCATCTTATCAATAGCAATTTTCCAGCGACATTTTTCCAACGAGTTTTCTGACTGTTTTTCTTTCTCGTTTGTGTCATCCGTCAAATGCTCGGTTTCAAATTCACAATTACTACAGCTTGAATTTGTAGTAGGAAAACAATCTTCATCAATGAACACTGTATCTTCACATTCTTCAGATATCATTGTTAGTTTATCATCACAACATTCTAGTCTTGGTGTATTTTCATCGTCACATTCCTGAACATTTTCTCCTCCATTGTTAAGATCACTATCATCGTTTTCTACTATGCTATTTTCACAAACAGTTTCATTAACATTCCCCTGATTATCTTCATCTGTCACATGGTTCATGTTACTAAAATCCGTATCGATTTCTGTCACACCGATGCGTCTAACTCTTGTTTTATTTAATGTTTCACTGTCCAAGACATCGTCATTGTCATGAACTTTACAAAGTTCACTGTCCATAGTGTTTTCATTGCACGCACTGTCATCATCACGGATTTCTTCAATTTTTTCTACAGCGTTATTTTCTTTGGACTCTCCAGCTAAATCCACACCTAAAGTGTTTGCCATTTTCTCATTGATTTCATCCAAGTGTTCAACAACATTGTTTGTTGGACTTTCTGATTTATCAATCGGGGAAAATTCACCCGAAGAAGCTTGTCTGTCCATTTCAAGTTTAGAAACAAGTTCCATCAACTTTTGAATATTTTCATAAACAGGACTTGCTTCTTCGCTTGTAGTATCTTCAATATCGTCAATTGTCCCACATACTGGTGACTTTAGAGTTCCCCTTGATTGGTTGAAACAACCCTCAGAAAACGTAAATGTCGAAGGCCGACGAAGCAAAGGCTTTTCTGATTTCTCTTGTGTATTACAGTTTGATACATTTGCAGCTCCTGACAAATCAGATAAAATAGTGTTGGGGTCTTGTATTTTTGGCACAGCATATTCGAACGAATCTGATGATTCTCGTTTAGAGACTGTGTCATCACTAATTGACGATAATGACCCAGACGACACGCCACTTGTACTAGATGACCTTGGTAAAGGAGGAGGCGGCATACCAGGTGCCTGAGTACTCGGTCGCCGTATACCAGATGCCGGTATGTAATCCGGATCTTCAGTATCCATATTAATCTGAGGGGGTAACACCGCATTGACATACGAGTGAATGTTTGTACAAGGGATAGGCGGAGGCATTAGAATACTCTCTGCAGTATTTACTCCAGCTGTGTCTTCATTTGCTTTTTCTTCTTCGACCTCTTCAAAAAATGTACCATTAAATGAGAGTTTGGATCCCCGTCTTGTTGTGTACGTTTTATCAAAAATAGTGTTGTTGTTGCCAGAGTCCCTTTTTCTACCGAAGCCTGTGTCAAACATTGGCACAGTCAGATAATTGTTACCCAGGCAAAAGCTGACACGACCTGCTGTGGACTGACACCTTCCCGGTCGGATGGTGATATCGTCTGAAACATCAACTGAAAAGCCCCGCCGAATTTCATGCCTTGCCTCAATACCTTTCTCGTTATTTGTTCTCAGGATTTCACTAATAGACTCGGGACTTCCGGAAATGGGATCTTTGTTTTCGTTATTCTGTTTGAATGTCTTCATTGTTAGTATGGTGTTGTTGTTGTTAATCAAACTGCTTAGACTTGGAGACGCGGGGTCTACAATTGAGTCTTTTCTAGACCAGAACTCGTCATCATCATCTTCCGTTGTGAAATTATAACATACTTTAATGTTTCTCATATATGTTATTGCTCTTTCGGCACAAATGCTCATTGCATTTCTGTAACAAGAATTCGTCCGTAGCTCATTGTCCATAATAGCAACACGAAAACGTATCGCACAAGATACTGGGATTTCCAAGAGTATGTTTTTCGTGTTAATCAAAGTAGAAGCAATTACGGAGGTTTCTATCTTTGACGATTCTGCTCTCATTAAACCTGTAAATGAACATGGAGTGACCGGAAATCGACCGAACACTAGTTTTATGATCCTTGGTGTCAGTTTGCGTGCGACGATGTCACTCATTTGCATTACTTGTTTATTCGCTTTCCCGCTCTTGTGTGAAATCTGATAAAATATTCCTGTTTGCTCGAAGGGTAGAAGAATTTCACGATCCGACTCATCTCTACACATCAGGAATTTTTCAGTTATATATTTCGGTTTCCTAAATAACCTTGTTCTCTTTTTGGTTTCTCCATAGTAGATTTTCTCCCGCGTTAATATGTCGCCTGGAAGAAAATGGCGTTGTTCATGTTTGAGTTGGGGATCATTACGATCAAGCAGTTGGAGGCCGTTTATTTTCTTTGTTCCACCAATTAAAAATCTGTCTGTATTTGAGTTTGCAACTTCTTCGACTGTTGTAAAGTGCGGTACAGTGTCGTCTGCTTTAATGTTTCCGGTGATTCTTTGTAAAACTGCGAACCAACCTAAATATAGTAGCAAAATAAGTTATTTTTTTAAACAAACTTATGCATGTACAATCAATATCACGTGACGTAGAAACAATACGATTAGAGAAATATCCTGTTATCTTTAACTGTTTTAGTTTCATGATTTGTATGTATCATCGTACAAAGTTAAAGATCTTTTCCGTTAAGACGAATATGACAGATTCAGTGAATAATTATGATAACATTTTGAACATAAATGAAGCAAATATTCTACCTTTATAATCTTCTGGTATCAGGAGGGATTCTCCAACTTCATTATATTTCTCATCCTCTATATGAAGAGACCTCGCCACCACTTTCTGCAAGAAAGAACAAGAAACATTTTAATAAAGTTTTCTAAATAAAAGTGTTTTGAAATTTTTGTTATATTCATAGATTGATCATGGATCATATACACATTTGCCATAAGTTATCAAATTATCAATTAAATTTGTGTTTGCTGGTCTGGTCAGTTGATAATACAAATTAACAAGGGGCAACACATGTCCGGGTTATAATAAAACATACAGTACCATTTTGGTACAAACACATATTGTTGTGTTACATATAATTCAGTTATTTCATATGATTTCATTGTATCATTTACGTGTTTTTTGGTTAATTTGAAATTTACAGTAAGTCAAATACTCAAACATTAAATACAAATCTACAACCATTTTGAAAGTTTTGATTTATAATAAAGAATAAATATTTTTAATCCAAAATTATAGCTCTAATTGTAAGCATTTCTTCAAAATAACTCTTACTTTTACGATGAAATCAGTAGGATATTTTGAAAATATAAACCTATTTTATTAGTTCTAAAAACTTACCTGAATGTTCCGCTTCTTATAAAGCAACAGAGGCTGAGACAGGTCAAAGTTGAATTCGTGAAACGGTATCGGCTGGCATGAGCTGTCGTACTGAGCTACCACAGGTAGCAGATGTGACTCTAGTAGCTCAGGTAAAGTGTACGAACCTTCTTCAAACTTCAAAGTCGGCCTGTCTGTTGCATGAACCAACTCTCCCTGTCCAATGTCAAGCTGATCCATGTCTCGTCATCTAACACATTTACTCTAAAATGTTCAACACAAAATGTTACACATTTACTCCAACATTTTCAACACAAAATGTAACACGTTTACTCTAAAGATGTTCAACCCAAAATGCAACACGTTTACTCTAAAATGTTCAACACAAAATGTAACACGTTTACCCTAAAGATGCTCAACACAAAAATGTAACACGTTTACTCTAAAATGTTCAACACAAAATGTATCACGTTTACTCTAAAGATGTTCAACCCAAAATGCAACACGTTTACTCTAAGCTGTTCAACACAAAATTTAACGCATTTATTTCTAAATGTTCAACAAAATCGTAACACGTTTAAAATAGAAAATCGTAACATAAATTACTCTAAAATGTTCAACACGAAATGATGAGAGTTAAAACAAAATTATGTCTAACAAATGTAATAGTGTTACAATTTCTGTGCATCCAAACAACCTTAATTGAACTTAATTCCTCTCAATAAATGTCAAGTGCAGTAGAATTTGTTTCGAATTCACAAGATTTAATATCTTTATCTATATTTGATACTTCATCCTAAAACTTTATCCGACTTTACACGAGTTATTATCCCGAACTTGCTCGATCATTATTTTAAATAACGCTCCGGCAGACGACGGAATTTCCTGACCTATAAATTATTTACTAGTGATAAGTTGATATATTAAATAGTTTTGTTGTTTCACTTTTCCATACGTCATAGTTTTGTTATAATTGATCTACACCACATGACATATTTTCTATAATTTCCCTTACTTGTTTTTCTTTTTTCTCACTAAATTAAACAATACTGATTTAGCTTCCATATGCCTTATAGGGATTTTTCCTCGTTACTAATAGGAAATAATCATGCATGCGGCTAGAGGAATAAATGTAACGATGACTAATTGATAATACATTTAATTTTGTTTTTGTCTTAATTTTAGATTGAACATTTGTTGTTTTTGGCGGGAAGAATTTTATGAACATGTATATGTACATTGAAATATAAAAACTTGATGTAATATTAAAGAAAACATGCACAATTTAACAGCCGTGTGCAATAATTAATATGTTTCAACATAATCTTTTCTTACGGAATAACATAAGCTTCTAAACAACTTCCAATCAATATTTGATTTTAGTATAATATCTAAACTTCAACTTTGTATTACCATTCAATTATATATGTACGTGTACATCATCTATAATAAAACTACGGTGGCATAGAGGGGACATCAGAAATATTTTATCTATCACGTGCGCACGCGATAGCTACTACGCGCACGTGGTAGATAAAATATTTCTGATGGCCCCTTTATGCCACCGTATAAAACGGTTAAAAGTGGTTTACGCTTAGTTTAATTGGGTGAATCGGTTGCAAACTTGACAAAATGGTGACGGTGCCACAATATATATCTAGTGTGCACTCGAATATATTTTAAGCCCAAATCTCGTTTGTCGTACGCATACATATAGTTTTATCATATCATAGAAGCCCACTTACTTGCACTAAGTCCGACCCAAACACATTTTATAACAATGCAGCCAGTTTGTCAAGTTTGTGTCCCGTTCATGCGACTGGACGAAGAGTCATGTCCATAAATATTAGTTTCTTAAAGAAAATTAACACTAACCGGTATATAATAAACAAATTATATAACGTTTCGTGCTTACAATTGAAATTATAAAGTACACTATACAAAGTTTCAACGAACTTACTTCAAACATATAATTTAATAATTCCGCTTTTCTAATAGTTGTTATCATATATTTCAACAGCGTAGCGTTTAAGATAATTCATATACACTGTATATATCAAGTACACATGATATAAGAACCTAGACGATGTGAATCTTTTTCCTTGAATTTTTTTAACACTTGTTGTTATTATTCATCATCTGCGACTATTCCATTTAATAAGCTGACATTATAAAGTACTAGTGGTTTAACATTTGACATGCCGTCCTTGAATATTTTACACGACAGTTTAAACGATCCGAAAATATGCATGTTAATAAAAGTACGAAATTTTATCTATCCCGCATTTTAGCAAAGGTTCGGCAATATAGATTTTTTTTGTTAATTTGTATTGTATTTATTATTATTTATTGTATACAATGGTAAGTGGATGCTTGACCACACAATGAATGTATGTAGGTGTTTCTGTAAGTTTTGGTTGTTAAGGTACATGTATATACGGAGGGAGTGAGCGAAGTTTCTAGTATGCATACTTATTCTTGTTTCAACTAAGAAATTCATATTTCTTTCCTTCTTTAGAAGTTACAAATATATGTGTTTTATAATATTTAAATAATGGCCATATAATGACCAATGAGTACTGTTCCGGAAATTGTTACATGACACCCAAGTTAAAGTGTTTGAGTATGAAATGATATTAGCTTTAGGGCTTAATGAGCATTTAAGTTAATTTTACTTAATTACAACTTTTATTTTAGAATCATACTTTGTGTATTTCAACTTTCCAGTTAACGTGTTTTACGTTTACGCAATTTTCACGTCACAGTAACGCGTATTTTTCACGTCACATTAACGTGACGTCACTTTTCTCAATGTAATCACGGTGTGTTTAACGACAAACATTTCTCTACGGGTAGCCCGACACATTAAGTTAGTACATGCTTGGCAAGGCAATATGTATGTGAAAGTGTGTATTTCCTGAATATTGCTTATACTAAAGGAAATTAACTTAGATCTTAACTTGAAATAACAAACAGGAAGTCGCTACTTGAACTAAATCTCGATACATGTCGCGCATTCAATAAATAAAAGTTACTGCAACTTATTTTGTTAAGTAGGAACAGTTAATCCTTTAAAGAAAACCAAACTGCAAGAAATTTTGTTGTTGTTGTTGTTGTAAATTCAGCACTCCTACCCCTCCTTACAATTGCAACAATTGTACATGACGAGTAAATTTATTAAATCGGTATTTAGATTGTTGTGTTTATAAGTATTTTAAAGAACAAAGAAAAAACAAGTGTAAGACCTAAATATCCTGTGTTTCGGGTATCCCAACCCTACCTAGTCTTACCCCGCCGATTCTAAAGATTTAAGTTAAAAGGATGGCGACATGATCCTCCGTTATCATGAATGAAATAAAAAAATAAAAGGAATAAAACTCAATCCCTATCCTAACTTACAAAACAAGGATATTATTTGGACTGACTAAACCTTAAGATCAATTTTAGGGTACTTCCCTAATTAACCACGTGAATTTTACCTACAATAAGGGTATTTTTCTGACTATATACAACGTGAACTATACCTACAATTAGATATTTACCTACAATGGTCGGGGTATGTTCCTACTTGACCACGTACGTGAATTTTACCTACAATAAGATAATGGTCTGAATATTTCACTAACAACGTAAATTTGCCAGCAAAAAAAAAAATTCTTAGGTAATTTTAGAACTAACCATGCGAAACATTCAGAAACCGACAATCAGATAATCTTAGGGTGTTTTTATCTTACTTCAGGAACTTTATATGCAATAAAATAATTGTCGGGGTATTTCCCTAAGTAACCACGTGAACTTTACAAACACTCGTATAATGTTGGGCCATTTTTAAGTACTACCATTCCTAGTACTAGTAAGTAACCTCGTGAACTATGCCTATGAGAAGATGCTTTTAAAAAAAATATATATATATTTCGATAATTCACCACGTGTGATCTTATTAACCAGTGATATATACATGTACATGTATCTACAATAAAATAATTGTGTAATAATACTAACATAAACTAGCCATATGGCCAGGTATTGAAGAAATATGATCTTTAAATCTGTTCATAAAATACCCATAGCTTTTGATAGCTATAACTAGAGTCTGTATTACATGTGCACTACATGGTATTCATGTGTAGTCAAAATCTTCCACTTGCAGTCTGCACTAACCACTTTAATAGCGTATTATTGGCATTAATTACAGGCACTCTTCTAAGTACAGCGGACCAAGACGTCTCGTCCAAAAAAAAATCTCAGATACATATCTAGCTTAGACTTTTAATTGGGAAATATATAGAGTAAACTTTAACAGCACTTATCGTTACGTCACACTTACCTCACGAAAATAACTGATATGATGACTTTATTACATATTTTGTTATTAAAATACTAAACAGGGAATCGAAACTATGACTAGACATGAAATAACGAGACACTTTTAACTTGATTACACCATTAATTAAAGTGGATTGGTCTACAACGGGCACATTCTTCTTAAGAATTTCAAATATTGCTAAAAACAATATAAATGTATTATTTTGAAATTCTTATGTTTCTGGAAAACAGAATGTGTATAGAGTTGTAAAGTGTTTTAGTATTAACATATATATGGTGAATAATAATATTTTGTTCTAGAACATTTTATTATCTGCTATATATTCATATATCATGTCAGATTATGTATCCATCATTTACCAACAGCATCTGTGGTTTGTTTCATGTATAATACTGTATACTGTCAACATAATTTTTTACGGTATCACAGATCTTCTATCACAGACCAATTCACTTTAAGGAAAAAAGGGTTAACAAAGTAGACACTCGCTTCGCTATTCCCCCAGCCCCCATTCCCTAAATATTGATCATAAAGATAATGTTTCTTATTATATGTTTTAACTACATGTATCATGTATCAATTTCTATTTTTATTTCTGGTCTTTTAGACTCAGTGATTCCAATACTTAGTATTTTGTGTCAAAGAAAAATTGAATACCGACTAAGTCTGTGTAAACTAGATTAATGACAATATCTTTAAAAAAAGATCAATAGGGTAATGTTGAAAGTAAAACATATTGTCTTTTAAAAAAATTAGTGGCGACATCGCGAATATCTTGTTTTGTACGATATTTGACTTAGTGATGGACGGATATCGGAAAGATAAACTACAAAGCAGCCAAAAAGATGAGTGGTTTCCGACACTTAAGAGTTGTTAAAACGCAAAAGAGATAAAATTATGACACAAAATAGTCATCCAGTGGTAAATAGTTCATTTGTGATTTAATATTTTGCTGTTGGTCTCACTGTTCAAATGTGTTAGTAACGCCATATGCGGAGAACAGTGCCTATTTCACTTTTTTTCGTTATTTAAGACATAAACCCAATTTTGAATTTCCTAAATTATGCAGGACCAAGATGATATTATTTCATTTGCTTTATGCCTGCGAAAACAGGTTCAAATCAAATAAGATAAAGTTTTTTGGGGTTTTTTTTCGGAAAAAGAAAAAAACGTGCGTGCCAATATTTCACATTTATTATTCAAGTTCCAAGAGTTAGACAGCCGTTGCAGAACATTATGCTTAAAACGTATTAAGTGGCAAGTTGGAAAATTTGACACCTTCTCGACCTAGTTTTTCCATGCCTTATTAGAATTTTTAAGTTTGTAATTAATTCGGTTTAAGTGCACGCGTCAAATTTCTTCCTCCGGCTCCAGAAAATGTAAGACGCCTGTATTGTTGGTTTTCTGCACGTGTTTATGACACCCTCACATGCACGTGTAGTTTTCTACATACACTTGATTAAATTTGAAAAGTTAAGCATTTTATAATATAAATCTTACCAATAATATAAAAAAACAAGGTTTGCACATTTGACAATAGACGGAAAAAGCACACATGCACAATATAAACGACAACGGTGCACAAAATTAATACACCACCTCAAATAACTTATATTGTTAATATGCAAATGATGAACATGAATTAACATAAATGAAAAGATTTAAAGAAACATATCTTAAAGATATACTAAGTATATCTTAAAGATATACTTTGCTCAAATTTGATATAAGAAAATATTGATACTAATTGCTACACAGTCTCTTTGATAACGTAATGTTTTGACTTCACACAAAGTAGATATGATTGTTATGTTTAAAATTCTACACATATAAGTGGTCACAATATGAATATACAATGCATAGTGTCATTTAAAATAACTGGAAGTTTTTTTTAAAGAAAAGACCAACTTTACTTGACCTGTAATTGGAAAGGCAGCTTCCCATACATAGTTTATTCATTTAAAAATATCAAAATTAGACATATTCAGTAAGAATTTCATACATTTCAATAAATTTCTGTGATTCAAATATCTTACTCAAGGAAGAGCATAGTATATTATTAAATAAGTAAAAAATATATAGATAAAATGTTATACCTAAAAATTATCCTAAAATCTCCCGAATCACAAGCGTTGAAAATAGTGTCCTCCTTGCAGAGAGAAAAAAAAACAAACACAAGCTTCGCCGACAAAATTCTGTAGACAAGTAATTTATCGAGTTGTTTTGATTTGCAAAATATGCCTCGTTAATACGAGTCCTTTGACATTATTTAAGTTGCATGGCAAACTTTAGGAAACTGTTCACTTTTACAAGTGCTCCAATAAAAGTAGTCCTTCATATCGCGGTCACATTCTTCAATTAGGGGCTATCCATAAAGCGATTATTACTCATGGAACACTTAACGAATTTCCCGAAACTTTGATCTTGTATAAACGATTAGTGTTTAATTGGGCTATAATTTGTGAAAATCTGAACAGGACCCTCTCCGTTCGCGTGAGAGACTGTCCTCGACCATATAGATAGCTCTTTATTTTATGTCTTAATAACAGAATTTTTATTTACTGAAATAAACTCGTGTGACCCATTCTCAAATGTACAACTCTTGTGAATACACTTTCAATGCAATATATGTGTCTAAATTACAACAGTAAAAGTTAAAATCTATAAAATCTATAATAAATTATAATAATAATAATAATAATAATAATAATAATAATAATAATAATAATAATAATAATAATAATAATAATAATAATAATAATAATAATAAATAATAAATAATAATAATAATAATAATGATGACGAAGGCAATGATGGTAACAGCATTTATCATTATTATCATTATTTGCTCTTTTGCAATTAAATAATAACCAAATAATTATAATCGATGTGGTTTTTTTTTTGGGGGGGGGGGACGGGGCGGGGCGGGTTTGCACATTGTTCGGAAAATGTAAAACTTACCACCTAAACCGTTTGATGATAGCTTACGAAAACAAACCATAGATTCCTCGGCCTGTTTATATGTTTATAGCATTGGAGTTGAAACATCTTATGTAACTTTGGAACAAGTTTCCGGCCAGCAGTAATTATAAGTTTTTGTCAGGGACTACTTTTATATGTCCTTTTTTTCACGTGTAGCCCGTAATGCTCGTGCATTGATTATTTAAGTGATTTAAGTGAATTGGTCTATTATTGAAGATCTGCAACACGTTGATAGTATTCAGCATCATACATGAACACAAACTATAAAATAGTCATATATGTATATGTATGCTGTTCGTAACATAATCCGACATGACATGAATTCTGAATATACAGAAGATAATTTAGTGTTCTAGAATTAATATTATTATTATTCATATTATGTTCACAATAGATCACTTTACAACTTTATCAACATTCTGTTTTCCAGAAATATTTCATAAGTCCGAATGATACATTTACACTATTGTTTTTATGAATATTTGAAATACTAATGAAGAATATGGCCATTTAATATAGACCAATCCACTTTAAGTTATTGAGCAGTGCACTATTATTGATATTGCACTGTCCTTTCTTATTTTGTGATACTCATTATCATTATCAATACTCATTTATAAAATAGATATTAGGTGAGCAAAAAAGGGAAAAAATACGTGGTTGTTCACAATGGGTGCTACTAGTATTTCAAATATTTATTTTGTTATGAAACAAGAAATATTTTAATTAATTAAATTTGAATACTGTGGAATAGAGCCAATGTTCTGAATCATGGGCACTTCAATAAAAAGCTATAATTAACACGACTTGTATAACAATTCTGTTTATTTGTAACAAATGAGCCGTGTCATGACAAAACCAACATAATGGGTTTGCGACCAGCATGGATCCAGACCAGCCTGCGCATCCGCGCAGTCTGATCAGGATCCATGCTGTTCGCTATCAGTTTCTCTACTTGTAATAGGGTTGGTAAGCGAACAGCATGGATCCTGATCAGACTGCGCGGATGCGCAGGCTGGTCTGGATCCATGCTGGTCGCAAACGCACTATGTTGGATTGGTCATGACGCGGCTCAAATTTATTTGAACTGTATATACATTCTGTGATTTTCTGCTACATTTTCATGTCAATACAGAGACATTTATAATCTTTTTTATTTGCATAGAAAAAGCATAGCACTTTGTAAAAGTCATTTAAGTACAAAAAAGCAAGTCCATCTGCCAACGGCCTCTTGTTGATGAATCATTTGCTACAGCTCTTAGCTTATATTATTTTATTATTTGAAGAACTTTAATTTGAAGAACATTAATAATACTACCGGACACACCCTGACCAACAACGTCCAACGTTTAAGAATACAGATATTTTGGATCGCTTATTTGTTTCTAGTTTTTTATTTTTTAATCCAATATGCATGTAGATCTGCAGCAGATTGTTTTCTGTCGTTTCTGTTAAAACTGCCTGGAACCCTTAACATATCTATGTTCATGTTTCTTTAATTGTTCTATAAATATTTTGTTTTCCCTTTTTTGGTAGGGCACGCTAGAGTTTCTCCAAAAATTCGTCTTTTCTCGATAAACAGATCAAGTCATTATGTTTTCTCAAAAATGCTGAAAAATGCAAAACAAACAAGCATCATTTAATATTGAACAAATTTGATAACTAAACTTGCCATGTTCGTTCCTTTTATCCCTACCAATACGTATATACATAAAAAGAATTTGAAAGGTCTTTAAAGGCCCATTAACCCCCCAGAAATACTTTTTATTTTTATATCTCAAAAACATTTTATTTTTGGTCTTTTGTTATAGTTTCCAGAAAGTTACTGATTAGCCAATTACCTGAAGCATCTTTTGCTTCTGTTGCTTTTATGCAATAAGTACTGTTATAGTGTTTAATTATTTTGTATGGAAGTTAAAATACTAGAGCGCTACTTTTATTAGGTGAAAAGCATCTATAACATACTCTTAAACGATTATTTAAACGTTTTAATTGTCATATTTTCCTTTTCTGAAAAATGAAATATTTGTTCGTTAAGCCCAACGGTACTTTACTTGGAAAAATAAAGTAACAATACTTTAAGTTAATAACATCAGAAGAAGAGTATTTCTTTTGGTAAAGACCTTAAAGTTAGTATTAAAACAATGACAATACGGTTGCAGCAATAAAAAAGCCATGTTGTTAGAATCTTGTCAAGAAATTGAATGGTAAATAAGTATAATTACTTTATAAAAGTCAATTTGGTACAAGAATAAGGTTATGATCATTTAGTTAATTTGTATTGTAATAAGATTGTTGGAAAAAAATATCATATATATAGAGGATATTTGTTTAGTTCAGTGTAAGATCGGAATATATTTCACCGAGTGAGCACCAAAAGGTATATTTCACGAGTGGCGCAGCCACGAGTGAAATATGAACTTTTGGTGTTCACAATGTGAAATATATTTCAATCTTACACTAAACTTAACAAATTTTCTTTTTATTACATGCAAAGAAACGATTTAAAAAGACATTAAACCTAATACTGAATGAAAAGCGCGCCAAATAATAATACAACGTGACGTCATTTGCGACGTCACGTCATTAAGTTGGTACCCAGTACTGTGCACGCTGGTATTTCACTGAAACAACGTAAGGGGCTTAAATTCAAAACAGTGAAATTATCAAAGTGGTAATTTCACTGTTTCAAACAGTGAAATTACCAGTTTTATATCACTGATATATAGAGGATATTTGTTTAGTTCAGTGTAAGATCGGAATATATTTCACCGAGTGAGCACCAAAAGGTATATTTCACGAGTGGCGCAGCCACGAGTGAAATATGAACTTTTGGTGTTCACGAGGTGAAATATATTTCGATCTTACATTTAACTAAACAAATTTTCTTTTTATTATATGCAAAGAAACATTTAAAAAGACATTTTAACCTAGTACTAAATGAAAAGGGCGCCAAATAATAATAAAACGTGACGTCATTTACGACGTCACGTCATTAAGTTGGTTTCCAGTACTGTGAACGCTTGTATTTCACTGAAACAACGTACTGGGCTCAAATACTCAAAAACGTGAAATTATCAAACCGATAAGTTCACTGTTTCAAACAGTGAAATTACCAGTTTTTAACTCACTGATATATTTCTATAAACCACCGAAAAGCATTTAATAAATTTCTATAAACCACCGAAAAGCATGTAATAAAAAGGGATAATTGCTCTTTAATCAGTGCCCTACCAAGGATAAAAGTACTGTTGTGAAAATATTACACGATTATAATTTATTGAAATATCTTAATTGTAAATATTTAAAGTAAGGAACTTTGTGTTCTATATTACCATCTGTTAAGTATTGGCACATCTGATGACACTATGTATTTGTGTCAGTGTAAGTGTGGTGTATGGGCGGGTCTCCGGGGAGGTAATGGTGATGTATGGGCGGATCTCCAGGGAGGTAATGGTGATGTATGGGCGGATCTTCGGGGAGGTAAAGGCGGGTCAGCGGCATTGCTACGACTGGTACCAGACATGTCAACATACCCCTCCAGTTCTGTAACAGACATATCAACATAGCCCTCAAGTTCTGTAACAGACATATCAACATAGCCCTCAAGTTCTGTAACAGACATATCAACATACCCCTCCAGTTCTGTAACAGACATATAAACATAGCCCTCAAGTTCTGTAAGAAACAGACATATCAACATAGCCCTCAAGTTCTGTAACAGATTAACATTGATCTGACATTGACCCGACATTGTTACTAGCTCTATGAAAATGTCAGCAAATGATGTTGTAATAAACATTGTTCAAAATGTAAATGGCATCAAAAAATTTTGACTTAAAGGAGCTCCACTGAGGTTAAAAAAGCTTGTAAACATTAAATGTGAAATTCTTGTATAAATCAAATGATGGACTTAAAATGGAAAAAAAAAGAAATCTGCCAAATAGACAGAATATTATAAAGAAATACACTCAGAGTTAAATTAAAAATCAATTTTTGCAAGTTGTTTAGCCTGGCGAGTGAAAAGCCTTGCAACGATAATAATTATTGTTCTGAAAAACGGATTGAGGGAATTATCTGGAGTTATGCGCACAAGTTATTGCTCCAGACCTGCATCTATTGGTACACAAATCTAGAGAAAATATTTCAAGTCTCTCATGTAAAAAACAAACATCAGTGGAGTCCCTTTAATGTACTTTAAATAAAAATTAGAAACAATATGAATTAATTCTTACCTAGCATTCATTACCTAATGATATAATAACAGAACGAGCATAAAGTTACTTGGCAGATTGTTAGATAATTCAATTTTTCATCACAGAGAATACATGTTTAGAATACATTAACTTACCGTCTGTACATCTTTTTGGTATTGGTATTAAATAGTCATCATCATCATCACCACTGTTATCAGAATTCTCCGGCACGGGTGGTTCTTGACGTCGACGGCACTGAACACGTGACCCTTAAATGGAAAAGTATATATACCGGGTATAGTTGATAAGACATAAGTAATTATGTGATAAAGTTTTGTTTTACATCACGTGGCAAAGAAATTTAGTAATAAAAAAAACCCTAAAAACAATAAACAGGGATTTAAGAAAATATTGATTTTAGAAAAGTCAATTTTTTTAGTACTCACTTCTACAAATAGAAAGCAAAATGGTCTTTACTTTATATAATTATGTTTAACTACAAACCAAACTAAAATTTCTAAAAGTAAATAAATAAATAAATACAAATTGATTAAAAATAACGAAATAAATATGATTAAAACTAAAGCAATAATAAATAAGCAATAATAAATAAACTATAAACCGGCTAAAGGGAGACGTTTCATCTCTGGGTTCACGGCAAAATCGAGACACAATGATTCCTTGACGACACGGCACGCTTCCGTAGCACTCCTTTCAGTGACAAGAGACCCGTAGATTGTGCGCACGTGACTCTCGCACACATTCACCAATAACTTTCCAACCTCTTCATTATCTATAGGTATCACAACAACAGATTCTCTGGGTACACGTGCACTATTCCCAGCGTCTATTGCCGGCATGTGGTGTCCAACTAGGGCACGCTGCATAACCATTCGAGTCAGCCTTGCGGATGCTTAAAACAAGACATTGTGTGACAAAATATACATGAATTCTTTTAGCAACAACAATTATCATGAAATGCATTAAATCTTTTAAAATCTAATTTGTTTGTGGATTTCTTTTTCTGTTTGTTTGTTTTGTTTGGGCCATATGGCGCCGAAACAGGAACGATTATTTTGGCTAACCAACTATAAAGCAACTTCAGGAGTAAAAAACACCTCACATTCTGGAGCTAAGCAGCAAGGTCTATTTGAAAGACCCTAAGCTAAGATATCCATAAACTGAAATAATTCGAAACCATTAAATCGCCCCCACCCCCCTTCGATCACGCAGGCTGCAATTTTGTTGCCTCAACCCTTGAAGGCAACCGCTCAACCACGGTGGGGAGTGTGGATTTCAATTTTTATAGTCCCACACTGCATGTATATGCACAAAGGTAACATACGCAATGATGACCTAAATTACTCGAAACTGTATGAATTAATATTATACCAGTAACTGATCCGGGCTTTCGGTGCCCTGTTAATACTTCCGCATAAAATTTCTGCTTTATTTCATTGCTGATGAACCTCACATCCAGTGGCAGTCCATATCTAATATAGAAAAAAATCAGTGTTAAAGAAACATTTGTTTTTTGAAATATGCAATATACCTTTTTAAAAATAGTTTTAACCTTAGATCTGCTTAATTTATATAATAGATTTGCCCAATTTTATTTTGGAACATCTGCACAAAGTATATAAAAATGCAGAAATTGAGCTACCAACATAAAGGCTCGGGCACGACTGTGTGGATGTGCAGACTGGCATGGCTCTATACTGGTGTCAAAGGCTGATCACTTCCGGTTCCGACAGGTTAAGGGTTTTATCTGTTTATGATCAATGTAAAGTTATAATAGTTTGTAGCTGTAATAATCTTGTAGCTATATTTCAGGAAGTATTTCAACAAGGATGAAAAGAAATGTTTGTTTTTGTATTTTCTTTTTTATATTGTGTTTCCGTGTTTTTATAAAACTATTGATAATCGCGTTGACATGGTAACGTGGTTCATAAACATTTATTCAAATTGCAAGACGTCTTTCAGATTACCATAGTCAGAAATATTTTAAATACATGTGTTTTTGTGTGCGTTATGCGTGTGCGTGTGTGTGATTTTTTTCTTCAATTTAATTAATTAATTAATTTTTACTTGTTTTTATTTTGATTTTGGTTAAACATATTTGTTCGTACTTTGTTACGACTTATTATTCTTTTAAAACACGTTAAAATTTTCACATAAATACTTTTCTTTTGACTAACACGATATAGATGACACAAAGTTTCAAAATGTATTGTAAACGACACTCAAATAAAACGTGAAACATAAATATTAAAAGAAGTAAACAAATATTTTCCTTGATGGAATGATAAAAAAAGAAAAAAAGTTTAAAGGCACATTATGCCTCATGAAATGCTATCATTTTTATTTCTCAAAAACTTATTATTTTTCATATCTTAAAAAATTGTTACAGTTTCCAAAAACATAATCATTTTTCATATAGATGAACTATTTTTGCTTCTGTTGCTATGTTGGCAATTGGTATAATAATAGTGCCTTAAAAGAACTCAACTGAGGTTTATAAGCCTAAAAACATAAAATTATTATTTTTTACATAGATAAACATTAGCACCTAAAACAGAAATATAAATAAAATATAACCGAGAAATATACAAGAAGTACATTGAAAATCATATGTTTGTGCTATTCTCAGTCCGATTTGAGTGAAAAGCGTTTAAATGCTTTTCAATTTTAGGTCATTTTTCACTATTATATAATAAATATTCTGGAAAAACGGAGCGAGCTAATGATCTGCAATTTTGCACAGAAGTTATTAGTTTAAATGTTCATCAAATGAAGTAATAATCTCAAAAATTATTTCCAGTCCCATCATGTCAAAAAACCTCAGTGGAGACCCTTTAATATTTTGTATGGAAGTCAAAATACTACTTTGTTTACATTTTGCTACCTTTACCACACACAACTGTATGTTCAACACTATTTTCGTCAGTTGTTAAACATGTAACATGCTCTTTATCCATTATTAAAAATTATAAAACACATGTTTGACATTTCTGAAGATTTTTTTTTGTTTTTAGGCATAATGTGCCTTTAAATTTATATCTGTATAAAAAAACTAATATCATTAATTTTTGGCTGTGGAAAATACCACAAAAAACTTTAAAAAAAATTCATATACAAGTCAGATGAAACTACAGCATGTCACGTGATACAATTCAAAATCGATGTAAAATTGACAGTTTCAGGTTGTAATGAGAAATCATTGATTTATTTTAAAATCAAACACGATTGGATATCCTTGCGAAACAATAATATAAAGACATTTGTTTTCAACGCCAATAAACAATGGTTAAAAAAAAGTTTTTATGTGCTGAGTAACACCAACATTTCTAATTAATCATAATGAAATAAGATACATGATCAATGCCGACAATGACTATCTTCTTTTTTTGTTTGTAATTATAACACGAAAAAAGTGACCGCCTCCGTGGTCGAGGGGTTAGAGTCGATGACTTCTTATCCAGTTACCTCTCTGGCTAGGGCTCGATCCCCAGGAGATGCTTTGGTAGTTTAGCGAGGAGGAAGGTAGTCTAGTACTGGTGTAACTCTCCAGGAACGATGGTTAGAAAACTACCCGCCTATATGACTGAAATACTGTTGGAAAAAGGCGTAACATGAAACAAACAAACAATAACACGAAAAATCGGTGTTATCATTTAATAACACGAAATGTCGGTGTCATTTTAACACGAAAAATTGGTGTCATTTTTAGACGAAAAATGTTTGTCATTATAACACGAAAGGTCTATGATATAGAATACATAGCACCTTCTTATTTTTTGGGAACATGTTCTTATATATCTGTTTCTTAACCATTAACTTACTGGAACCGGAAGTGAGTAGCCTTTGCCACCAGTATAGAGCCAGGCTGGCCTCCATGTCCACGCAGAAGCCGTCCGGTAAGCTCAATAGGTAGAGCCATGGACTGTGAATCGGGCGACCGGGGTTCGATTAATGAACGGGCAATTCACTTCCGTTGTGACTTACTAGTATAATGAAAAAATCCTTTCTACGGTCATTTTCACTGTACCTCTGCTCTTGCATGTACAGAAGTAATAAGTTCCTTGCGAAAGTGAAGGCAACTAGTACTGGTAAACTGCTTGACAGCCTGCCCAGGAACGACGAGGTGGCTGTACTGTGCTTTGGTAATTTCAATGTGGCTTACTGCCGTGATTTGGAGTGAAAACTGCCAACACCACCACCACCACCATGCAGTCTGACCAGGCTCGATACAGTTTGTAGATCTATTTTTGTATTTTGCTGTCGAAATCCCTGAGCCTTTTGATGGAATCGTCCAAAATCAAAACTGAGCAAATCCATTAAATAAAGGGTAAAAGGTAAAGATTAAGATTTCAGATTTATTTTGCTAGTGCAAAGATTACGTAACACTTTAAATGTAATAAAAAATAATAATTGATCAATTCTTGATTATATGAGCCGTAAATTATACAATAAACAATTATATGAGCCGTACAATAAATAATTGGCAATTTCTTCATAAATTATTTGCGTTCCATATGGAAAGAAATACACATTTATAATTCGATTAATTTAACGGAGCTGCTTTTTATCATGGACTTTAATTTCTAATGTTATTTTGTCTTAAATATAAACATATTTATATGTATACATCAACAAACCTTTCTATTGCTGTTTTTATGGTGTACATTTTGCGGTCGGCTATTGTGTGGAATTTTCCCTTTTTATTAAAAGGTATTGCAGCAACTTTGTTCTTTTTAGAATGTTCAAACTGAATAACAAGCTCATCTGGTTCCTTTACGAACCCGGTTATGGAGCCAGGTATCACCCTCTCCAATTCTATTTTCGTCCCTTTATCTAATTTTACAGTTTTACCTGTATGTGCCTTTACCGTTAACTTTTCTCCAAGTTCTGCATAGCCTGGAAATATATCTACAAGTTCTTTTACAGTGTTCACGGTAGTGATCCTTTTCATCACGTGCACTTTACCGTCATAACTGTGTGGCAAGAAAAATTCCTGGTTGTCTGAGGTAGGGACTGCACTATCTTCTGAATCCCAGTGTATGAAATAGGCACCAATTTTGTGTAAAAATATCTCTTTGTTGAGAATGAGGATATCTCCGCTAACAAATTTTTCCGTTTCATTTCGAGGAAGGTAACTCTCTGTCAGTCTTACAACACGCGGTAAATCAAACTTGTCCTTCACTTTATCCAGACGGTAACTCTCCTTCGACCACTGCATTTCTCCTTTGGTTTGATGATTTAGTCGAGAATTATAACTTTACACCACTTACTCACTCTTACAATGATTCAAATCGTTTAAATAAATGAGTCTTTGAACATAATTATTATATTGAAGTCATCATACGTAAAAAACGCGAATTATTCATAAGTCTATTAACAATTAAACTTATAATAGACAGCAACGTCATATTCGTTTAAAAAAGTTTTAAATGAAAACTTCCTGGGTCACACTTCGAAATGTAAATGTTACTACCTCATACTTACATGTGCACCCATTCACCAAGTTGCATTTGTGAAATTCAAACCTTATGCTGATTTATATGGGAAAACTATTTTCATTTAAAATAGTCTTTGTGCGCTGTCTTAAACATAATAGTGTATGAATATTAACACTGTATTACAAAACAAACATTGACGAAAAGCACGGGAAAATGGGAATAGTCAGGACATGTTAAAGGTACTCCACTCGTTTTTTTCTACAATAAACATTTATATTGTGCAATATTGTGACTCCAAAATAAAAATGCGTTACCACGCTTCTCAATCAAATTGGACTAAAATCGCACAGAAATTAATATTTAATCAAAATTCTTGGTATAATTCTTCATCATCATTTAAGGTTTTTCCATTCCAAGCGCTTCACTTGTAAGAATTTCATATTTTATGTTTCTAGGGATGTAAACGAACATTCAAATGTTCGAATAAGATTCCAAACATTCGAACGCATTATGAGTAATATTCGAATTTTCGTTTAAATGCATAGTCATCGTGTGCACATTGTTGTTTTTAGTTTTAAATTAATTATCTACGGTCTACCCCTAAAACGCCAATTTTGGATACTGATTCTACCGATATATATATATTTTACGATATTTTTTCGCGTTATTCGAACGTTCGATTGCAAACGGGATGAAAAGATATGTGAAATTGCCATCTCTTCTTAAAATGAGTTATATTTAATGGTTGACAACAAATACAGCTCACATCTACATATATTTGATAGGAACCATCTGGGCCGCGTCACGACAAAACCAACATAATGGGTTTGCGACCAGCATGGATCCAGACCAGCCTGCGCATCCGCGCAGTCTGATCAGGATCCATGCTGTTCGCTATCAGTTTCTCTACTTGTAATAGAGTTGGTAAGCGAACAGCATGGATCCTGATCAGACTGCGCGGATGCGCAGGCTGGTCTGGATCCATGCTGGTCGCAAACGCATTATGTTGGTTTTGTCGTGACGCAGCTCAATTTTATAAATACGACTTTTGCAGAGAACCACCTATATACCAATCATTCCTGTGAAGTTTGGTCAAATTCTACTAAGTGGTTTTGGAGCGATTGTTGATTACAGAATTTGTGGCTAATGACAGACAACAAATAGCCACAAATATGACACAACTAAACTTTAAACCTTGTACAAGTATCCATTCATAAAACACACAGAAAGAAAGGGAAACGAGTAAACTTTCTAAATATTTTCTATGATTAATCAATATAATAAAAATTAAGAATTAGCTATGCCACCAGTAAAGAACCAGGTCACTATACGTGTATGTCCGTGCTATATTTCGGCGGTATATTTCATATTGAAATCCATAAAATTTTAGACTTTTCCAAACTCAAAGCAGGGCAAATCATTTCACATTCAGCGGGAAATTTTAATGTCTGGACTTTTTTCTACCATTGTGTATTTAATTCAAGTAGGTATTTATGACCTCTTAAAGTAACATCGTAACATACACACTATAGTCATATTTCTGGCATAATAACCATAAATAATCCATACCAGTATCATAATAAACACTCGATCCTCAATTTATATACCATTATACATGTACTGGCTTTAACAGTCAGTAGTAAACTATTCAAAATTAAAAAATATATACATATATACATGTATATAATTGTAAAAAAAAATATTCCTATGATAAAGTACTGTAGAGATAATTGCTAATCCCACATACCATTGTTTATGTGATGACTATATATTTTACATCATGAAATCCTGTTTAACAATAATTAGTTTACTGAATTTATTTAAACCTTTAACATGCTGAGTTTCTTAAATAGACTTCTCTAATTTTCCATTTTCAGAATTGTCATTATCAAATTTAGGGATGTCATGATTTTGTCATACAACAGTTTAGAGTGGTGGCAAGAGCTGATCACTTATGATTCAAGGAAGGTATGCAGGGTAAAACTAAGGTCAATAGGCAACCAAGAGTAAAATAATTCAATACTGTCTACTGGTTTTGATCATAACAATGATCTTTATCAGAACCAACATATTTATTTTAGTTTAATTATGTAGTAATATTTGGTACTCATCGTTACAACGTATAGATGAGTACCTTTGTACTAGCGTTTTTAATACAAAACCGGTTTATGTACATTCTTTGTTCGCTCGAATGATTCGAGCTGTATTTAATCGGGGTTTTCATATTCGGAAATCAGTTTCTAGCGAGCAACTCTTAGGGACACTCACACATTCAAATTCAATGCCAAAATTATTTTGTGAAAAGTACAATTTTTAAAAGCGTACAAGCTTTGCCTAAATAAAATGTATTGTTTAATTTTTAACGGAAACATAGTGTAGACATTTTACATCGTTTTGTATAAATGTTAAATGTTTTGCAAGGATGAGGCCCAACATTCGGTGGTATTTGACAGTCACTTTCCTGTGATGGCAAATGGGCACAGGTTTCCAAAAATATTTTCCCTTAAATAACACTGAAATCAATTCAAAAACTTTAAAAGGGGTTTTTTGTTTTTGGTTTTTCCTGGACGAGTCGACCACGATTTGCAAAGCATTTATATGACAGAGATAAAATTTATTAACCAATTACAATATTTATTGCTTTATCCTATACATGTATTTGCACGTTTATTATGTCATCTTGTGTACTGTCCCTAAATACAAGCGTTCTCGCATATTGCATTCGAGTGTTTTTAGTTTTTATTTGTAGAAGTTTTGTAGGGAATAAGATGGTACAAACATCTTCTCAAACCAAACCAGTTTAAAGTTCAATGCTCAAGGAAACAAGCATTCCTTTAATTACTTAGGTCTGAGTTAACCACTTGGTCACGCTGATATAATAATCGATACAGTCAACATGCTCCATGATTGGTTCAAGCATTACTTTAATTACTAGTCTGATGAGTTAACCATTTGGTCACACTGATATAATAATTGATACAGTTAACATGCTCCTTGATGACTGGGAGCTTTCTTTCAATTAATAATCTCACGGCGAGTTAACCACTTGGCCACCTTGCAGGAAAAATTGATACAGTCAACATGCTCCATGACTGGGAGCTTTCCTTCAATTAATAATCTCACGAGTTAACCACTTGGTCACGCTGCAACAATAATTGATACAGTTAACATGCTCCATGATTGGTTCAAGCATTACTTTAATTACTAATCTCACGAGTTAACCACTTGGTCACACTGATATAATAATTGATACAATTAACATGCTCCATGACTGGGAGCTTTCCTTCATTTAATAATCTCACAAGTTAACCACTTGGCCACCTTGCAGGAAAAATTGATACAGTCAACATGCTCCATGACTGGGAGCTTTCCTTCAATTAATAATCTCACAAGTTAACCACTTGGCCACCTTGCAGCAAAAATTGATACAGTCAACATGGTCCATGATGACTGGGAGCTTTCCTTTATTTACTAATCTCACGAGTTAACCACTTGGCCACGCTGCAACAATAATTGATACAGTTAACATGCTCCATGATGATGGCAAGCATTTAACTGACAAGTTAACTACTTGGCCACACTGCAACAGTAATTTATACAGAAAACATGCTCATGAATTACTAGTCTGACGAGTTAACAACAAGCTACATTGCAAGCATGTTTATATTAAATTTTATAAATCTAAATTATTTTGACAATTCTTATAGAGATTCTTCAAATTTTAATCTCAGTAAATATCAATTACATGTAATAATTAAATGCTTGCTAAAAGCTTATTTTATAATTTTAAGAGAATACCTTACTGTCAGTTTTTGAGAAGCATTTCGTCACATGAGTGCAGTAACAGGTTAACTTCTATTAAATCTAATCAGAGTTAACCTGTTACTGCTCTAAGGTGATGAGAAATGCATTGCTAACACCACTGCCATCTGAATTTTACAAGAAATTAAAAGGATGAAATTCTACAAATTCTAAATTTTATAAGGAATGTTATATTCTTCCAACATTTAAGGAGTTTAGTAGATAAAATTGTTATTTAGGTGATGATGTTGTATCAAGAAATATGTGGACAGACATTACAGACTTACATACAGAGCTGCATTACTGGTACTGGTACTGGTACTGCAGTACGTACTGCAGCGATTTTGCAAGTACTGGTACTGATACTGAATTACTCTTACAAAATTTTGCTACTACTGGTACTGGTACTGCATTACTGTCTTAAAAAGTGATACTGCTACTGCATTACCCAGTACTTTTGGTTTGGATAAAAATTAAAAATAACATCAATTTTTCTCATAAAATAAAGCTGTAAAATACTTTAACTATATTTTATTTTTTTGAAAAAGTAAGTTATCAAATCTAAAGATAATTTGCTGCAATATTTCTTCAAATGTTAACATAGTATTCACCATAAAAAGCACCAAAGACTTTAAGTCAAAATTAAATTAAGATAAACAGACTCAATAACTCTTTACCCTAAAATATCCTTATTAAAATCTTTTATTACTTTGTATTTACTAGTAAAATAGCAAAATAAACACTAATTATTTTCTTCTATTCTAAAAAATCCCATTTCAAGTGAAAAAAGTGATATTGTTAGCACCATAAAAAGTTGTTATTAACTTTGGTTTAAATTGAACAGAGGTGTGAAGGTGTGAAAGGCAACAAAAGACTGTTGTGTTTTAAATGAAAGATGTTTCCATTGTATTTATACAGTTGACTGGTTACTAAACAATTAGATATGACATGAATATATGTTGTAAATATTGTTTGTAAAAAGTATGTTAAAATTATAAAGTTGTAAATATGTTATGTTCACTTTAAAGCAGCACGCCTCCAGATTCATCCTAATTTTCATGAAAATTTTGAAAATGTATTTAAAGGTAAAATATTGTTAAATGAACAATGAAAGTACTTGACACATTACAATCGGCACTTAAAATCCACGTATATTACCAAAAAAGGTCAAAACATGCATAAATAGCCCCTACTGCG